AAAGACAGATGTCTTGATAAAGCACAAGTAGGGCTTTGTCCAATTCTGTCCGTTGTCCAAGTGCATCCAAACTGTGCCTCCAAATGCACCAAAGCTTGATGGTTGATGCAAAAGTTGTTTCAATGCTAGAGCTTAAATGGTGTTATGATGTCTTAGAGAACAAAGCCTTGGAAAATGAAGCAGCAGACCTCATCTGCCGCTGGCGCCTGTTGAAGTGTCTTCGTCACAATGGGCTCAGCCTGCCGAGGCCACTTCAGACTCGACACAGGTTCAGCTTGCTACCCTCCCCCCACGCATACAAACCCAAATGGGTCAGTCCAGTCCGGGTGTTAGGGTATAGATAGCAGGCAGGACCACTTAGTCAGACTGCCAGGTAATTGGAATAGTAAGTCCGTCCCTCCCATCTTCAGAACAACCTCAGTTTACTATCAACCTGTGAGAGCAACACCGTGCCTGGAAAGAGAGCGAGATGGAGAGAGCGAGAACGAGACAGTACAGAGGGAGGGAGAGAGAGTGATGTCTGTAGGTGGCTCAATTAACACAAAGACAATCCAGGGGGCCTCTACAATGGGGCTTAAATGCTCTGCTTTGCTCTACATGGCTGTAAATGAACTTTTACAACTCTGCTTTTTGTCTGCAGCAAAAGCGAGAGACGGCTAAAAAGGGGGTTAGGTGAAATGAATGTTGTGTGCGAGCAGAATGAACCAGACTACAAAGCTGAACACCCACGTGAAAAATACAGGTCAGGTGTAAGCATTCACTTTCCATCTAAGGCATGGAGTACAGTGGTGTTACCCAAAAGAAGTATTATTAAATGTACTCACAATTTATCCATTGAGGTGGTTTGATTCTTTCTCTCTTAAATGAAAATAAACAATGTCTATGGTCACAATTAACTGGTCTTACATATCAATGGCGGATATCCCACTTTATGGATTATATCAATGGATTTACACTGTTTACTGCTGACATCAGTTAAAGGTGTGACTGTATACTGGCCAGTAGCCCAACTGGGATTGTGATGGATGGAGAGGCAATTTTATTTTGCATAATTTTTAAATATCCTGTTCACTACATCACATTGAACCTTGGTGTGTCTATGTTGATGAATTAAATATTATGGCAACAAGATCTGCGGTTTGAGTTTCCTTTCTTGCGTGAGTATGACCTCCTCTCCTTGGCAACGGTGGTCATGACAGCAGCACAGGACACAGGAAATGGAAGAGGGGTAACGATACAATGAGAGCGGGGGAAAGAGGAGAGAGGAGCACAGGCAAAGGATAGCTGTCCATTGTGAATGAGACATGTTTGCCCGTGGTACTGCATATGATGAATACCACAGCATAAGAAATCCAATGGAATCATTAGCACACACACACACACACACACAAACTAATACATGAAAGTCAAAATAAATGATTGACACTTAAATATATTGGCAGGTTAATTGATTTGTCTAGTTGGTGCTTCAAAGGCTGTACACACAATGTTTTACAGAACAGGCTGTGTGCATACACAAACAAGTAGTATATTTAAGATGGACATCCCCGATTTAGTGTATTCATCTCCGAGATAGAACTATCAGCTGACCACATTACTTATTGTCCAAGTCAACAAATGCTGTCAACAAGTCCTCTTTAGAGACTACAGATTTTAAATTGATATTTGGTACATGATACAGTGGTATTGTCATAAAATGACAGCCTGACAGCTTCTTATCTTTTGTTATCGTAAACTGTGAGTAAGGAGGGGGTTTTCAGGAGTCCCATCTCCTCAGACTGCTATTGCTCAGCGAATGAGTTGATAACTGACCTGTTCTGCCCATTGAGAGAACGATGCCATCTACTGGCACATGCATGTAGTACATTAGTGGTGATTGTAGACTAGTTCTATTAGTGTACATGCAATTACCCAAAGTGGCAGCCCTGTAATCACTCAACTAATTTATTAGTAAGAATACATTATAAAATGGAATAGAAGACTAACGTTTGCCCTTTGTGTCATGTGTGGTGTTGGGATTAAAATAAGGAAAAGGAATGAACACCAGTGTATGATATAGGCATAAAATACCAATTTATTACTTTGCACAATAACACAAATATTCCCTGCAGGCTAAAAAAAAGGTTTTAAACATGTCACATAGCAATACAGCGAGTGATTGGGCACCCTTGTGGGAGGGGCCTGAGGAAGTCCCACCCCCTCCCCAGCAGGTCAGACAGGGTACTGTTCTATTGCTATTGGACAGTCACACAGCTCAGACCACTAGCAGAAAACAGCAGAGCTACACACCAGAATAAAGAACAAAAAAATTAAATTACACTTACAATGTCGAATAACAAATCTGTAGATATTATATCAAAGAGGAATTAAAAAATAAAATCATGCTCTCTTTCAGACGGGGCACAGAAAGAATAGATTGTTAAAAATGTTAAAAAGAGGTATTCCTGTGGCCGTGGACGCCTTGGGCCGAGGCCCCCCACAGAGAGGAAGTGCGCTTGTGTGGGTGGCCAGCAGGGTGGCGCCACGAGACAGGAGAGCCCCGAGAGGCGTGGCAGGGGCACAAACCAGACAGTGGAGGCCTAAATGGACGCTACACTGGGGCCTGTGAGGGGGGCGAGGGGTCAAGTCTTTACCGGGCCCACGTTTGAATAAAGTACCTCGTTTGTCTTCGGGTCACGACGCAAAGGCTCGAACGCTCCACCTCCAGTGGCCTGTGCCTTCGTTTTTTTACTGACATTTGTGTAGGAATCTTTAAAATACATCTTGAAGAGACTGGACAATATTGCTAGCCTAAAATAGTCTCACTAAATTCATAAACATTTACCCTATTTTTTTTCCCTCCTGTCTCTCGTGATTCTAAAGACTTTTTTTTTTAGGGACAATACTCTGGCATGCAGGTGAGAAAAGTCAAAATGTTTTAACCTTTTTCTATTTTTTTCTTCAGAGCCTAAAGAGCTAGTCCACTGAATGCATATTCCCACTGATTGATACAGGCAAAAAACAAGTTACAGAAACAAACGGCGATAGAGAGCAGACCAACAGCCATGTCGACAAGAAGAAATATAGCTTTTTCCTCATCCGAAAACTGGATTTAGGGTTAATATTGCTTTGCAATGATAATATGTTCAAAACTGGGGAGTCATCACCGCCTTTGGATCCCCTGCTTGGAGACCACACCCACATCCTGCACACTCCTCCAGTCTGGTCACACCCACAGGGACACACAGACCACAACACCAGGCTGAATCACCGCAGCCCCATTGCCCCGTGGGAAAACGAGTGCACGTCACCAACAGCTCAGCCCCGCCCCTCAAACTTATTGCATGCAAGGCCTGGACAGCCACCACGCTCCCCTACCATAGGCCAGCGCCCATGCCCTCGACAGGTAGGCGCTCAAACTCATTCATAGCAAACCTGCTGCTCTATGGATGGTTTATTACAAAAGGGTTGTTCACTGAGCCGACCCCCTGACGAGGTGTGCCCGCCGCTTTCGACCCCACCCCCATCCTCACCGCGAGGATAACTGTAACCACGACCGTGGTTAAATAGGATCTTTAACCGTAGTCGTGACTGGTCAGGTGTTATTAGGTCCAAGGGCAGTGCTTATGCTTTATGTCAATTCATATCCTGTGTTCAAAACCTTATTTAATTTTAAAAAAACAGAAACACCATAAGTTTAGAATTGGATAGATATACTTGTTCTAATACACACAAGCCGTAATAGAAACATTATGAAGTTCTGAAAATGTGACTCTTGCATACTTCTTTGTACCACTTAGTCTGTCCCAGTTTCTTCCTAATGCCAGCTCTGATTGTCACCCTTCTTCCATTCGAACCGAAAACCCCCTTCTGCCAACAGTCTTCATCTGATGAGCGCTGAAGGTAGCCTCCTGTTTTACCAGTCAGGGGTACCGGTGACAGCTCAACACAAATCTTTTCTACTGGAGAACACAGCCAAACCCTTCCCTACTACCAGAAACTACTACATCACTGAGGAGCAGAAGGGAGCATAAACCGATACACCTTGGGCCTCTCTCCAGCGTAGCCCAGAATGCTACAAAGTGTCCAACTCTAAACCCAGCCACTCTTATCCTGATCTCATAACTACACATCTGATTGCTGCCGGTCTGATAATTATCATAATCGTAGATAACAACATCAACAACAACAATAACAACAACAAATATAACTACTAAGTCTAAACAACAGTTAAGATTAGCCACAAAACAGTTTTATATTAAACTCTTAGAAATTCTGCTTTTTGATTCTGATGTATAAATGCATAAAATGTAAGAGAGAGTGCCCTCTGTTGCTTGCCTAGCGTCCCGGGTCAGTGCAATGAATTGGCCGGTAGCAAAGGAGACCCCAAAAGTTAAGCGAATGGGTTTTCCGCTTCCGACTAGTGCCTTGCTAAAAAACCGTGCTCCGCCCCACAATGTCATAACCGTTCAGACAAACGGGTTTAAGGGATGGATCCCCTTCCTCACACAGCGCACCAACTAAGTCGGCTTAGCCCAATGCCATAACCCCGCGCAAAGCTCTCAACCATTCAATAGGTCCCAATGCCCAGTCAGTCACACCGGCTAAACCACGGTTGCTACTGCTACATATACACCCACCGGCCTCTGTGAAGCCTGTATAGTTCAATCTGTTCTATAGATGTAAATATTTATATATATGTAATGTGTGAATATAAAAAACATCAAATCTGAGGCATTTACAGCAGTTTTCTTGATTTTCCCCTTTACAATTCAGTGGCCTTCCATGAAACACACGCGCACACACACACACACGTATATACACAAACGCACACACTCAAGCACTTATTCTTCGCTAAATGGGAGAAGAGTAATGGGTATGGATACCCAGGTGACCTCGCTTGTAAAAGACTGAAGAAAAGGAGAAAGTTAAAACACGATCATAAAAAGGAAAAAAATATATATAATTCTCAAAAAGGTCCACCCACCCATGTTTCCATGCAAACCCCACCATGACCCCCCCCCCCCCCCCCCCCAACCCAAGACCTTGTGACAGATTTTCGCCCCAAAGGGGCTTTGAGGTAAAAAGTAGACAGAGTCCTGCTGAGCTGGGAGAGCTAAGAGCTGCCACTGACTATTGGCGTCAGTCCGCTCCATTGCTCAGTGTATTTTTCCAAAACAAAAAAAGACATTCAAAAAAAAAACGAACCCCCAAAAACATATTGGCTCAACTTGTGTGTGTATTTTGTTTTCTCTGTGCATCGGAAACCCCAACGGTCTCTCAGTGCCGGATTGCTGGTAGAGGGCGGCTCGATCAGGAACGCCGGATGTCGTTTTCCGAAAAGGAAAATACTCCACTGGCACACTTCACTGGCTTCGAACCGCTTTGGTGCACATCAAGACGCAAGAGAAAGATCGAGAGACTGGCAAAAAGAGAGGAGAGGGAGGACAGAATAGCGCACATTGCTAGCGTGGCTCAGGCAAAATACATAGTGTGCTGAGTGTCATAGTGGATCTGGACTGCCTTGGCCAGGGCCAGGGGGTCCCGACCGTTACTCTGGCCCGACACGTGGCTGCCCTCCGCACTGCAGGACAGGACGAGAGAGAGGGGTCAGATACATGATAACGTAAGAGAAACAAGAGCACAAAACCACTACTGTTGGGCTCCACCATTACAACTAGTCATACTGAACAACATTTACCATCATGTATTTGCATCATGCCAAACAAAAACGGTATATTCAGTAAAACTAGATGCATAATATGTTGCAGATATAAATCTAACGTATAGGGCCGCTAATACAGTCCATTTGTGTCTGTTCTGGCTAAAAAACATTTAATGTACAGTACCAGTCAAAGGTTTGGACACACATACTCATTCAACGGTTTTTCTTTATTTTTACTATTTTCTACATTGTAGAATAATAGTGAAGACATCAAAACTATGAAATAACACAAGTAATATTTTAGATTCTTCAAAGTAGCCACCCTTTGCCTTGACAGCTTTGCACACTCATGGCATTCTCTCAACCAGCTTCACCTGGAATGCATTTCAATTAACAGGTGTGCCTTGTTAAACATTTCTTTGTGGAATTTCTTTCCTTCTTAATGCGTTTGAGCCAATCAGTTGTGTTGTGACAAGGTAGGGGTGGTATACAGAAGATAGCCCTATTTGGTAAAAGACAAAGTCCATATTATGGCATGAACAGCTCATATAAGCAAAGAGAAACGACAGTCCATCATTACTTTAAGACATGAAGGTCAGTCAATCCGGAACATTTCAATAACTTTTAAAGTTTCTTCAAGTGCAGTCGCAAAAACCAAGCGCTATGATGAAACTGGCTCTCATGAGGACCGCCACAGGAAAGGAAGACCCAGAGTTACCTCTGCTGCAGAGGATAAGTTCATTAGAGTTAACTGCAGCCCAAATAAATGCTTCACAGTATTCAAGTAACAGACTCATCTCAACATCAACTGTTCAGGGAATCAGGCCTTCATGGTCAAATTGCTGCAAAGAAACCACTACTAAAGGACATCAATAAGAAGAAGAGACTTATCGTGCCAAGAAACACGAGCAATGGACATTAGACCAGTGGAAATCTGTCCCTTGGTCTGATGAGTCCAAATTTGAGATTTTTGGTTCCAACCGCCGTGTCTTTGTGAGACGCAGAGAAGGTGAAAGGATTATCTTTGCATGTGTGGTTCCCACCGTGAAGCATGGAGGAGGTGGTGTGATGTGTGGGGGTGCTTTGCTGGTGACACTGTCTGTGATTTATTTAGAATTCAAGGCACACTTAACCAGCATGGCTACCACAGCATTCTGCAGCAATACGCCATCCCATCTGGTTTGCGCTTAGTGGGACTATCATTTCTTTTTCAACAGGACAATGACCCAAAACACACCTCCAGGCTGTGTAAGGGCTATTTTACCAAGAAGGAGAGTGATAGAGTGCTGCATCAGATGACCTGGCCTCCACAATCCCCCAACCTCAACCCAATTGAGATGGTTTGGGATGAGTCGGACGGCAGAGTGAAGGAAAAGCAGCCAACAAGTGCTCAGCATATGTGGGAACTCCTTCAAGACTGTTGGAAAAGCATTCCTCATGAAGCTGGTTGAGAAAATGCCAAGAGTGTGCAAAGCTGTCATCAAGGCAAAGGGTGGCTACTTTGAAGAATCTAAAATATATTTTGATTTGTTTAACACTTTTTTGGTTACTACATGATTCCATGTGTTATTTCATAGTTTATGTCTTCACTATTATTCTACAATGTAGAAAATAGTAAAAATAAAGAAAAACCCTTGAATGAGTAGGTGTCTCCAAACTTTTGACTGGTACTGTATATCTGTGATACCCCTAAGTATTCTGGCCTTGTGCCTTGCAACTTTCGTCATTACCTGTCGTGATCTTTGTCCACTAGGTGGTAGCGGGCACGGAATGCCACTAGCCTGGCATAGTAGGCTGGCGCGGGGATGGAGACAGAGCGGGTGCAGCGGACGTAGGTGTGGCACAGCTGGTAGGTGAGCAGCTGGAGCTCGTCGGCAGTGAAGCAGTTGTCGTCCCACAGGACGTGGTAGTGGGAGGGCCGGCTAGTGCCCTGGATCCCAGCATGGCTGCACAGGTAGAAGTCAAATTCGGAGGGGTGGGTGATTGTGCTGTCCACCGTGGTTCCGGCTGGGACGTTGCCACTCTTTCCAACCTGTAGGGGGAGATGGTTGTGATTACAGACACTGGACATGCTAGAGTGCTAGTTCAAAAGGTGCTAACTCTTTGCAACCCCTCTTACTTTAGCGGTGTCTAAATCATCAATCCAGTGAAATGCCAGCTCAGAGATTACTCCAAGGATAGGTGTTTGGAGAGATGCATTTAAAAAGTATTGGAACGCTGCCACAGCCCTAGATGCCCTCCCTCATGTTGTACTGTATGTAGAAGTTGCCCCTAACCACAGATAGAGGGTCAGATGTCGTTTCATCTCCCTAATGGCTTACAGTTGGGTAATCTGATCCTAGACCTGCGGATAATTGCACCCTCTAAATCAGGGATGTCAAACTCAATTCCTGGAGGGCTGCGTGTCTTCACTCCTCCCTTGTACTCGATAGATCATTTAAAGTTAATTGCTTTGGAACTCCCATCAAAAACCACAGACACAGCCCTCCAGGAATTGAGTTTGACACCCCTGCTCTACATGGGTCTCCACTCACTCGCTCTGTCTTGTCGGAGCAGAAAAGGCGGGTGTGGTGGCGTTTCTGAACCACGATGTAGGTGATGCCCGGTCGATAGTCCTCCTCTAGGCTGATACAGGCCTTCCTGATGGCGATCAGCTCTGGCCACGCCACCTACACACGCCATACACAGTCACACACACGGGAAGAGATAGAAACAATGAGCTTCACATTGCATGGAAAAATGCATTGGTATGATTCTCTGGTTGAGGCGAAGTTGGCGTTGTTTACAAAGGCAGACCAATTCTGATCTTTTGCCCAATTATGGGCAAAAGACCAATAATTGGACAAAAAAAATCATTGCAAAATAACATAACTACTTTGAGGGAAAATGTACTTACTACAACTGTGATATGTGGTTGTCTCAGCTAGCTTTCTAAAGATGAATGCACTAATTGTATGTCGCTCTGGATAAGAGTCTGCTAAATTACTAAAATGTAAGATCAGAATTGGGCTGCCTGTGTAAAACGCAGCCAGATCCTATATCCAGGGCACTGTGACAAATCACTAGGGGCCTCCCTTTTCATATACATATACATATACATATATACATATACATATACACACATACATACAGTGGGGAGAACAAGTATTTGATACACTGCCGATTCTGCAGGTTTTCCTACTTACAAAGCATGTAGAGGTCTGTAATTTTTATCATAGGTACACTTCAACTGTGAGAGACGGAATCTAAAAAAAATCCAGAAAATCACATTGTATGATTTTTAAGTAATTCATTTGCATTTTATTGCATGACATAAGTATTTGATACATCAGAAAAGCAGAACTTAATATTTGGTACAGAAACCTTTGTTTGCAATTACAGAGATCATACGTTTCCTGTAGGTCTTGACCAGGTTTGCACACACTACAGCAGGGATTTTGGCCCACTCCTCCATACAGACCTTCTCCAGATCCTTCAGGTTTCGGGACTGTCGCTGGGCAATACGGACTTTCAGCTCCCTCCAAAGATTTTCTATTGGGTTCAGGTCTGGAGACTGGCTAGGCCACTCCAGGACCTTGAGATGCTTCTTACGGAGCCACTCCTTAGTTGCCCTGGCTGTGTGTTTCGGGTCGTTGTCATGCTGGAAGACCCAGCCACGACCCATCTTCAATGCTCTTACTGAGGGAAGGAGGTTGTTGGCCAAGATCTCGCGATACATGGCCCCATCCATCCTCCTGTCAATACGGTGCAGTCGTCCTGTCCCCTTTGCAGAAAAGCATCCCCAAAGAATGATGTTTCCACCTCCATGCTTCACAGTTGGGATGGTGTTCTTGGGGTTGTACTCATCCTTCTTCCTCCAAACACGGCGAGTGGAGTTTAGACCAAAAAGCTCCCATTCCTCCTCTGGATCATCCAGATGGTCATTGGCAAACTTCAGACGGGCCTGGACATGCGCTGGCTTGAGCAGGGGGACCTTGCGTGCGCTGCAGGATTTTAATCCATGACGGCGTAGTGTGTTACTAATGGTTTTCTTTGAGACTGTGGTCCCAGCTCTCTTCAGGTCATTGACCAGGTCCTGCCGTGTAGTTCTGGGCTGATCCCTCACCTTCCTCATGATCATTGATGCCCCACGAGGTGAGATCTTGCATGAAGCCCCAGACCGAGGGTGATTGACCGTCATCTTGAACTTCTTCCATTTTCTAATAATTGTGCCAACAGTTGTTGCCTTCTCACCAAGCTGCTTGCCTATTGTCCTGTAGCCCATCCCAGCCTTGTGCAGGTCTACAATTTTATCCCCGATGTCCTTACACAGCTCTCTGGTCTTGGCCATTGTGGAGAGGTTGGAGTCTGTTTGATTGAGTGTGTGGACAGGTGTCTTTTATACAGGTAACGAGTTCAAACAGGTGCAGTTAATACAGGTAATGAGTGGAGAACAGAAGGGCTTCTTAAAGAAAAACTAACAGGTCTGTGAGAGCCGGAATTCTTACTGATTGGTAGGTGATCAAATACTTAAATTTACCTGTGGTTTGAGGGTCATTTACCTCTTTGATTTTACATTTTAAGACCCCTTAAGGTATAAAAATATATTTACACAAATTATTTTTACCCCTATTTAACCCCTTATTTTAGGCACTAAACTACTTCCATTCATTTCTTTAACTCGTACCGGGGTACCTTCAGATGAGTCTTGAGGCTTGTGTTCGTCCTTGACCAAAACAACCAACATGTACGTGCTCATGAGACTCGCCTTTCCATAGAATGGTGTAGCCCAAACTGTTCGGACGCTACAGACAGACGAAGCAATCAAATCGAGTCCCGTGACGCTTGCGAGAGTCGTAGAGCAAAACGGCGAACACCATCAAACACCGTAATATTTAGTAGGCCAAAACTTTCGGGCGCTACAGACATTTGCGAGAAGACCGATTTTCGGGATGTCTCATGGTCTGACAAACACCGCTGTTGCTCTGCCACCTTTCACCGCAGATGCGGAAGGGCGACATCGGTGGATGTGGTGGATTGAGACACAGCCAATGCAAAAACACTGACAGATTTTGATGGGGAAGGGCGTGAAATGCGCGTCGGCCATTGCGAGTGCATAGGGTTGCAGGCTACAACGTTTTTTTAGGACATTCAATTGACTGTTAGATGAATACATGACTACTAGCAGTGGGTATTATATTTAGTGTTAGCGATCTAGCTCATGTGTTTTGAGTTTTCACTTCCTCGTGGTGAATTAGACCCCTATGATATTAGTGCACATAAAGATTTAGGCAAATTCATCTCTATTGAACAACAAAATTCAGAAGCCCTATTTTAAAAGTAAAATATAACAATACCCTATTGTCACAATTCATGACAATCACTTGATTAGGTTTCACGTCAAAATATCTTCAATGATGCATTCCTGCTTGGACATGTTAGATGAAACTACTTATTTCTTGAATAGCCTACCATCTCAGTAGTCTATTACAATCTAAAGCACTGTGAATGACTTAAGGTGATTAATTGTTTTCTATTGCTTGACGCTGCGGGAAAAAATTTGCGCGACTAAATCATGGGCTGGTGCCACCAACTGAAAAAGTTTGTGGCAAGGGGAAATGTTCCTCTGGAGCCCGGTCAAGGGGTGTGATTTTTTTATCTGCTGCTGAGTAATGCGTTCTTCTGCCAATGTTATGCAGAAAGATATGTTGGTAGGACAAGGCTATGCATGTTTGTGCACACGGAAGTCAGTGATTTATGTTTACTATAGGTTAATTAGGCAATATCATGTGATGTGACTAACATGAAAGGGCATTTAGTTGACTAAAATGTCCCATTATTTTCATTTTGATAACTAGACTAAATCATTGTTCAAATGCCAAAAATGCCAAGATTAACACTGTCCGGTACCTTCTAAACCCTTTAAGGAGTACTGATAGCATATGCAACCTTTTATGTCACTTAAGGTATCGCAAAAGGGCTGTGAATTAAACCCTTATTTAGACTGAAATTTCATCAAAGAACACTCACTACTCAAAGGGTTAACCAGCCACCGACTCAATATAAGAAACCATTTTGTAATGTAATTCAAATGGTCAATTCAGTACAGGGAGAGAAAACTGAAAACCTAATGAACCAAAACACCACACAGACAAGCATCACCCTCCCAGTCACCTGTTTCATTTGGCCCTCAGACACACCACCGCGGTAGTAGATGATGCGTGTGGGCTTGAAGCGCGTTGACTTGTAGAACTGGATGAGCAGCTCGCGCACCATATTGGTCAGGTCCTGGATGACCTCCTGGCTGTACAGTTGCTCCTGGGACAGGTCCTGGCGCGACGTCTGCACGCGCACCGTGGCACAGTAGCGGCTGGGGTGGCCGTCCATGCTGCCCACCACCGCTGCGATGGAGGGCTTCTTGCCGTCGCCGGCTGGAGGGTGAGTGACGTCCGCCCCTAGGAAGATGACAGGTTGCTGGAACACAGAGGGTCTGGGGGAGTCGAGGTTGTAAAAAAAAAAAAAAAAAGGACAGATGTCAAATAAAATAAAGGTACAGAGTTTACGGTGTGTGTATGCGTGCTTTGCTCTCAGAGAGGAGGTATAAGTCTTTGGCACAATACAGAATACATTTGTGTGTGTGTGTGTGTGTGTGTGTGTTGTTGCCACCTCTGATGGGGCACCAGGACATTGTTGATGCCGCCCAGCTTGGCGTTGATCTTGAGGCAGAGGTTGGAGAGGGTCTGGGGGGATGTCTTCACCACATTCTTCACCTGGACACACTGAGTGGCCATGCCCAGGAGAGTGTCTCCTACCCGCTTCACCTCCGCTGTGGTACCAGGACCACAGAACAATAATAATTTAGCTCTAATAATCTCAAATGCAATGTGAAAACAGTAGCTAGCAGATTGGTTCTTAACATTTTAAGCATGAGGAGTGAACTGGTGTTCCTCAAGTCACTAGTGGAAATTGAGGGGTGTTCTTTCCCCTACCGCCATTTTCAATCCTTCCAATTCTATTTATCAAATATTTTATGCAAATCATGCAAAACCATAAGACAGAGGAAATCCATAAAAAGACACTAGGAAGAGACAGAGACTAATTGAAGTTAGTTTGCCCTTTCTTTCAACATAAGAATAGATTTCCCAAACAAACTGTCAAAATGATTCTTACCGTAGACAGGGGTTTTGCCGGGTAGGATGACCACGATGAGCTGCAGTCCCACATAGGACAGCTTGAGGTGTTTGAACATGGGCTCCACGCTGTCCGCTCCCTGGGCGTATTTACAGAAACATGGCTGGCCCTGGATGGGCATCCCCGCATCCTTCGAGATCTTCCTCAGTTGGTCTGTGAAGCTCCTAGAGAACCATGAACAAACCTTTAGGGAATGTAGACTAGAGCCATAATACTGCATTCAAACTGTTGAACAATAAGTTGGAAGTTTTGTAGTCCAAATCCTAACTTAAGATACATTTGCTCAACTAGTTTGCGTACATCATTGGGAGATTTGAATAATTTTTTAGATAAGCCCACAGATCTCAAGTTTGGATTTTGGCCTAAAATGAGTCATGGTCACCACACAGACTAAGGAGGGCTATGGGTATTTGTGGGTGGAGTGGTGTGTCTACCAAGGTTGATGGGCAGATTACTCACTTGAGCAGGTCCTCTCTGCACTGTTTCTGTGGGGCGAAGCAGGCCACGGCCCACACCTTGATCTCTATCCCGGCGTAGAACTGCTTCCCCCGCATGTCCCACACGCCCTGGTTGGGCGTGGCCACGGTCTTATTCTGCGGAGAGAGTCCCTACGCTCTTAGTGAACCCCCCGGTTTAACCAGCCGACACAGCAGATCCAAGTCCCCCACCCGCACCACACCGTTGCGGGTAGAAGTTGCCACTTACCACTGATACAGGGTCAGATCCTTTGACATATGACTAAATGGGGGTGATTAGGATTGGGGGGGGGGGGGGGTAGGAGAATCTGACCCTAGATCTGTGGTTTGAGGAAAGTTCTACCGTAAGCTCCTGTTACACACACACACACACACACACACACACACACACAATCCCATAGCAAGTAGCCTACAGGCAAACCCTCCACGTGCTAGACAGCACCAGAAGCTTATTCAACAGGGCAGAACATTCATGTATAGAATAGACATGACCATCATGGTTACTATTGTACAACACAAGATATATCAGGGTTCGTAGTCACAAAGCTTCTCAGAGTAAGAGTGCCACTGCTGATCTAGGATCAGTTTTGCTTTTCAGTTCATAATGAATAATAAGATTGTTTGGACAGATCCTAGATCAACACTCCTACTCCCGAGACGCTTCGTGGATACAGGCCCAGATATTATCAGATCATTCTAGCTATGAATAGCAGTTCCTCCAGTGTTCAGGGCCTGTAGCGTCTCTGCTTCAATTTTGCATTGTGTCGAGTTAGGCTACCCTCTCTTGAAACAATTAGGCAACCATATGGTATTCTCCAGCAAACTATACATAAATGTGCAGTTCAAGAATGAAAAAGCCCTGAAAACTGGTGGGCTGATCCAGCATTGAATCACATATACATTAGACTGTGATTACACTCAATACTAATACAGTCGTGCATATCACATCAAATTAACAGCAATTTATCAGTGAAACGATAAGTGATGATTATCAAAGCTTTCCACTGTAATTACAGCAACATATTATAAACATCAGCATGATAACACAGTGATGGAGTGACAAAAGAATACAAGGACAGTTGCTTTTCCCATCACAAACCTATTACAGCTACAACAATAACAGTTAAAAGGGCTGAAAGATGTCAGTCATACAAATTAATAGTTAAGTGCGACGAGAAAAGCAATCAGTCCACATTTCAGAGGATGACGATAATACTCCATTACCCAGCAGGCAGAAGTCCAAACCACTCAAGAAACTGTAAATAGGCCCAATAAAATGCATATAACCCAGCAATACTGTGCCAAAACTTTTACTACATCCCGATTAAAAGCTATTTCAGTGACCAAATGTTTCTCTAACGTGCAATTTCAAGCCAAGTTCAGCCCAATTATCCATATGGAACATGCGGTTTTACAGTCCACATTGGACCTATAACAAGGTCTGTGGAAGAGGTCTACCCTTACCAAACATTATATAAAGACTGTACAGAACTTATTATGTAGAGACCATGTATATAGCCTACATATAATATGCAATAATAACTGCCCTTCAGGGATGAAGGTCCCTTTACCAAAAAAAATTTTGCTGCAAATTTGCCACAAATTCACAGAAACTAAATAGTGTGCCACATAATGTTGCCAGAAGTTTGCAGATGTTTGCCTAAACACATATTTTTTGGTGAATACGTTGCTGTATTTTAATAACATGCTAGTGTCACTGTTCAGTAGCATGTTAGCTAGCACAACAGATAAAGTAGCAACAATATAATCAAAGCAAGACTTCACTTTTGCAGAAGGATACCCTTCCCCTACCTGTGGTGTTGGAAGCGGCTGTATTGGGAGGAGGATGCATCAACACCCTGGAAAGATGTTTGTGGCGCACTCACTCATAACACTTTTTTTTTTGTGATAAATGTGTATCGTCGTCAAGCTTGATAAGTTAAGCAAATGCATGTATTATTCTGAGTATACAAAACATTAAGAGCAATTGCTCTTTCCATGAGACTGACCAGGTGTATCCAGGTTAAAGCTATGATACCTTATTTGATGTCACTTGTTAAATCCGTGTAGATTAAGGGGAGGAGACAGGTTAAAGAAGGATTTTTAAGCATTGAGGCATGGATTGTGTATGTGTCCCATTCAGAGGGTGAATGGTTAAGACAAAAGATTGAAGTGGCTATGAACGGGGTATGGTAGTAGGTGCCAGGCGCACCGGTTTGTGTCAAGAACTGCAACACTAGTGGGTTTTTCATGCTCAACAGTTTACCGTGTGTATCAAGAATGATCCACCACCCAAAGGACATCCAGTCAACTTGACAACTGTGGGAAGCATCAGCGTCAACATGGGCTAGCATCCCTGTGGAACGCTTTTGACCCCTTGTAGAGTCCATGCCCTGATGAAATGAGGCTGTTCTGGAGGGCAAAGGGGTGGGTGCAACTCAATATTAGGTAGGTGTTCTTAATGTTTTGTACACTCAGTGTATGTATGCACCAGGTCAAGGCTTCTTGCATGTATGGCTTTGAGATGTAAGTTAACAATAATTCATTTTGGAAAAATATGAATTGCCATATTAGGCATAACTCAATTCTATGTTACTTTTCTTCCACCCAAGCCTTATACACCCGAGTCAGGAAGAAGAGACAACTAGTTGACAACTGTCTCTTAATGCAGCAGGCCCCAGTCTAGATTGATTATCATAATTAGTTGATTAGTTTTAAATCAATTGTGTTGAGGCTTGTATATTGTTGCATAAAATAGTGTATACTGTGGCTCTAGAAACAGTTGGCCACACATTTAAAAGTAGATTTAGTAGGCCTAAGTCCCAGTTTATGCTAGCTACATCGTTTGTTTATATAGCATTTATACAAGGCAGAAACATTGTTTCCTTGCTGAAAAATATATAGAACGGCAGTTTCAGTGAGAAGCATAGCAACATCAAGGCAGCTTTGTAACAGCTGACCACGTTTTTCCAAAGTCAATCCAGTCTTTGCTCTTTTCTTCATTAGCATGCTGATGATTTCAAGTTGTATTGGATTTATTTTTCTCTGTTAAGACTTGTTGTTTAGTATATTCAGTATGTTTAGTTTAGTCCTCTGTGAGAAGCAAGTTCATTTAAAGTTTGGCCTATATGTGATTATGTAGATACAACATTTCAAAGTTGTTAACACACAGTAACCAAAAACCGGATCTAATTTGCATATTCACACCGAGCTTGCAGCAAATAGTAGAATGTTCGCCACAAGTTTCCCAGAATTGCTTGCCAGAAGTTCACAAGTCGGCGCAAAAGTTTGCCACAAAACTAATTTGCATGTGAAAATAAGAGGTTGGAGCAAATGTGCAGCAAATTGGCCAAAGGTTTGCCACAAGCCTGTTTTTTTGGTAAGGGTTATATCATTTAATTAAATGTGCTGTGTGGCATGAAGTCTCATCCTCCTCCCCTTGGATAGTCCACTCACCCTTTTCTTTCTCACACACACACACACACACAGCCCTTCCCTCCCGTGATAGATTGGCCCAGCCCGGTGCCCCAGTACTCACCCTGCCACAGTCCCGCCCAGTGTCGGTACTCACCCGGCCCCCATACTGCAGCATGGGCGCTGGGAGGACTCGGCCCGTCACCTCAGTCATGTCGTTGTGCACCACGATGCCAAACTCCTTCAGGTAGGGGTCGGGACCGCCGACCATGCTGTTGCTTTTGACCTGGGGGGGGGGGCGAAGTGAGAGAGGGTGGTGTGAAAAGGAGGAAAGGGGTTAGGCAAGCAGAGAAGACTTGGATTTCCTGCTAGTGTCTAGAGTATTTGTGACCCGCTGCAGGAAGCTAGGCATATGTCGCACGTCACTACTTCACAGGAAATGTGTTTTTTTGCCAAGAAAAACGTAAACTTTCATGTGCCTTAATAACAAACTTGTATGCCATCTGTAAATACGAATAATTGTTTTTGTTAAATTACAAGTCTAGTGTGCCCTCCCGAGTAGCGCAGCGGTCTAAGGCACTGCATCGCAGTGCTGAGGCGTCACTACAGCCTCGGGTTCGATCCCAGGCTGTGTCACAGCCGGCCGTGACCGGGAAACCCATAATTGGCCCAGCGTCGTCCGGGTTAGGGGAGGGTTTGGCAGGCTGGGATTTCCTTGTCTTATCGCGCTCTAGCGACTCGTGGCGAGCCGGGCACCTGCAAGCGTACTTGGGTCGACAGTTGGACGGCGTTTCCTCCGACACATTGGTGCGGATGGCTTCCAGGTTAACATCGTAGAGTCTTCTGATGACAGTGATGGGGAAGAAACGGCGATCAACAATGTTGTCACAGAAGAAGTTGACCGAGTTTTGAAATCAGTGGAATGTCCGGTAGAGTATGATGGCAAATGCGGTGGGAGTCAAAAAGAGAACACAGAAGGCTGTTGTATAAAACACCTGTCTCCCAGAATAAGTATTCAAACTAAGGGCAACCATGGCATCCATGACAGAGGGAGAAGCGTTTATCCATGTATACGGTTAAGAGTCTAGCTACATTTTCTGATATTATACATTTCAAATTTTGTCAGAAAGTAGTTTATTGCAAGTTAAAGCATACTGTTAGCTAGCTAACGTTAGCTGGCTGGCTTGTTAGCAAACGTTACGTGTATGAGCTGTGTAGCAATATTATTAGTATCTCAGAAAACCATTTGCATTGCTAGTTATAGCCTAATGTTAGCTAGCTAACATTGAATCTAGTTGGTTAGCTTTAGCTACCGTGGCTTGCGAAAGTATTCACCCCCCTCTGCATTTTTCCTATTTTGTTGCCTTACAACCTGGACTTACAATTTTTGGGGGGTTTGTATCATTTACACAACATGCCTACCACTTTGAAGATGCAAAATATTTTTTTAAATTGTGAAACAAACAAGAAATAAGACAAAAGAAACAGAAGTTGAGCGTGCATACCTATTCACCCCCCCAAAAAGTCAATACTTTGTAGAGCCACATTTTGCAGCAATTACAGCTGCAAGTCTCTTGGGGTATGTCTCTATAAGCTTGGCACATCTAGCCAATGGGATTTTTGACCATTCTTCAAGGCAAAACTGCTCCAGCTCCTTCAAGTTGGATGGGTTCCGCTGGAGTACAGCAATATTTAAGTCATACCACAGATTCTCAATTGGATTGAGGTCTGGCCTTTGACTAGGCCATTCCAATACATTTAAATGTTTCCCCTTAAACCAGTGTTGCTTTATCAGTATGCTTAGGGTCATTGTCCTGCTGGAAGGTGAACCTCCGTCCCAGTCTCAAATCTCTGGAAGACTGAAACAGGTTTCCGTCAAGAATTCCCCTGTATTTAGTACCATCCATCATTCCTTCAAATTCTGACCAGTTTCCCAGTCCCTGCCGATTAAAAACATCCCCACAGCATAATGCTGCCACCATCATGCTTCAATGTGGGGAAGGTGTTCTCGGGGTGATGAGAGGTGTTGGGTTTGCGCCAGACATAGCGTTTTCCTTGATGGCCAAAAAGCTCAATTTTAGTCTCATCTGACCAGACTACCTTCTTCCATATGTTTGGGGTGTCTCCCACATGCCTTTAGGCGAACACCAAATGTCTAAGCCCAGCTCTGTGGAGTGTACGGCTTAAAGTAATCCTATGGACAGATACTCCAATCTCCGCTGTGGAGCTTTGCAGCTCCTTCAGGGTTATCTTTGGTCCCTTTGTTGCCTCTCTGATTAATGCCCTCCTTGCCTGGTCCGTGAGTTTTGGTGACGGCCCTCTCTTGGCAGGTTTGTTGTGGTGCCATATTCTTTCCATTTTTTTAATAATGGATTTAAAAATGGTGCTCCGTGGGATGTTCAAAGTTTCGGATACTTTTTTTATAACCCAACCCTAATCTGTACTTCTCCACAACTTTGTCCGTTACCTGTTTGGAGAGCTTCATGGTGCCGCTTGCTTGGTGGTGCCCCTTGCTTAGAGGTGTTGCAGACTCTGAGGCCTTTCAGAACAGGTGTATATATACTGAGATCATGTGACACTTAAATAAAGTCCACCTGTGTGCAGTCTAACTAATTATGTGACTTCTGAAGGTAATTGGTTGCACCAGATCTTATTTAGGGGCTTCATAGCAAAGGGGGTGAATACATATGCAAGCAATACATTTCCGTGATTTATGTTTTTGATTTTTTTTAAACAAGTTATTAAATCACCAATTTGGACTATTTTGTGTATGTCCATTACATGAAATCCAAATAAAAATTACAGGTTGTAATGCACCAAAATAGGAAAAACGCCAAGGGGGATGAATACTTTTGCAATGCACTGTACCTGCAGATTCATGCACGGTGCATAGTAGTACGGGTTAGGATTATGGGTCTAAACAAAAGACTATGCAAGTAACCATTTCACTGTACCCTGTGAATGTGACAAATCAACTTTGATTATATTTGATATAGTGTGCGTTTCCCAGAGACGGTAATGTGAAGACCACAAAAACATCCTGTGGCGTACTGCATTAGCATCGAACAGCCCCCGCGATATGCAACTTTTCAGGGTCACCACCGATAAAGCTACAATAATCGAGAATTTCAACAAGCATTTTGCTACGGCTGGCCATGCTTTCCACCTGGCTACCACTACCCCGGCCACCAGCTCTGCACCCTCCGCTGCAACTTGCCCATGCCCCCTCCGCTTCTCCTTTACACAAATTCAGACAGCTGATGTTCTGAAAGAGCTGAACAATCTGGACCCATACAAATCAGTTGGGCTAGACAATCTGGACCCTTTCTTTCTAAAATTAGCTGCCGAAATTGTCGCAACCCCCATTCCTAGCCTGTTCAACCTCTCTTTCGTAACGTCTGAGATCCCCAGAGATTGGAAAGCTGCCGCAGTCATCCCCCTCTTCAAAGGGGGTGACACTCTAGATCCAAACTGTTACAGACCTATATCCATCCTGCCCTGCCTTTCGAAAGTTTTTGAAAGCCAAGTCAACAAACAGATCACCGACCATTTCGAATCCCACCGTACCTTCTCCGCTATGCAATCCGGTTTCTGAGCTGGTCATGGGTGCACCTCAGCCACGCTCAAGGTCCTAAACAATATTATAAATGCGATCGATAAAAGACGGTACTGCGCAGCCGTCTTCATCGACCTGGCCAAAGCTTGACTCTGTCAACCACCGCATTCTTATTGGCAGACTAAATAGCCTTGGTTTCTCAAATGACTGCCTCGCCTGGTTCACCAACTACTTCTCAGATAGAGTTCAATGTGTCAAATCAGAGGGCCTGTTGTCTGGACCTCTGGCAGTCTATGGGGGTGCAATTCTTGGGCCGACTCTATTCTCTGTGTATATCAATGATGTTGTTCTTGCTGCTGGTGACGCTCGGATCCACCTCTATGCAGACGACACCATTTTGTATACATCTGGCCCTTCATTGGACACTGTGTTAACAAACCTCCAAACGAGCTTCAATGCCATACAACACTCCCTCCGTAGCCTCCAACTGCTCTTAAATACTAAATGCATGCTCTTCAACCAAACGATGCTTGCACCCGCCCACCCGACTAGAATCACTACTCTCGGCGGGTCTGACCTAGAGTACATGGACAACTACAAATACCTAGGTGTCTGGTTAGACTGTAAACTCTCCTTCCAGACTCACATTAAGCATCTCCAATCAAAAGTTAGATCTAGAATCTGCTTCCTATTTCGCAACAAAGCCTCCTTCACTCATGCTGCCAAACATGCCCTCGTAAAACTGACTATCCTACCGATCCTTGACTTCGGCGATGTCATTTACAAAATAGCCTCCAACACTACTCAGCAAATTGGATGTAGTCTATCACAGTGCCATCCGTTTTGTCACCAAAGCCCCATATACTACCCACCATTGTGACCTGTATGCTCTTGTTGGCTGGCCCTCACTACATATTCGTCGCCAAACCCACTGGCTCCAGGTCATCTATAAAGCACTGTTAGGCAATTCCCCGTCTTATCTTATCTCACTGGTCACCATAGCAACACCCACCCGTAGTCTGCGCTCCAGCAGGTATATCTCACTGGTCATCCCCAAAGACAACACCTCCTTTGGCCACCATTCCATCCAGTTCTCTGCTGCCAATGACTTGCACCCCAGTATCTATTTGCACATCATCTTTTGCACATCTATCATTCCAGGGTTAATACGAAATTGTAACTATTTTGCACTATGGCCTATTTATTGCCTTACCTCCATAAAATATATATGTATTCACTAACTGTAAGTCGCTCTGGATAAGAGCGTCTGCTAAATGACTAAAATGTAAATGTAATAATTTACTACATTCGCACACACTGTATATATATTTTCTGTTGTATTTTTGACTTTATGTTTTGTTTACCCCATATGTAACTGTTGTTGTTTTTAAATCGCACTACTTTGCTTTATCTTGGCCAGGTCGCAGTTGTAAATGAGAACTTGTTCTCAACTGGCCTACCTGGTTAAATAAAAGGTGAAATAAAATAAAATAAAAACATGACATGCACCAAAGACCGATTAGGATGTAGGCCAAGGACTAGATAGTGTATTTTCACTACCAATTTCGACACTTTTAGTCTTCATCTTTGGTTGTTAACTACACTACCTTACTCTGTTTAGCACATGGCCTCACACATGTATCCTTAAAGAGATGGGTGGGTCTAAGGCTTAAGAGGGTGTGAACAATGCTGAATGGGTGTAGACAAAGAAGAGCTCTCCAGTAGGTGTACCAAAACAGTCACAGGCCATTTTCTGGTGGGGTTACAAGTTTGTCAACTTTCAAAGCAGATTTACTTTCCCATTGTTCCTCAACTGCAGTGTAAGATTTAAAATGTTCTAGCTCCGAGTCTCTACTTTTAACCAATGTGAAAAAAACACCATATCAAATTTTGCTACAAAAAGGACCGAATCAAGGTAATGGGTCAAATTTTTTTTTTGTGAATCAATCATTTAGAGTTCTACCTCAATCGACCATCAGCAATACCAATAACGGATCAATCAATTCATAAAGCCCTTTTTACACAAACGGTTACCTTACAGCAACCCAGCCTCTATGAAATTGGGGGGGACATGGAATATTCAGAGCAGGGAAACCATATGACGCCAGGCAAGAGATACGTGTATTGAGGTTGGTGTTTCAAGACTGGGGACCATTTCTGGACAACCACACATCTTTAGAAAACAGTAACACTGACATGGCTAACACTCAAAAGACACAACAGTGCATTTTCCTTGCAAAAACCTCATGGCTGCCTCAGACTACAGCTCTCCACTTCCTGTGTTGCAGTTAACACTCCCACCACCGAGGGAGCAGTAGTCACTCACCAGTCGGCTGATCTCTTCCTGCCTGTCGGGTGCAGAACGTGCTGTAGCTTTGATCATGGTGGAGGTCTGGTTATCTGTCAGCTTCTTGATGCAGCGCTGCCCGGCCACAATATTACAAACCTGTATGCGGACAGAATAGTTAGTTACTGAATATCAAATCAAATTTGATTTGCCACATGCGCCGAATACAACAGGTGTACAGTGAAATGCTTACTTACAAGCCCTTCACCAACAATGCAGTTAAGAAAATAAATAAAGTGTTAAGTAAAAAATGGATAAGTAAAAAAATATAAAATAGCAAGTAATTAAAGAGCAGTAGTAAAATAAAATAACACCAGGGAGGCTATATACAGGGGGTACCGGTACAGAGTCAATGTGCGGGGGCACTGGTTAGTCGAGGTAATTGAGGTAAAAATGTACATGTGGGTAGAGTTAAAGTGACTATGCATAAATAATAAACAGAGTAGCAGCAGTGTAAAAGAGGGGGTTGGGGTGAGGGGGGGGCAAATAGTCTGGGTAGCCATGATTAGCTGTTCAGGACTCTTATGGCTTGGGGGTAGAAGCTGTTAAGAAGCCTTTTGGACCTAGACTTGGCACTCCAGTACCGCTTGGTAGCAGAGAGAACAGTCTATGACTAGGGTGGCTCGAGTCTTTGACCATTTTTAGGGCCTTCCTCTATCACAGTATTCAAGTAATGGAAAAACATGAAAAATATTGTTTTTTATTGGACAAGTCCAGGTACTCCTGTTTCCGTCCGCTTCCATTTGGTGCCTAATGAACGGCAGTAAGCTGGAAACTAAAGTCTGACCATGCCTAGGTACGAAAATGCATAGGTGCAATGAGTGCATCAGTGTTGCCTTCAGGTAATTTCGTCAAAGCCACGAACGCTTGGTAGACCACTGTGAGAGAAACATCACTTGCAGCGAACTCTTGTGTACTCTATACATACAGTAGGGGTTAATTTGAGGTGTGTGTGTGTGTTTTAGAGCCACCCTCTCACCTCCAGGGGTAGATAAGTGTGCTTCTGTTCCTGCCCCACTTGTAGGCAGGGCAGGTGGGGGTATTTGAGCTGTAGGCTGTACTTCTGCTTGAAGTACTGAGCCACTGTACACTCCATGGCCTGGCCATTCTCCAACTGTAAGGGGAACCTGAGCAACAGGCAGACAAGGACATAATAATACACCATATTAATAAACCAAAAGAGCAATGCTTCTTGTCTTGGGTTTTGCATCAACATGATATTGTATCAAGAGATCGAGATGGTTTGTATTTTAGCATAGGTTGATAAAAAAAATTATATATAATCAGAAGAGAAACTTCACGTAGGGCGGCTAGGGCCGTAGGGACACGTGGAAGACGCTAACTGGAATGTGTAGCAACTAGTGCAGCACTTACGTTTGGTGGCTGGCGGGGCGGCGAGTGACATTGCACACGCGATACTTTCTCTTCATCTGACCACAGTGGGTGACCTCGACTTTCAGACCTGAGAGCGAAAAACATATACATAGAAACACCCAGAAGAGCACATCAAAATAGGGCCACAGACTAATAAAAAGATGGGAGAGATAACGAGTGGAGTTTGAAACTGACATTTTAGCATCATTGAAAATGTAGACAGTTGGTGAGTCACTCCATCTTTGACTGTTGAGCAAGACCGTGGTTTTGCTCTTATTGGTGACGGATTGCCTTTTAACATGGCCTAAGTCGAACTTGGGATGGCTGTGCATAACTCAAAACCCATTCACAGCAATGCATGATTTACACAAAAGTTACAGTAAGTTAAGAGTCAAGCATGCATATCTCACGTTAGGATTCAGCCCATAGTGCAGATTATGGGTGTACATCACAGATGGGTGTCAATTCCATCTCAATTCCTATCCATTGAAATTCCAAGTCAAGAGATACGAGTTACAAAGGGTAATTTATTTTCAGTAAAGATTTTTCACAATTCTCAAGCTTCCTGAATTGCAATGGACTTGACACGCGACCCTGAGGTACACTAACATGTAGTACAGTACAATTGTCTGGGTGGGTGGATGCCGTCTAATAAGGTGTGGGGCACCTCCGAAATGTCACCCTATTCCCTATGTAGTGCACGACTTTTGACCAGGGCCCAAAAGTAATGCATTATATAGTGAATAGACGGCTTGGTTGTTTAGCAACAAAACCGACGCGTACGCAACTATGGGGTTGCCTTAGATTGTTGACAACATTGAAACTATATTTAGTCTCCCAATATTTATTGAAAACAAACTTCATTTGCACAATGAGCACTCGTCATAGGGCCTCCTGTAGCTCAGTTGGTAGAGCATGGCGCTTGCAACGCCAGGGTTGTGGGTTCGATTCCCACGTGGGGCCAGTATGAAAAATTTATGCACTCACTAAAACTGTAAGTCACTCTGGATAAGAGCGTCTGCTAAATGACAAAAAATGTAAATGTCTCAAATACATCGTTACAGTTGTTCATTAGCTAGCGAATTTTTGCCATATTAGGATAGACGTGACATCAGTCAACTCAAGACATGGTATCAAGAACAAGATAAAACGAGACACCTACGATTCCCCACATGGCAGCTTCTTGTCATTGTTGCTAGCTTTCTGGCCATCCAGAATCACAACACACAGACTTCTGCCCCATTGAAGCGTGCGCATTGTTTTCGTGACGTTGCCAGCTAACACGTCTATAGGGTGCCATTTCAGATGCAGCCTTGGTGTGTAGAAACATGGTAAAAACATTTGTCTGACCTGCAGGTCCCCACCCACCTCGGATCTCCTTGGTGAACTTGACGCGTTGGGAGTCGGTGAGTGGCTTGGTCTGCTCGTTGATGTTCTGGATGTCGAGCACCTCGCACATGAACTCGATCACAGGCTGGGCACGGTAGAAAGCGGTGGCAGAGACTGTGGGGGGACAAAGGAAATGTAGGGTTCATGACCAAAGAAACCATCAATCCATGTTATATTACTCCAACACAAAATGTACAAGCACACACATAGCCTGGGATTTTTTAAATGATTGAGTCAATGTATTGACTAACAGTCAGAAGATAATTAAGTCTAACCCTTAAAAGGGCTCTTACCATCGATGTTGAGCATCATGTTCCACATGGCAGGACGGACCGACTGATGGAAGCCAAACCACACCTCCCTCCCTCCGCCCAGGGGGTGGTAGTAGCCCTCTGGAGGGGAGAAGAAGGAGCGCCCCACTGGGGTGTACCTGGAAACATCCACATGGAGAGTCAGATGGGAGCAAGAAATGCCAGACAAGATTATTCTGTGAGATATCACTCTTTACATCTCAGAATGACACAACGGAAGTTCTCTGGGAAAAATCTCCAAAAAGGTCTCACGTTTGTTCTTATGGAATTAGTCCATAGGCAGAGTTATTTGTTTGGGAGTTTTGTATGGAAACAGGCCACCGTCTATATGGGCAAGGCTATTTGATACATATTTTGTCACAGGTAGAGAGAGGTGTTATGGGGCCATGTTATAAAAGCCATGTACCTATGCCTAGAGCTGTGTCGGTCATTACATTTTGTCAGCCGGTTATTGTCATGCAAAAAATTGCCGGTCTCGCTGTAATTCACCGTTAATTAACCAAATCTACCTGCCTGTAGCTCAGGACCTGAAGCAAGGATATGCATATTCTTGATACCATTTGAAAGGAAAGTTTGTGGAAATGTGAAATAAAAAATGTAGGAGAACATAACACATTAGATCTGGTGAAAGATAACATGCGTTTTTTGTTCTTTTTTTGTTTAATCATCTTTGAAATGCAAGAGAAAGGCCACAATATAAAGTTACAGTTTAGGCGCAATTTAGATATTGTCCACTAGACGGCACCTGTGTGTGTGCAACGTTTCAGACTGATCCAGTGAAGCATTGCAATACTAGACTATTTTGTATTAAATCTGCTGAATTGGTCAATTGATACATTTTCAAGTACATAACTATAGAGAACATACAAAAATGATATGGTAATACAAAATGTAAGTTTACACTCCCAGGAATGTCATACAAAATGGATCATTAGCTTATGCACTAACTTTCACACATCTAGATGGCCGGGCGGGGTGGGTGTGGAGCCAGAGACAGCAGGGATTCAAACTGTAGAACCCCAGTTCCTACATTTGAATATAAAAATGGAATTTATCAAACAAAACTATGCTACATTTTATCTCTGGGACCCTTAGGATGACAAATCAGAGCAAGATTACTGAATGTAAGTACAAGTTTTTTGTTGTTGTGCACTCAAACAATAGCATGGTATTTTTTCACTGTAATAGCTACTGTAAATTGGACAGTGCAGTTAGACTTGTCTTATATGGGCAGAAAGCTTGTTAATCGATGTCCTGGAAAGTTTACTGTTACTTACAACAGTCATGTTAATCACATTAGTGCACATTTGCTCAACCGTCCCGTATACGGGACACCGATCCCGTAGAGTTTTTTTTTTTTTTTTAATGGTAGGGGCGTGGATCAGAAAAGCATTCAGTATCTGGTGTGACCACCATTCACCTAATGCAGCACGACAAATGCATAGAGTTACATAGAGTTCATCAGGCTGTTGACTGGCCTTTAGAATGTTGTCCCACTCCTCTTTAATGGCTGTGTGAAGTTGCTGGATATTGGCGGGAACTCGAACACGCTGTTGAGCACGTCGATCCAGAGCATCCCAAATTTGCTCAATGGGTGACATGCCTGGTGAGTATGCAGGCCATGGAAGAACTGGGACATTGTCAGCTTCCAGAAATCCTGTACAGATCCTTGCGACATGGGGCCGTGCATTATGCTGAAACATGAGGTGATGGCAGTGGATGAATGGCACGACAATGGGCCTCAGAATCTCGTCACGGTATCTCTGTGCATTCAAATTGTCATCGATTTTATGTATTCGTTTTCCATAGCTTATGCCTGCCCATACCATAACCCCACCATGGGGCACTCTGTTCACAACGTTGACATCAAACCCTTCACCCACACGACACCATACATGCTGTCATCTGCCCGGTACAGTTGAGACCAGGATTAATCTGTGAAGAGCACACTTCTCCTGCATGCCAGTGGCCATTGAAGGTGAGCATTTGGCCACTGAAGTCGGTTACGACGCAGAACTGCAGTCAGGTCAAGACCCTGGTGAGGACGATGACCAAGCAGATGAGCTTCCCTGAGACGGCTTCTGACAGTTTGTGCAGAAATTCTTCGGTTGTGCAAACCCACCGTTTCATCTTCTGTCCGGGTGGCTGGTCTCAGACGATTCCGCAGGTGAAGACGCAGGATGTGGAGGTCATGGGCTTGCGTGGTTACAAGTGGTCTGCATTTGTGAGGCCGGTTGGACGTACTGCCAAATTCTCTAAAACAACGTTGGAGACGGCTTATGGAAGAGTACTCAACATCCAATTCTCTTGCAACAGTTCTGGAGGAAATTACTGCAGACAGAATGCCAATTGCACGCTCAGTAAAAACTTCTGTAGCATTGTGTTGTGTGGCAAAACTGCACATTTTAAAGTGGCCTTTTATTGTCCCCAGCACAAGGTGCACCTGTGTAATGATCATGCTGTTTAATCAGCTTCTTGATATGCCACATCTGTCAAGTGGATGGATTATGTTGGCAAATGAGAAATGTTCACTAACAGGGATGTAAACAAATGTGCACAACATTTTACAGAAATAAGCTTTTTGTGCATATGGAAGATATCTGGGATCTTTTATTTCAGCTCATGAAACAATGGACCAACGCATTACATGTTGCATTTATATTTTTGGCAGGTCTAAAGAAACATGATTTGAAGAAAAATATATTTCAGATGAACAGAATGAGTTGGCCTACTGTATGGTATCTGGCTATGCGCCATGCCATAGGCTTGTTCATTTAGCTGACAAGATGTGCTTAAGTCCCGTGCCATTACCTTATATGATTTTATAGTAAGAAGAATATATTTGAACTTAGCTGAATAAAATAGAAAGGATATTTTTCCCATTCCGGAGCGAGTGCGCATATGAAGTTGCAGTGTTGAGCATAAAAGTGATCATTTGAAACAGGTCCTATACGCTATATTTAGAGTTATTTGGCAACTTTAGTTGTGAATGATACAAACCTTAGAATATCTTAGAAATCAAAAGATATGATGCAACTATAGGCTATTGATAATTTGAGAAAGTTGCAAAAAAGCTTGTTCCTTGCCTCAGGCTCCACACGCTGTTCTCATCAAGTGATCATATTTTCACCCATCAGACTAATCTAAATGTAATCTTGTAATTCTTAATTTAAACAAATTTTACATATTAGTAAATGGCCAATTACACAAATGGTCAGGAACCGGGGCAAAAGGATATGTCATCCGTATGCACTCGAATGGAGGCCACTTCCCCACCAGTTTGTTTTTCACTCATGCGGGGTAGGCTACTCCGGTTATTTCACTCTCTCACTGCGAGACAGGTGATATTTCACCCAAACTCTGTATGCCATGGGCTCTCCAACCCGGTTCCTGCAGCTACCCAGTGCACTTGGGAAACCAAGTGAAATCAGTTCCGGAAAAAGCAATAGTAACATGTTTTCAGAACTAAACATGTTTCATTAAACGGTTGACAGCCCATCTCTATGCGCGCTCGAGAAAGCAATGAAGGAGAGAGGGGAGGAGATCGAAACGCACATTTCGTGAGATATTCTGTAGCTAAAGGGAATGGGTCAGCCTATTAATTATAAAAAATGCCCTATTAATAGGCTATTCAAAATCAAATACAAATTCACTATAAATGTAGGCCAAATATGAATGTTTAATTTTGGGGTACAGGCTACACCAATTATGTACAAAAGATATCTTACATTTTTGTATGTTTTTCTGCCCTGCGTAATATGCGGTACGCTGTCTGTTGCATAAAGGCACAATTTTAATTGGATTAGGCTCATACAGTTGAAGTCGGAAGTTTACATACACCTTAGCCAAATACATTTCAACTCAGTTTTTCACAATTCCTGACATTTAATCCTAGTAAAAATGCAGTCTTAGGTCAGTTAGGATCACCACTTTATTTTAAGAATGTGAAATGGCAGAATAATAGTAGAGAGAATTATTTATTTCAGCTTTTATTTATTTCATCACATTCCCAGTGGGTCAGAAGTTTACATACACTCAATTAGTATTTGGTAGCATTGCCTTTAAATTGTTTAACTTGGGTCAAATGTTTTGGGTAGCCTTCCACAAGCTTCCCACAATAAGTTGGGTGAATTTTGGCCCATTCCTCCTGACAGAGCTGGTGTAACTGAGTCAGGTTTGTAGGCCTTCTTGCTCGCACACACTTTTTCAGTTCTGCCCACATATATTCTATAGGATTGAGATCAGGGCTTTGTGATGGCCACTCCAATACCTTGACTTTGTTGTCCTTAAGCCATTTTGCCACAACTTTGGAAGTATGCTTGGGGTTGTCAATTTGGAAGACTCATTTGCGACCAAGCTTTAACTTCCTGACTGATGTCTTGAGATGTTGCTTCAATATATCCACCTAATTTTCCTTCCTCATGACGCCATCTATTTTGTGAAGTGCACCAGTCCCTCCTGCAACAAAGCACCCCCACAGCATGATGCTGCCACCCCCGTGCTTCATGGTTGGGATGGTGCTCTTCGGCTTGCAAGGACCCCCTTTTTCCTCCAAACATAACGATGGTCATTATGGCCAAACAGTTCTATTTCTGTTTCATTACACCAGTGGACATTTCTCCAAAAAGTACAATCTTTGTCACCATGTGCAGTTGCAAACCGTAGTCTGGCTTTTTTTATGGCGGTTTTTGAGCAGTGGCTTCTTCCTTGCTGAGCAGCCTTTCAGGTTATGTTGATATAGGACTCGTTTTACTGTGGATATAGATACGTTTGTACCCGTTTCCTCCAGCATCTTCACAAGGACCTTTGCTGTTGTTCTGGGATTGATTTTCACTTTTCGCACCAAAGTACGTTCATCTCTAGGAGGACAGAACGCGTCTCCTTCCTGAGCGGTATGACGGCTGTGTGATCCCATGGTGTTTATACTTGCATACTATTGTTTGTACAGATGAACTTGGTACCTTCAGGCGTTTGGAAATTGCTCCCAAGGATGAACCAGACTTGTGGAGGTCTACATTTTTTTTCCTGAGTTCTTGCCCGATTTCTTTTCATTTTCCCATGATGTCAAGCAAAGAGGCACTGAGTTGGAAGGTAGGCCTTGAAATACATCCACTTTATGTTTTGTTTATCCCATATGTAACTCTGTGTTGTTTTTAAATCGCACTGCTTTGCTTTATCTTGGCCAGGTCGCAGTTGTAAATGAGAACTTGTTCTCAACTGGCTTACCTGGTTAAATAAAGGTGAAATAAAAAAATAAAAAAGGCATACCTCCAATTGACTCAAATAATGTCAATTAGCCTATCAGAAGCTTCTAAAGCCATGACATCATTTTCTGGAATTTTTCAAGCAGTTTAAAGGCCCAGTCAATTTAGTCAATATTTCTGACCCACTGGAATTGTGATACAGTGATCTATAAGTGAAATAATCTGTCTGTAAACAATTGTTGGAAAAATTACTTGTGTCATGTACAAAGTAGATATCCTAACCGACTATCCAACACTATAGTTTTTTAACAAGAAATTTGTGGAGTGGTTGAAAAACAAGTTTTAATGACTCCAACCTAAGTGTATGTAAACTTCCGACTTCAACTGTATATAGGCCTATGCATAAGCTCTAATATGCGTATGGGTGTTTTAAATTAATCACCACCTTAGAAAGCGCTGTCCATTTTGATGACATTTGCATGGACGTCAGAGTGGTTAAAGGGACAATAGAGCCCTGAATACCCCATCATTAGCAACCTGATGATCGTCAGTGAGTTGGGTACTACCAATGCATGTCCAGAGTGCATAAAAAAGGAGATTGCCGTGACTCAACGGTCATGTGGAATTTTACTGCAGTCATGACGGCCGGTAATACGGTCACCACAACAGCCCTACCAGCCCTAAATTAAGATCAAAAACCACATTTTTTTGTGTTAATACATTTTTCAAAATGTTGACTTTGTAGCTTGGCAAATGTATAGTGTAAGCCATGTGTACCTCATGGAAGGCAGGTGGCGGGTGATGACGTCCAGGGCCTGAACAGAGTCCTCGGGGACCTCATTGTGGCCTGACAGGGCCTCCAGGAGCATCTGCAGGCTCACCACCGACACCCACTGCAAAGACACCTTGAAGGTCTGGTCCTTCCCCTCCCCCGGCAGAGTTACTTCCAAATCCACCTAGAGAGCGAGAGAGGGCAGGGTGTTAGGAAATGGTTGAAAAGCCACAAATAAAAACACATTTGTGATGCGCTTAAACCACACTGAGTGTACAAAACATTAGGAACACTTGCTCTTGCCATGACAGACAGACCAGGTGCCTCCAGATGAAATCTATGATCCCTTATTGATGTCACTTGTTAAATCCACTTAAAATCAGTGTAGATGAAGGGGAGGAGACCAGTTTAAGAAGGATTTTTAAGCCAAGAGACAATTGAGACATGGATTGTGTATCTACAGAGCATTCGGAAAGTATTCAGACCGCTTGACTTGTTCCACATTTTGTTACGTTACAGCCTTATTCTAAAATGGATTAAATAGTTTTATTTCCTGAATCTACACACAATACCTCATAATGACAAAGCAAAAACAGGTTAATTTTTTTTGCAGAACCTCTCAAGCTCTGTCCGGTTGGATGGGGAGAGTCGCTGCACAGCTATTTTCAGGTCTCTCCAGAGATGTTCGATTGAGTTTAAGTCCAGGCTCTGGCTGGGCCACTCAAGGATATTCAGAGACTGTAAGGTCCCACAGTTGACAGTGCATGTCAGACCAAATAACAAGACATTAGGTCAAAATAATTGTCCGTAGAGCTCCGAGACAGGATTGTGTCGAGGCACAGATCTGGGGAAGGGTATCAAAACATTTCTGCAGCTTTGAAGGTCCCCAAGAACACAGTGGCCTCCATCATTCTTAAAATTGAAGAATTTTCGAACCACCAATACTCTTCCTAGAGCTGGCTGCCCGGCCAAACTGAGCAATCGGGGTAGAAGGGCCTTGGTCAGAGAGGTGACCAAGAACCCGATGGTCAGAGAACTCCAGAGTTCCTCTGTGGAGATGGGAGAACCTTCCAGAAGGACAACCATCTATGCAGCACTCCACCAATTAGGCCTTTATGGTAGAGTGGCCAGATGAAGCCACTCCTCAGTAAAAGGCACATGACAGCCCACTTGGAGTTTGCCAAAAGGCACCTAAAGGACTCTTAGAAACAAGATTCTCTGGTCTGATGAAACCAAGATTGAACTCCTTGGCCTGAATGCCAAGTGGCACATCTTGAGGAAACCTGGAACCATCCCTACGGTGAAGCATGGTGGTGGCAGCATCATGCTTTGGGGATGTTTTTCAGCGGCAGGGACTGGGAGACTAGTCAGGATCGAGGCACAAATGAACAGAGCAAAGTACAGAGAGATCCTTGATGAAAATCTGCTCCAGAGCGCTCAGGACCTCAGACTGGGGCAAAGGTTCACCTTTCCAACAGGACAACGACCCTAAGTACACAGCCAAGACAATGCAGGAGTTGCTTCGGGACAAATCTCTGAATGTCCTTGAGTGGCCCAGCCAGAGCCCGGACTTGAACCCGATCTAACATCTCTGGAGAGACCTGAAAATAGCTGTGCAGCGACGCTCCCCATCCAACCTGACAGAGCTTGAGAGGATATGTAGAGAATAAATGGGAGAAACTCTTCAAATACAGGTGTGCCAAGCTTGTAGCGTTATACCAAAGAAGACTCGAGGCTGTAATCACTGCCAAAGCCGCTTCAACAAAGTACTGAGTAAAGGGTCTGAATACTTATGTAAATGTGATATATCCTGGGTTTTTTTTATTTATAAAATGTTTTTAAAAAATCTACAAACCTGTTTTCGCTTTGTCATTATGGGGTATTGTGTGTAGATTGATGAGGGAAAATGTAATTTAATCAATTTTAGAATGAGGCTGTAACGTAACAACATGTGCAAAATGTGAAGGGGTTTGAATACTTTCAGAATGCACTGTGTGTGCCATTCAGAGGGTGACTGGGCAAGACAAAATATTTAAGTGCCTTTGAACAGGGTATGGTAGTAGGTGCCAGGTGATCGAGTTTGGGTGTGTCAAGAACTGCAACGCTGCTGGGTTTTTCAAGCTCAACAGTTTCCCGTGTGTATCAAGAATGGTCCACCACCCAAAGGAAATACAGCCAACTTGACAACTGTGGGAAGCATTGGAGTCAACATGGGCCAGCATATCTGTGGAACGCTTTCGACACCTTATAGAGTCCATGCCCCGACAAACTGAGGCTGTTCTGAGGACAAAACGGGGGTGCAACTCAATATTAGGAAGGTGTTCCTGATGTTTTGTACACTCAGTGTATACATCTAAACAAACTTGTCAAGGCCTAGAATACACAGATGAATCAAATCGATGGTTCTGGATGTGGCAAAAAAAAAAACACCTGTCAAAACAGAGGCTACTCAAAACTCTTTCAAGAACTGATAGAGGTGCTGGGAAGTAGAGACTGCCCATTACATGGTCACAACAACCAGAGGTACAATGGTGATGAAGGCGATTGCTTACCCTGTCTCTCCCGATGGGTAGAGGATGGGCCGTATACATGTTCCTCTTCCCGTCGTAGCCCGGTTGTCGATCACCAAAGATCTGCATCTTGAAGTGCCGAACCATTGTGTCCACCACCTCCCTGTGAGACAGGAGAATCATGAGATGGCCAGATAATGCATTCACAAAAAGATCCCAGTCTTCACCGTCTTTCCCTATACATTAAATTGTTCAAATAAACCACTTCCCACCCGCTGCTCTGTTGAAGACCCATTTTTATTTTCACACGTACAACTCACTTGAGTTTGACTTCTTTCGCTAACAAGGACATTCCCTCAACTCCACTAAAAACCTCTACCAAACAACTAAACCCTCAAAGTATCAACTTAATTTCCCTCTCTCTGAAAATCAATTTCCACCTTCTTGTTCCACTCGAAAGAGACATTTCTCTCCTTCCCTCCCCATGCCCAGTTGTATTTACCTGTTGACCCTCCGAGGCCGTTTCTCAGGCTTGATGTCGATATCGTAGTGATAGACATCAATCTTGGGAATCTGCACCTGGAAGTGATTGGCCAGCAGGCGGATGGGCTTCCCCACGGTGCCCATGCCAGGCCTCCGTGGGGGCTGGAAGAGGGAGGTGGGGGCCGGCGGGCCTATAGGGGGGTCCAAACACAGAAACACACACATTTGTTGGTTGATACATTCATTTCAGCTGGGTCGTATTCACTAGGTACTAAACGGAAGAAAACAGACAAACAATGAGGGGCTACCTTAACTTGTCCAATAAGAAATGCTCGTTTTGTTTGCGTTGCAAAATGTTTTGCTACGGTGTGCTCTAATGAATAAGACCCTGTTAAAATGACACTAAGAGGAAAAAAGGACAAGTAAGTAGTAGTTAAGAGGCATTTTGGTCTTAGATACAATTTGTTTGTTTTGGCAATGAGTCTAAGCAGCACGATGACCAATGTGGGTGAAATTATTGGTAGCTAAGCTATATTTGGACAGGATGCTCAGAAATTCATAAAAGCTGACCAACAGAAATTGTTGCATGCATTTGCCATTTCTTTTTTTGCATTATTGTCGAATTGTTATTTACATTTGCGCAATCAATTCCTGAAATCAGTCCAATCACCACGGTTTCCCACATGAACTCTCGCCAACAGGTCATGACTACCCGCCCACACACACACGATTGATCCATCTCTCTGGCCTCCGACCCAGATAGGTCAACAGGGGAGGACAAAACAAATGTCCTGCCCAAGCCCCTACCCCACTCAAGCCAGACCATAGACCGACGCACAGGGCCCTCCCCAGACAAAGAGCAGCGCGTCAGACAGACGGCAGCAGGGCCAGATGAGGGTCTGCAGAGACGGCGAGGATTACCGTTACGCACAACATGAACACTGTTTGTGTATATCCCAAAATTAAAATGTGTAAGCCTATTGCACCAAGCCCCAGTACTAACTCACAGGCATGTGTCCTTAGCAATTTATCTAGACAATTATTTGGGTGGATGTTGGAAAGTTGGATGCACTACTGTATTGTATACTTGTGTCTTACATTTAATTTGCCTTTGTGTTAAAGAATCTATTATAAAATAGGGGGAACTATCCAATTAATTTTTTTTTTTTTTTTTTTAATAGACATTCAAGATTCAAAGCATATAGAGAGGGAAAGGGGAGAGTTGAGATTGAAGGCTGGGTGTAAGGGAGGGAGGGGAATGCTTTTGTCAACTGACAACAAGCGGGCTGCGGGGGTCCTGAACCCAATGCACCACCACGCTCCAGTTAGCAAGTGAAGCCCAGAGGGTGACAATCAGGACCCTCCCTCTGCTTCCTAAAAACACGCTCCATGCATGCCCTCATCCCCCCTCGCCCCCCCACCCTCCTTCTCAGCCCTGTGTCCCTGTAAAAGTTACTGCGACAGGACCAACCACAACAGCCCCAGGGATGCACAGTGTGTGTGCGTGTGCTGTAGGTAAGGTTCAGAGAGGGATCCCAGTGGGTGTAACAGTCAGGTTGGGTCACCCCGACTCACCCACTTTCACCAAAAACAGCACCGGACCTATATATAGCCCCCTCAGCTGCTGCCTCAGGGCGGTTGAGAGGAGCTGTCAGTGTGTCACTGTGTAGAATGCCTGGACCCCTCCCTTCTCCCCAAACCTTTCTGACTGGGGGGTGTCTCACTGGTACCTTAACTATGGATTCAAGTCTGCAGTTGCAACCTGCAGGGCCTGGCTGACTGTCACATGCACTTCAGGCAAATTGCACATGATCAAGCCCACTGCCCAAGCAAATGAATGCATTGCACATGGCCAAGATGTGCGCATGCGGCTGCACTGATTCTTACGTGATCAAAGCCAATCAGAGCCAATCTCAAAACAACGCCTATTGGTTACCGTGGTTGCACTGCACCAAAGGAGAATGCTATCAGATAAAGCAGACCACCACAATTACATTTGTTGGGAAATAATGCTTTTTCCGCCAAAAATGCTTTGTCTGGTTATTTGATAAAATGTGAGTAAATTACTGAGCATAACCGACTTAAAATGAGGAGCACTGGTTGTTGGTCTATTAACGTTATAATTGACATTTTTAAGGTGATTTATGTAGTAATGGAAAGGTGTAGTTAGTAAAAGTCTGAAGAGTGACAGTATGGCCAATAGAGATAGGCCTAGATGTTGGGAGACATTTTACATTACATTTTAGTCATTTAGCAGACGCTCCTATCCAGAGCGACTTACAGTTAGTGAGTGCATACATTTTCATACTGGCCCCCCGTGGGAAACGAACCCACAACCCTGGCATTGCAAACACCATGCTCTACCAACTGAGCTACATCCCTGCCGGCCATTCCCTCCCCTACCCTGGACGACGCTGGGCCAATTGTGCGCCGCCCCATGGGTCTCCCGGTCGCGGCAGGCTACGACAGAGCCTGGATTCGAACCAGGATCTCTAGTGGCACAGCTAGCACTGCGATGCAGTGCCTTAGACCACTGCGCCACTCGGGAGTGTCCCTCTCTCAGGTAAAGGCAGTAGGTTAGGGTTCATGGTGGTAACAGATACAAAACCTACTTCAGTCATGGTCAACATACAGGCCTACTACCATTAAGCATCCATGCTTTTACTCTAGTGCAAGTGAGAGACAGGGGGGCCTTAACCTGCAGACAGGATGCACTGGGCTGATGAGTCTGTAATGACATTGACCGTGAGGGACGTGCAGTCACCTGTAAATCACCTGGATTACACAGTGGAGAATAGAGGGGCCTGGGGACTGCTGGGGCACGTAAGCTATTCACAACCACAAGACACAGGGGATAGCTAGTGGCCAGCTCGGCCTGTATGTGTTGTAGATTAAACTGCCTAGGCCCATATTATGGATCAACTAAGGTTAGCCTACTGAACATGCCCACCTGCTGTCCTTATAACAGCAACCTTGTGAATTGCATATTTTCATGTCCTACATTTCCTCCTTTGTTTACGGTCGGTTTTTATGGATCATTCTGCAGCAAAACTAATTCCCCCCGTGAGGATAATTACATTTTCTACCTAAACAAGCTTTCATGTACTGTATGTGATGATGCTCAGGGAGATGCAGCTGATAAGGTGCAAAGCTAAAAGTCTGAGGAGGTTATTTGGGTGTACTGCGTTGCAATGATTTCTAGAAAGACCATCACTTGGTCTTTTTGATGATTTGGCACAGACAACAGTGAGCAGAATGGCAGCTGTGAAGGGGTTGCATACTAAACGAGTAGGTTCTATATAACAGGGAGCAAGGTTACATTGAAGCCTTCCAGAATACCATAAAATGCAAATTATTCCATTATATTTGCCTATGGATAAATGCCCAAGCTTGTGTTTGTGCATGGATGTAGCCAATGTGGCCATCAATTCCACCTAGTGACATTTAACATTTTAATGGCAAACAGGAAATTGAGAAGAATGTATAGGCTGTGGTAGTGAGCTGATGGCATGAGTGTTTCATTGCTGGTGAAAATTGTTTTTATAAATCAGGTAACAAAAGAGGTGATAACTTGTTAATCCCTTATAATAAAGACTGAGGTATTCTCACCAGCTGCATGACAGTTAGTTGTATATCAGGTGTGAAAGAACTATACATATTGGTAAACTGTCAATTGGAAGTTGCATCACAGTAAAAATGACTGTTATAGTAGGTATGGTCATGGAGTACGCGAGCTTTCAAAAGCCAGGCTCCATGCACGCACGACTGCATGATAATTTCCTCCAAGGCACTGGCAGGCGATGGTGGCGCGCAAACCACTGACAGAAATGAAAGAAAGCATACCAACACGCTTTTAAAATAATTTACTGCCAACAAACAGTCGATAATATTTAAATATTTTAGCGTGAACAAAGACAGTGTGGCAGCATTGTAACGTTAGTTAGCGTCTCTCGTTGCTTTCAATAGGTAGAGAGGAGGACAGTACGGGGAGACGACAACATTCCCTTCCCTACTGTCGATTGCACAAAGCCACTAGGCTTCATATTAACATGTTCTAATGCTATATGGGCTTGAGGGCATACGTATTTCAACTGGAATCGTTTTAAACGTATCATAAAGCTGAAAAAATAGCGTGTTTGCTGATGAAACGATAGGCTAGACAACAACAGACACACGACACGGAAGGAAGGTATTGGTTAAATCCCCCCCACACACACAATGCCGTCCAGCCCTCGTATCGAGCTGCTTCAGATAGAAAACCAGCAGCCGAGATTGACCAAAACAAGATCCCTCGTTTTGTCTTGCATAACATGTGCTTATCAGGCTGTAGTAGTCATGGAAATAACCTTATCTCCGATGTATTAATGTTACACACGTTGGGCCTGGTATGCTCGTTTGTTTTTTCTCTGTCGTCGAGGCCTAGCTACAACCACGGTCCCCAGTTGAGCAATGAACAGGCGCACACACTCCCGACACAGGCTTCTCATATCATCTTCTTACCGGGTCCGAGCGCTTCCATGGCCGAGGGCTCTCTCTCCGTCTCTGTCCCGGCCTGGCGGCTCCGTACCGACACTGAAATTGGGGGCGGTATCGCGAAGCTGAGGGGGGCTAATTTAAGAAAGGGAATATAATGCGTAGATGTCCAGCAGTGTTGTGGATGCGTTGTCTTTCGAGTGATTTAAAGCGGATCCTGTGGATTTGGAAATGAGCATGCGCGAGGAGGTGCTATAAATTCATTCTGCGCTTGCGCAGAGCGAATGACAGCAGGCGCAAAAGAGCACCACCCACGTACAGTTATGGTTAGTACACTACTCACACCTTTTACTGTAAATGTGACTCATCATACAATAGGTTACTAAATCATAGTACAGTACTTACGTAGCTGTATCTTAATTGTATGTCATTAGACTATACATGATCATTTCATCCCCTATCTCCAGATCATCTTGCTACATTTCCCCCAAACTCTTGTTTACCTTACCCAATTAAACACTAATTGTTATTTTGATTCCACTTACTTTTACTAACTCAGGTGACAATATTTTCTTGACATTGCATTGAAAACAAAATGTCAATGGTCTGTGTTAGAAAATAAAATAGTTCATAAACTGGCCTGTCCTGTTTTTGTCGTGGAGTGGGGGTGGACATGTCTGGTCAGCTGTGTAACCGTAGATTTACCAATCAAATGCTTTTCCTCTGTCATTGGCATAACCACCATCCAACGATTGGATGAGGGTGGACATCAATTTTGAGTATCATCCAATAGAAAAGCACAACGACAATGACTGACAGATGTAAGGATAGACTATCATTGTCAGCGCGCGAAAGATCAAAAGTGTTTAATTCAGAGCAAGAACAAGCGGGAGGGAGAGAAAGCTAAATGCGGATTAATAACACCATTAGCCATAAAAGCATTTTTACACCAATAGTACTGTCTTATGGTCGGAAAGAATTGAAAACGGTACGGAAGTCTTGGTTTCACAGTTTTAATGCAGGTTCACTGCAAATACACAACATAAAAGGCAGATAAAGTTAAGATGAATCTGGTGGTCTCTCAACAGGTAAGAATGTATATTTTCAAATTGACAAGCGCCTAAAGTTAGTTACATTAGCTAGCTACATACCAATACATTGTTTAATTAGTTGAACGTTTAACTAACGTTAGCTAGGTTAACAACTTATTCTGACTAAAATTAGGTGAGGCTTGAGTCCGCCATAACCCCACGCTAGTTAGCTAGCTAGCTACCTGACTTGTTACTGATGATTGGAGTAACTAGCTAGCAATCATCGTCCTTTGGCTAGTTTGAACGACTGTGTGTTAGACATTTGCATAGGGTAACACTGACTGTGTGAGCAATGAACATGGTGTTAACTGAAAACTCTTCTAGACAGTTTCCTATGTGTAACATTAGCCAGTGTTGAATGTCCAGCTGGCTAACTACCGTAACCGTCTGTTCTTTGTGGCAGCTGAGAGAGAAGGCGCCACAACAGCCATTTGGCGACCCAACATTGAACAACAGACAGGCATCAAATTTAAGCAAGCAAGATCATTCACCTAAATTTACAATGTTTTTTTTTTCTTCACGTTTCAATTTCTCAATGTTTACATCAGTTATACTTATGTCTTGTCACTGGAAAGAAAACAGACCATGATTATTTTGTAGGAAAGAGAGGAACAAAGTCACCAACATGGTTCAAAACATGGTTAAAACAACATCCACATTTAGGTGAATTTCTGACCGTTTTTTTCTCTATCCAGGCACTGGAGCTCCCTGCCGTGGTCCCAGTAGCCGAGAGTGATTCAGACAGCGGGATGGGCTCACCAGTGGAGGAGATGCAGATTGCTTCTGAGATGATTAGCAATACTGTCAACCCGCAAGGTACAATGACACAACAAAACGAGTGATCCGTGCCTAAACAGACCACCTGACCAGAGCCCCCTCTTAATGTTAATAGACTGCTCTGGACTGGGCCATTTGCTCGGTGATGAGAAACAATGGATTGTCTAGTCTTTGACTTTAGACTATCCAAACCATCGATGCAAACTACAGTACGTGACAATTCAACTACCAATGCAAACTAACCTACTTACTTTAATAGGAAATAGTTTGCATTGTAATGTAAACAGGATACCACCTTTCCCACATTAGTCATTAAGATGGCTTGTAATATCTTTCCCAGATTCGGATGATGACCTCACAGTGAACCGGCGGTCCCGTTGTCGGAAGGCCCTGAGAGACAGTGACAGCGAGGAGGAGGTGCATGAGATGGCAGAGGCTCTGGTCCTGTCAGCATCCAGCGGAGATGAGATGGAGACTGCTGAGGAAGAGGTCAAAGGGGCAGAATTAAAGAGCAAGAAGGTTTCCCGGATAGCCCCTATCGACAGTGATGAGAGTGCGCCAGAGAAGGAGGAAGAGCTGGTAAAAAAGGATGTGGAAGGGAAGCGGGAGAAGAGCCAGAGACACAGAGAGAAGAAAGAGAAGTGCAGCAAAGCTGTGGAGCGACTGAAGAAGAAAGTGAGACCTGAGGAGGTGGGGTTGAGTTATAGTGATAGAAAAAGTGACAGTGTAAAATGAAGAGTTTTGATTCAAAGTAAAGACTATTTTTCCCATCACTCTCTGTTTTGTAGAAGACCCCTTTGCCCCGTGCTCAGAATGACAGCGGCTGTCTCCTTGGTGACAATGACCTATATGACGCTGGTCTGGATGATGATGAAGAGGAAGAGTCTCTGGACGCCATCAGAGCAGCAGTAAAGCAGAAAGCCAAGAAGCACAAGGTAAGGGTAATATTAAAAGTCATATCTGTAGTTCAGGAGTAGGTGTGAGGTCACTAAAAAGCAAACGTATGCCCAAAATAAATCACCCAGGAAACTTCTTGAATGTGAAGTGGTTTGTGAATTCATTTGAGTTTATGGCTAATCTTACATAGTTTTGTCTCTGTATATTGTGCTGTGCAGGTAGACAATGCACTGTATTGTACGTCAGAACTATGCTCTGTATCTTTTCCTTAGGAGCCTTTATTTGATGATGATGATGAGGGAGATGATGAGGCTGGACCGAAACAGCGTCCCCAGGAGAGGAAGGCAGCTCGAGCCAGCAAGGAGGCCATGAAGCAGCTGCACAGTGAGACCCAGAGGCTGGTCCGAGGTCAGTTTGTTTTTACCTTCATATTACAATAGTGTGTCCCTATATGGAGTGTATTGCCCGTGTTCCACTATGCTTTGTCTCTACATGGCTTGTTACACACTTTTCTTGTGTGGCTTTATTGTCCAACCCAGTCTTTCTTGTTACATGTTCTTAATTCCTTTGCAGAATCCACATGTGGGCTGCCCTACCACATGCCTGAGCCCAAGAGCATCGACCAGTTCTTCAAGAGGAGAGCCCGACCTGAGGGTTCTGCTATGGCACTATTGAAGTACGTAGACATTTTTCTATCTGGATTTCTTTACTTCTTCCAGCTTTGTCTTTGCAATTACTGAACTATACTCGTCTGGTTTTGTCTAAATAATTTAAAGTAATAATCTGCGATTGCTACACCCATTCTTGGACTTTTAAGTTAATGATATATACCCATTTGATTCTTTAAGGCATAACTTATAAATTCCTCATGAGCTTTGTTCAACTGTCATACCCTATCAGACCCAAAATAGCTTGTTTAACTCCTTTGTTTGTCAACAATATAATGTAAACAAACACTGTATAGCCTCAAAACATGGTTAAAACAATACTTTTTATATAGGTGGTGGTAATGGGGGGGAATCAATAGTTACATATCGCAATATTATTTCGGATTATATTCTATTGATACTTTGAAAAAAATATTTACATACATACAGTCAAAAGGTTGGACACACCTACTCATTCAAGTGTTTTTCTTTATTTTAACTATTTTCTACATTGTAGAATAATAGTGAAGACATCAAAACTATGAAATAACACACATGGAATCATGTACTAACCAAGCAAGTCTCTTCTTCTTATTGGTGTCCTTTAGTAGTGGTTTAACAATAATATGCCATTTAGCAGACGCTTTTATCCAAAGTGACTTAGTCATGTGCGCATAAATTTTTACGTATGGGTGGTCCCGGGGATCGAACCCACTACCCTGGCGTTACAAGCTCTACCAATTGAGCTACAGAGGACCACGGTTTCTTTGCAGCAATTCAACCATGAAGGCCTGATTCATGCAGTCTCCTCTGAACAGTTGATGTTGAGATGTGTCTGTTATTTGAACTCTGAAGCATTTATTTGGGCTGCAATCTGAGGTGCAGTTAACTCTAATGAACTTATCCTCTGCAGCAGAGGTAACTCTGGGTCTTCCTTTCCTGTGGCGTTCCTCATGCGAGCCAGTTTCATCATATTAAAAATAAAGAAAACCCTTGAATGAGTAGCTGTGTCCAGACTTTTGACTGGTACTATATACAGTGCAAATTAATTACTTAAAAATCATACAATGTGATTTTCTGGATTTTTGTTTTAGATTCCGTCTCTCACAGTTAAAGTGTATCTATGATAAAAATTACAGACCTCTACATGCTTTGTAAGTAGGAAAACCTGCAAAATCGGCAGTGTATCAAATACTTGTTCTCCCCACTGTATATGTATACAGTACCAGTCAAAAGTTTGGACACACCTACTCATTCAAGGGTTTTTCTTTATTTTTACTATTTTCTACATTGTAGAATAATAGTGAAGACATCAAAACTATGAAATAACACACATGGAATCATGTAGTAACCAAAAAAGTGTTAAACAAATATTTGAGGTTCTTCAAATGGCCACCCTTTGCCTTGATGACAGCTTTGCACACTCTTGGCTTTCTCTCAACCAGCTTCACCTGGAATGCTTTTCCAACAGTCTTGAAGGAGTTCCCACTTATGCTGAGCACTTGTTGGCTGCTTTTCCTTCACTCTGCCGTCCGACTCATCCCAAACCATCTCAATTGGGTTGAGGTCGGGGGATTGTGGAGGCCAGGTCATCTGATGCAGCACTCCATCACTCTCCTTCTTGGTAAAATAGCCCTTACACAGCCTGGAGGTGTGTTGGGTCATTGTCCTGTTGAAAAACAAATGATAGTCCCACTAAGCCCAAACCAGATGGGATGGTGTATCGCTGCAGAATGCTGTGGTAGCCATGCTGGTTAAGTGTGCCTTGAATTCTAAATAAATCACAGACAGTGTCACCAGCAAAGCACCCCCACACCATAACACCTCCTCCATGCTTTACGGTGGGAAATACACATGCAGAGATTCTGTTCACCCACACCACGTCTCACAAAGACACATCGGTTGGAACCAAAAATCTGCAATTTGGACTCCAGACCAAAGGACACATTTCCACCGATCTAATGTCCATTGCTCGTGTTTCTTGGCCCAAGCATGTCTCTTCTTGTTGGTGTCTTTTAGTAGTGGTTTCTTTGCAGAAATTTGACCATGAAGGCCTGATTCACACAGTCCCCTCTGAACATTTGATGTTTGGATGTCTGTTACTTGAACTCTGCAACACATTTATTTGGGCTGCAATTTCTGAGGCTGGTAACTCTAATGAACTTATCCTCTGCAGCAGAGGTAACTCTGTGTCTTCCATTCCTGTGGCGGTCCTCATGAGAGCCAGTTTCATCATAGCGCTTGATGGTTTTTGCAACAGCACCTACATTTCCGTATTGACTGAACTTCATGTCTTAAAGTAGTGATGGACTGTAGTTTCTCTTTGCTTATTTGAGCTGTTCTTGCCATAATATGGACTTGGTCTTTTACCAAATAGGGCTATCTTCTGTATACCTCCCCTACCTTGTCACAACACAACTGATTGGCTCAAACGCATTAAGAAGGAAAGAAATTCCACAAATTAACTTTTAAGAAGGCACACCTGTTAATTGAAATGCATTCCAGGTGACTACCTCATGAAGCTGTTTGAGAGAATGCCAAGAGTGTGCAAAGCTGTCATCAAGGCAAAGGGTGGCTATTTAAAGAATCTCAAATATAAAATATATTTTGATTTGTTTAACACTTTTTTTTGGGTACTACATGATTCCATATGTGTTATTTCATCGTTTTGATATCTTCACTATTATTCTACAATGTAAAAATTTTTTTTTGTAAAATAAAGAAAAACCCTTGAATGAGTAGGTGAGTCCAAACTTTTGACTGGTAGTATATATCTATCTCTGTGTTTCATTTTGCTAGGTAGTGTTTGCTAGCGCTAGTCAGCTGTACCTTTGCCAAAATGCCAGTGTTTTTCATCCTATAACTGGTTCTCATCTTTTTAAATAGTGAGCCAACATGTTTTCAGCACTTTTATTTCCATGACTGATCAAAGCTAATTTTCTCATGCTCTCTTGTCTCTGCAGCAGACATATAGTAAGCAATATGTTTGGAACATAAAATCGCAGTATCCAATCGCAATACATATAGAATCGCAAAACATATCATATCGGCACCTAAAAGCCAATTTAAGCTTGATCCGAAAATGTGGTCGGAGGCTCCGTATGGAGGGTGTGACGCAATTGCGGAGCCTCCCGAGGCATGCAGAGGCCAAATTGAGCTCCGTACTGCATCGACGTGCGCCTCACAAATTTTGTAATGATTGACATGATTGGTTGACGGGAGGGTATATGTGGTCCTCTGTAGCTCAGCTGGTAGAGCATGGCGCTTGTAACGCCAAGGTAGTGGGTTCGATCCCCGGGACCACCCATACACAAAAATGTATGCACGCATGACTGTAAGTCGCTTTGGATAAAAGCGTCTGCTAAATGGCATATTATTTATTATTATTATTATTATTATAAACACAAACTCACTTCCTTGACGACTTCCTTCACAACAGCTCTGCTCAACAGCTCTGCACTGCTCCGCGAAGCGCAAGAAGTATGAATGCCCTGACTTCTGCAGAGGCCGCATCACAGTAAATGCTGCATGTCTAATGCAGACGTCGTATTGACCATGCAGCTCCTTTTAGTATCGTGATAATATGGTTTTGTGAGGTCCCTGGCAATTCCCAGACCTAATAGGTGGTCAGTCCTTGCATCCATAGCTCTGTCTATGAATTTGAGTTGTTGCATTTCTCCAGCCCCATCCCTCAGCTTTTTACCAAAACAGTGGTGGGGATTCCGCTTTGTTATTGTTTGAAATGCAGATTGCCCCTTTAAGCATATAACCCCCTTTTTTTTATTTTTAGATCTGCCAAGTATCAGGACTTGATAAAGGAGGCAACCCCAGCACCACCTCCCACCCAACCCACCCAAGGAGCCCCAACAGCCCTCAGCCTCCCTGGACCCACCCTCCACCCAGATCCAGGCTCTCTCCCAGCCAATGGCCACCTCCTCCCCACACCAGGAGAACCACAGCAGGGCAGGTGAGACCTCTCCAACCCAGGAGCTCGATGACGATGAATCCCCACTACCTGAGCTGGCTGCCATTATGCAGGGGGCCAATATTTCAGGGTTAGATGGTGCTGAAATTCCACCACCAGAGTCTATGGGGGCTGGAATCCCAGACCAGAACCAGGCAGAGGACTCCCAAGCCCAGGAGATAGAGGCGAAGGCAGGGGATGGGGATGTAGCTCTGCCGTTACCTGCTCCAGCCATTGTGGACCCCATAGCACCACCAGTTCCAAAACCCAAGAAGGACAGGCTGGCCAGACTGAGGGAGCTGGGGGTGGAGCCCCCGCCTGTCCCCAAACTGTGTGCTGACGATGGGTCCTTCGATCTGGAGCCCCCTCAGGTTAACCCAGGTGAGAGCACAACAACAAATATTCAGCTCCATAATGTCAGAGCTCTGTAGCACAGTATTTCCCAAATGCTGGGTTGGGGTTTAAAGCCTTGTGTTTAGATGCATGCTTTTGTACATTTGTGGCACACAAAATGATTTTGGTGGATCACAACACAACTCAAGCCACCGAAATGGGTGAGCTTGAATGAATTGGGTTGAAGAAACCCATTCAAGTTGGTTGTAATGTATCGTCTTCTGTAGTCAACCTGTTTGTTTTCCCGTCAGGCGTGGAGGCATTGAAGGAGCGTTTCCTACGCCATGTCCAGCCCGTGGCCCGGCCCAGAGGGGAACGCACCATGCAGCTCAGCGTCATCCGTAAAGACAGCAGTGAGGAGCTCCACCAAGACACTGTCACCACCACCATCAAGGAGGGGGAGGAGGAGGCTGCACACACCGCGCCTGGTATGGACATAGTACCGTACATCACACCAGGCCTGTTACAAACACCATCTCACACACACATTCTCTCTAAACCTCCACACTCTCTAAAAGAGGCATCCCATATGACTCATAGCAAGGCCATTTCCTGAAATCCACCGCCAAACATATTTCCAAATGTCTTAATTTCTCGGTCCACTGCCTGCAATAATCTTTCCTAACCAGTCCTGTGTTCCCTCTTTCCTCAGGTGAGAAGCTGACCAACCTGAAGTACCGTCTGCAGCAGGCCATGGCTGTAAAGAGACGGGAGGATAGAGAACGCAAGGCTGCCCTCCATCGCCTAGACAACGAGGACTGTGGCGAGGAAGAGGAGGAAGAGGAGGAAATGACGGATTCCGAGGGGGAAGAGGTAAGAGTGGATCGGCGGCTTTGACATTTTACCCCCACCCATCGCACTTGCCTCAGGCATTCTTTGATTGTGTCAGTCAGTGCTGTCTGTACACTTTTCGCGGTGGTGCTCGACGATTGGAACCAAAACATTAAAGATCAAAACTTTTAAGTGGAAAAATTAGACTAAGGGTAATAGAGGGAATGTCTTGATCAATTAATGGTTAGGGAACCGTTAATTATGTTGGTGTGTTTCAGAGTTTGTCAAAACCTGTTTGTTTGTATCTCCACAGGGTGTAGATGAGCTACTGGGGGGTGGTGATGTGATGATGAGGAAGAGGATCAGGAGGAGGGCAGCGTGGCACAGAGGGGTGTGAGGAGCCCCTCCCCGTTAAGATTAAAGGGTCCCTCTCCCCCACCAGACCTGCTCAACACAGACGGAACCCTCATGCTGTTTGCCAACAGCTCCTGCTCGCGCACCGGGTATGCGTGTGTGTGTGTGGTGCTGATATTTGGGAGTCTCGGCCATGTACATAGGCTGTCAGTACGTGGCCTTCAGATTGCAGGCAAGGCAAAGTAGCGCGCAAGGTACTGCTCCGTGTCGTCGGTCATGGGCAGCCTTGTTGTGTGGAAAAGGAAGTGCTATCTCTATCCACAAGTGTCCAGATGTCAGTGTCCTTCTCGAATCCTTCTAGACTGTAGTGGATTCAAATTATGTATTTAAAATGTGTGTAAGCCAGTGTTAATTTCGTCAACAAAAATAGTGACAAAAATATTCATCAAACACTTATTTTTCTGTGGCAATTGAGGAGACTATAACTGACTAAATGATTTTTCATTTCAGTTGACTAAAACGAGACGAAATTATCTCTGACTGAAATCTGACTAAGTGGACTGGACAAGAGTTTTTGGAGAGATTGAGAGCTTTTCAGTGATGAGCACAATTAATATAAGCAGCACAGATGTGCAGTCCTGTTCAGCAGTGGGAAGGAAGTACCTCACCTGGCACACCAGCTGGGGAGCAAGCGATGAGTGTGGGCAGATGGGCCCCAACTCCATCTCCAATTAATTTCTGTTAATGTAATTTATTTAGGCACAGTTTGTCAGTCAAATAAAAATCAACATTGGATCGGAATGACACTAACGCGTCTGCGTTTGCGCACATCACCTGCATGTGTGCGAGATGAGTGGTCAGGTGTTCAAGGAGAGAGAGACGGTCAGACATTGCTGAAGCAGGTAGGTATAGCCTATAAAATATGATATAGAGAAGACTAACTTGGTAGACAATTCAAAACATATCTTGTACCCGCTAGTTAACTGTTAAGCTATTATTAGCATGTATTAATGTTTTCGTGATGTACCCCCCAAAAAATCAGACACTTGCAAATAAGGCCATCAAAAGTTGATTTGTGCCTTGATCACACCTACAGCGTCATTGCGCAAAATGGTACGCAGCATCATCTGGATATGTGTGCAACAAAAGTTCAACATTCACCTTCTGCTACCATTTCTGTCAAGCCCTCTACGCATACAGTTTGATGCATACGTTCAATAAATCCAACATATGCACCACACAGAACGCACTGCAACTGCCTCTGCAATGCAATGGTGCAAGGCAAACGCGGTGTTCCATTTGGAAATGAGTGTGTTTCTGGTGTACCAAAACGCAAGACTCTGTCGGTGGGATTGAGGCGTTACTTTTATGAACGATTCATGTTTCTTTTTGACGAAATGAACAACTCACTTGGCAATTATTATATTATTTGGGATTTGGTTCAATCGCGGTAGATCAAATCATGTGAATCCAAATTATTATTTGTGAATAGCGAAAAGTAATTTTAGGAAAAAATATTTGATGTAGCCTTTCTTTTGGATTATGTGTCTTCAACTTGTTTTGTAGATGCGTCCAGTTGATTTAGGCATGCAATGTATATGACATTGCAACTCAAAAGATCCTAGTAAGCCTGCAAAGTAAACACTTCTAAGGTAGCTAAGAGGCTAAATATGACTAAACTCGAAAAGGTAAGTTTCCTGAAGAAAATTTGTGGGCTTGCTTCAGCTGAATGAAAAGATTTGTAGCCTACCATAGCCATTTGATCTTTAACATATTGAATGAGCGAATTATTTAAAAAGGCATAAAACGTATTTGTTTGCAATGTTATACATCAAGGGTGGTCAACCATCCTCCAGGAGACCTAATGGTGTGCAGGCTTTTTTTCCATTCCTCGTCTAACAAACCACATTTGAGGAATTAGCTGCTCAACCGAACCTTGATAAACTGTCTCTGATGTGTTTGAGCAGGGCTTGATCAAAAGCCTGCACACCCAGTAGCTCTCCAGACTGAGGGTTGACCACATGTTTTATACAGTTGCCTAACAGGTATTCCACTTTGTGGGGGGTTAAGTGCCTTTCACAACGACAGGAGATGGTACATGGGATCAGAGAGCAGCCTCCCAGTGTTGATACCACATTACGCATACTTTTTTATATGTACTTAGACGCCGCCAATTGTTGGTCATGGACATTTGTTAAGTCGTGGAAAAGTCATGAAATTCCATCTGTCAATGTGTATGAAATCTGGAGTATAGAAAAGTAGGCTATCTTTGAATTTGTAGTCTCGCTCAACCCTCCTACTTTCCCCACTGTATTTCATAGCCAGGTTCTGTAGCCAAGTCTCACTTTTCCTCTGAGAAAACGGCTTGATTCTATCCCTTACCGTTCAAAAGATATTATCCATAATACCAGCGTTTTGTTTATTTTTATCGTGCATTGGCGGGCAGCATTTTGCATTCAAAAAGCATAAAATAAAAAGCTGTTCTAAAGCTAGGTTACTTGCGGACTGGACCATTTAACCATTTGTTTAGGCTACACCTTGTTCAGTCATGATACGTTTTGGAACGTTCAGATAGAAATATGCTATGTAGAACAAACATGCCTCTGACATGTTGAATAATAATAATAATAAAACGTCTATATTCATGGATCTTCTATCTGCAACATTCAAGAACGTTTTGCAACTGAACGTGGCCCTGTTAACATACCAGTAGCCTATATGCAAACATTTGGTGGCACAGAAAGGAAAAAGGATAGCAAACAATTGATTGACAAAATTCCTCTTGCCAAGTTACTCCGACTTAAGCGCTTGGACCAGGACTCGCGCACTGGGACTCGGACTTCAGCCATAGGGACTTGTGACTCGGACTCGAGCACAGGGGACTTGGGATTCAAGGTTTTGTGACTCGTCTAAATCACTGCGCGAACCCGTCATTTGCTCCTGTTCTACTTTTGGACACCAATGTGGCTGCGGCGTCTGTGGAACATTAATAACAATGGCAATGACGTGACTGAGGTGCAACCCATAGTACTTTAGGGGACCATCTGGTGATTTGTGCCTGGCTCGCTCTCCCCACGCCAGATAATTATCATATGGCCATATAATTATAATAAACTCAGCAAAAAAAGAAACGTCCTCTCACTGTCAACTGTGTTTATTTTCAGCAAACTTAACATGTGTAAATATTTGTATGAACATAACAACATTCAACAACTGAGACAAACTGAACAAGTTCCACAGACATGTAACTAACAGAAATTGAATAATGTGTCCCTGAACAAAGGGGGGGTCAAAATCAAAAGTAACAGTCGGTATCTGGTGTGGCCACCAGCTGCATTAAGTACTGCAGTGCATCTCCTCCTCATGGACTGCACCAGATTTGCCAGTTCTTGCTGTGAGATGTTACCCCACTCTTCCACCAAGGCACCTGCAAGTTCCCAGACATTTCTGGGGGGAATGGCCCTAGCCCTCACCCTCCGATCCAACAGGTCCCAGATGTGCTCAATGGGATTGAGATCTGGGCTCTTCGCTGGCCATGGCAGAACACTGACATTCCTGTCTTGCAGGAAATCACGCACAGAACGAGCAGTATGGCTGGTGGCATTGTCATGCTGGAGGGTCATGTCAGGATGAGCCTGCAGGAAGGGTACCACATGAGGGAGGATGTCTTCCCTGTAACGCACAGCGTTGAGATTGCCTGCAATGACAACAAGCTCAGTCCGATGATGCTGTGACACACCGCCCCAGACCATGACGGACCCTCCACCTCCAAATCGATCCCACTCCAGAGTACAGGCCTGTGTAACGCTCATTCCTTTGATGATAAACGCGAATCCGACCATCACCCCTGGTGAGACAAAACTGCGACTCGTCAGTGAAGAGCACTTTTTGCCAGTCCTGTCTGGTCCAGCAACGGTGGGTTTGTGCCCATAGGCGACGTTGTTGCAGGTGATGTCTGGTGAGGACCTGCCTTACAACAGGCCTACAAGCCCTCAGTCCAGCCTCTCTCAGCCTATTGCGGACAGTCTGAGCACTGATGGAGGGATTGTGCGTTCCTGGTGTAACTCGGGAAGTTGTTGTTGCCATCCTGTACCTGTCCCGCAGGTGTGATGTACCGATCCTGTGCAGGTGTTGTTACACGTGGTCTGCCACTGCGAGGACGATCAGCTTTCCGTCCTGTCTCCCTGTAGCGCTGTCTTAGGCGTCTCACAGTACGGACATTGCAATTTATTGCCCTGGCCACATCTGCAGTCCTCGTGCCTCCTTGCAGCATGCCTAAGGCACGTTCACGCAGATGAGCAGGGACCCTGGGCATCTTTCTTTTGGGGGTTTTCAGAGTCCGTAGAAAGGCCTCTTTAGTGTCCTAAATTTTCATAACTGTGACTTTAATTACCTACCGTCTGTACGCTGTTAGTGTCTTAACGACCGTTCCATAGGTGCATGTTCATTAATTGTTTATGGTTCATTGAACAAGCATGGGAAACAGTGTTTAAACCCTTTACAATGAAGATCTGTGAAGTTATTTGGATTTTTACTAATTATCTTTGAAAGAGGGGGTCCTGAAACAGGGACATTTCTTTTTTTTGCTGAGAATAAGATGTTATGCAGAAAGATATGTTGGTAGGACAAGGCTATGTATGTTTGTGTACATGGAAGTCGGTGGTTTATGTTTACTATAGATTGAGGCAATACTAGACTAAATCATAATTCAAATGGCAAAAATGTGACTTAATGATATTTTAGTAAAAATGACTAAATTTACTTTTTTAGACTACATCTAAAAATAAATAAAAAGTGCCAAAATTAACACCGGTGTATGGTAAATGGATATGCTCAATGAGTTAGTATGTGTGTTATCTGTCCCTCCAAGTTGTTGACATTTTGTCTTTCTTACAGAGATGGTGTAAAGAGGACAGGGCCTGGTGGTCAAGACAGTTACACAAAGATGGGTGAGTAGACTGAATATATTTCACTATTTTTCACAACTATGCTACTTCAGAAAATACTCTCAAATGGTTATGAAAAATTGACGTTTCACTGGTAAAATTGTATTGCTACAGAGGAAGAAGATTCTCTGTCCCTGGCCAAGGACAACAGTCACAACAGTAGTTTTGAGCTGCTGGGCTCCATGCTGCCGTCCTACCAGCCTGTCAACCGCGGCACAACGGGAGGCAGGGGTCCGTCAGCCAGCACCTTCCGCTCCCGCTCACCCTGCTTCTTCAGACCCAGCTTTCTGGGATCTGCCTCCAAGGTGACTGTTTAGGAGGGTTTATATCATGTATGACTAGGGCCCAGTGTTTTCCTTACCACTGTATGACAGTATAAAAGTGTCAGAAGAGAGCCAATCATAACCACGCAGACCCCAGTATGCATGTCTCCCAGTAATGCATGCGTTATGTGAATTCAATCAGGGATGGCGTAATAGTAAAGACTAATTTAATTGTAAATAATGTATGACATTTTAATGTGGCATGAACACAACCAGGCATGATGTTTTCATCTGATAAACCATGTTTCCGTCCACAGTTTTTATGCGAGTAAAGTCATACTGTATTAAAAAAACTATCACGACCGCTGTGATGGAAACAGGAAGTTTCGGTACCATTTTATAAATGCTGACATAATAATTTGTTCATTCAACATGTTGTGATCTTTTTGTGTCTGTAAAATTAATAATGCGAGAAATGGTGGTGGAAACGCCTTTTATGTGCAAGTGTTGATATAATAACCATCATATCGAAGTAACTTGGAGTCACGCATGATATGGTATGTGGTCCTCCCTCTTCAACTCAGGAAACCATACAGTTTATTAGGCTGCAGATGAAATAAGTTATGATGAACTTCACAGGGTGATGAAAGTGCAAGGTGATGAGCTTGATGCTCCTTACAATAAATATCGAGGGTCTTATTCTGGTGACATGATGATCGATGCTTGACTGCCGTTTAACAATTTTAAAAGTCATCCGTAATAAACTAATCTCATGTGGACTAGCCTACCCATACAGCACACTGTATCTGCGAGCTGTTGGCTAGAGAACACGTGCGAAGTCCACAGTAAGCACGTTTGCTATTTAACGCAACCGTTTTTGTGACAAAACTATTGAGTTGAAAATGCGATGGAAACACATTGAACTTTAGATTTTTATTCGGTACATGAAAACTTAAAGCGGAAAAATACATTTTGTGTGCACTACGTCATCACTCACTGATTTTTATCCGCAACAAGTCCGTTTGGAAACACCACTGGTGGGAAAATGCGCATATTTTCTTTATGCAGATTTTAAAATATTTGCATGAAAATCTGTCGCAAATTAGATGGAAACCTAGCTACTGTCAAATCACTTTAAAAATGTAGGCTACCTGTGCACGTTTGATCCACTGTATAATGATTCCAGCATCTAAAACAGTGCACCCACCACCATTTTGATGAATGGAAAGGGCGTCTATTAAAACACCAAAAGTGTAATGACATTCAGCGATTTATTAGGCACACATGTAGCCTGAATTCATTGATGCCTCCACCGCTGTCAGCACGTGTCACGGTCCCGGCCAGTCATCTCGGGCTACTTTCACCCCTATTTTAGAGTTTTCTGCATAATTTATCATTTCCAACATTTTGTAGGTTATTTGTTGGCCAATTTAGATAGGCCTGCAGCTTCTATTCTGTCATTACTTGCTGCCCTAGAAGACAAAAAAGCGGAGCTCACCAGAACAATTTTATAAATTGATACAATGAATGCATCAATAACAGTCCTAAACCTAATCTAGTTGACATTGGTAAAGTTTTCTCTTCCATTTCTGCTCGCAGAGCGAGGATGTGTAAAGACCGGGGCAAAAATGCAATAGCCTAACTCTAAAATGGCAAAATATTTACCCTGCAAAATGTCCAAACGACATCAGTTTCACCGGTTTCAAGGAAATGAAAAGTTGTGAAAAAGATCCAACATGAATCTGATAAGATTTCAGTTCGCCCTGTATGCATATTTTATGTGGTTGAAATAGCCTACTTTCAGCTTTTATGTCACTTACAAAGAACGCACGTTTGCATGGTCCCTAACCGTGCATTTGCATTCTTTCAAGATGCTGAAAGAAATTAGTCATTTCTCCTCTCCTATTGCTGAGACAAAATTAACATTTGGTGTATCATTTTACTGCAACAAATATAATTTTATATTAGGCAACATAGAGTAATAGCCCTACAGTCAGTGTCTATATTTCAGTTACTACAGTAGACTACAACTTCTTTGTCCAAATATTTTTAATTTTTAGTTCAGATGTACTGCAGCATCCCCCAAACCCCTACTTCCACACAGACATGCTTATCTTAAGTTAGGATTCAGCCCTTGATGAAGAGGAAGAGGCGGTTTCTAATAAATGTTGAGACTGACTCGTTTGCGGAGACACATCCCCAGTATCTCATCCCTCTCTCTCTCCATCCCACAGAGCTCAGGGAAACTCTCCGAGCCCTCCCTCTCGCTGCCCATGGAGGACTCCCAGGACCTGTACGCTCCCCCCTCCCCCGGTGAGTCTTCTGGACCCCTGGGGGCCCCGTCCCAGGGTCGCTTCTCTCTGGAGGAGGACTCCCAGCTACTGGACGCCGACGGTTTCCTCAACGTGGGGCCCCGCACCGGCCCCCCGCGCTCCCACAAGAGACAGCTCATACTGGACAGCCTGGATGAGAACGCTATGGACGCTAACATGGGGGAGCTGTTAGGAATGTGCTCTGGGGGGTTTGGGACTGCCAGAGAGGGTGGCGTGGGAGGGCCTGGGGCCTCGCAGGAGGATGAATTGTTAGGGCTGTGTTCTAGAATGTTCCCTACCACACAGACTGAGGGAGTGAAGGAGAGGAAGAGAGAGGGAGGAGGAGGGCTAGGGGCGACGCAAGAGGATGAGCTGCTGGGGCTCTGTTCGGGAGTGTTCCCCACCGCACAGGCAGAAAGGGAGAAGGAGGGAGCGGAAGGGAGGAAGAGAGAGGAAGAGAAGATGGAGTTAGAAATGGACAGAGACAATGACATGGATCAGCTGCTCGGCCTCTGCTCTGGGAAGTTTACTACTCAAGGTAAGCGTGTGTCTCCAAGTACTGGGTGTATGTCTGGGTGATTGGGTGTATTTGGGTGTAATAATGTTTTGGTTCCATTTCACTCAATCTCTCCATATAGGTGTCTCCCCCTTGCGATCCAACTCGAGCTACGCCCCACACTCTTCAACTGCTGAAGACAGGTAAAAAGAGCTAGCCTAATATAGTGGCCTATTAAAAATAAAAATAAAAACTCAGACGGAATCACTGATTTCAGACATTCAAACGGATTTCAACAATATTAATTGTATTGAACTTATTAGGACATCAACTAAGTGTATTGTAATTTATTAGAAAATTCATTCATTTGCCCAAGTTATTCATAAGACATTAACAAAATGCATCAGTGATTCGTATTTTCCTGCAACTTTCTGAAACAGCACAGGAGAACCTCTGTGTGTGGTGCTCGTATGTCTAGTCTACGCTCTGTGCAGCCGTTAGCGATAATGCTATTGATAACCGTCTGCTGGTAGATTGGAAGGCTTTTCCAAAAACCTTCTCAATTAATGTTAACTACAAAGTAGCCTATGCCTACCTGGCAAAATGATATCATGATTATTTGCATCAAACCAGTGATTATTTTGCTACAGAAAAACTCTTAACCAAACAGTGGTCTCTAGCTGGTGTGCACATGCATTAACATCTGCGCACTACACCTAAAATTCAACATTTCTTAGATTTTACCAGACCTGAAAAGTGGTCTCCTAATGTAGTTTAAGCATTGTTCTGGACTTAGAACATCCAATTTTGAGGGTGAAAACCTGAAAAACTCAAATGAATTTAAACTAAATCAGGCAAAATATTTAACTGATTTTATAGGGCCCTAATATGGGATCTGATGACTAATTTACCCTCTGGGTATCAATAAAGTTTATTCAATTCAGTAACGGAGTACTATGTTACACTTCTTGTACTAACCACTATGATATACTCAGGCTATACATTCAAAGAAATCCTAAGGTTAAATGCAATTCTGTGATGTTTCAGTAGTAGGAAACTGGAGGAGAAGAGGAGGAGGAGGAAGAAGAGGATTGTGAGTTTCGACTTCTGTCAGACGTGGAGAGCCAGAGTGAGCAGGTAAGGCACACACGTGCATGCGCTTGCATTGATGACGTATATCCCAAACAGCTGAACTAACTCCTTCCCCCTTTCCTTCCAGGAAGACAATGATGAAGAAGAGGATGAAGTGAACGAGGAGGAGAGGAAGGCTGGGTTTGCACCCCGGCAAGGAAAGAAGAAAATGTAAGTAGAGAGAACTGTTCCTGAATGATGAACTTGCGCAGCTCAAGTTTCAAGTTTTTGTCACGTGCACAAGTACAGTGAAATGCATTTCTTGCTTGCTCTTTCCCAACAATGCAGTAATCAGTAGTACTATAAAAATAAATGTTTTAAAAAGTCAAGACGGCTGTTGGGTTTCCTTGACGATAGAGCCTATTAAAAAATGAGCTCAAAGACCGCATAGCACAGAGAAGGCATTAAATCCCATGCTGCATACAACACGATTCTGTTTTGCTTTGGCAAAGAGGATATGGGATTGATTCTTTTTATAGTATTTAAGTCAACATATCTCTCCCAGTGCCTCTACATTCACCTATACCTTAGTCTGTCAGTATAACTTTAGGTCTTAGGATGAGTGTCCACGCCTTATGTCGAATGTCCTGTTTCCTTTCGTTTTGAAAATTAAATCAATTGCACAAACTCTAAACCCCTTTTATATATCAGAATGCGGTTTCCACACAGAAGGATAGTTCAAGCCCACTTTGTATTCACGTCGTCTGGTTGTGTTTTCTCCTCTCTCCAGGCGCATGGCAGAGTTTGTGGACTCTGAGGCTGAGCTCTCAGGTAGTGACGTGGGCAGTGAGGATGAAGATGACGGTGAGAATGAATATGAGGAAGAGGAGCTGCTGGACGAGCTGCCGTCTGATGAAGAGCTGCAGGACCAGGTCAACAAGATCCACATGTATGTACTGACACAGAAAACATTCTAAATATCCTCCCAAAAAATAACATTCTAAATACCTCGAACAAAACAATCAAAGAAGAACTTCTATAGTCACTACTATTACTCCTATTGGCTTACCTTAACAATGCACAATGTGTGTTACCTTTATAGAGAATAGTAGAGAGGTTTCATTAGTTTTTATTGGAAAAAGCAATCCAATCATATGGTGTCTGTGTGAATATTTTGACCCTAAAGCTTAGTTTAATCCGCTCGTCTACAGGAAACATGTCCTTGACGACGACAAGCGGCGACTGCGGCTGTACCAAGAGCGTTACCTTGCCGACGGGGACCTGCACTCAGACGGCCCGGGCAGAGCTCGCCAATTCCGCTGGAAGAATATAGGTGAGTGTGTCTTGAGTTGGCGTCCTTCTACGACAGATATCATACTTTTCTATTCCACAAGCTTTATTCATCAGTCGTGTTTTAACCCAATGCTGACTTTGTTTTTGTGGTGCTTTTCTTCCATAGACGATGGCTTTGACATGGACGGAATGGGGGCGGAGGGGGAGGAAGAGGAGGAGGAGGAAGAGCTGGACCAGGCAGAACTGCAGAGGAGGAAAGAGAGGCTGGAGAGGGAGCAGTGGCTACGAGAACAGGTATACTTTATATACAGAAGTATGTGGACACCCCTTCAAATTAGTGGCTTCAGCTATTTAAGCCACACCCGTTGCTGACAGGTGTATAAAATCGAGCACACAGCCATACAATCTCCATAGACAAACATTGGCAGTAGAATGGCTACTGAAGAGCTCAGAGACTTTCAATGTGTCACCGTCATAGTATGCCACCTTTCCAACAAGTCAGTCGTCAAATTTCTGCCCTGCTAGAGCTGCCCCGGTCAACTGTATGTGCTGTTATTGTGAAGTAAAACGTCTAGGAGTGATAGGCCACACAAGCTCACAGAACGGGACCGTCGAGTGCTGAAGCGCATAAGAATCGTCTGTCCTTGGTTGCAACACTCACTACCGAGTTCCAAACTGCCTCTGGAAGCAACGTTTGCACTGTTCGCCAAGCAACCGCACACAAGCCTAAGATCACCATGCGCAATGCCAAGTGTCTGCTGGAGTGGTGTAAAGCTCGCCGCCATTGGACTCTGGAGCAGTGGAAACGCGTTCTCTCGAGTGATGAATCACGCTTCACCTTCTGGCAGTCAGGACGAATCTGGGTTTGGCAGATGCCAGGAGAACGCTACCTGCCCCAATGCATAGTGCCAACTGTAAAGTTTGGTGGAGGCGGAATAATGGTCTGGGGCTGTTTTTCATGGTTCGAGCTAGGCCCCTTAGTTCCAGTGAAGGGAAATCTTAATGCTACAGCATACAATGACATTCTAGACGATTCTGTGCTTCCAACTTTGTGGCAACCGTTTGGGGAAGGTCCTTTCCTCTCGTATTCGTTGCAAAAGGTTTTCCTCTTCGCTACGGTTTGGACTAATGATTACACCCCAGGTTTGTATTCTATGTAGTGTATGGTGTATCATGTGTGTCTAACTCCCTTCTGTCTTTCTAGTCGGATGCTAAGGCCAAGAAAGGGGAGGACTTTGACATGGATGAGGAGGAGGAGAAGATTGGAGAGGAGGACAGCCAGTTCATGAAACTGGCCAAGAAACTGACCGCCAAGAAACTACAGAAGAAAGGTGAGCTGACATACAAGAGATATGGAATGAGATGAGAGAGATAAGAAAGATGACTGCGAATTTCAGTAGATTTACTCCTCTTTTTAACCCTCCCTTTATCTCAATCCCTCCATCTGTTTTGTTTTCCAGAGCTGCCTGTTGCACCCCAGGCTGAGAAGAAAGCCCCAATGCAGAACCCCTTCCAGAGACCTTCTCAACCCAACATGGTCAGTACCTTCCTCATACTAGTCCACTCTGGACTAGTAATCACCCTCCCTCCTCTAGTGTGACACTTATCACTATTGTGTAATCTGCTCCTTCTAAGAATCTTTATTAGATGTCTCTGACCATTTGACCTCGATTTAACCTTTGACCCCGACCTCAGGTGAAGAGGGGCTCGTTGCTCAGCCAGCCCCGCTCCGTGCTGCAGAAGCTGGCCTGCATCTCTGAGGGGAACCCGCTAGCCCCCCGCAACACCCGAGGGTTCGTCTTCCAAAGCCTATCGCCAGAGAAAGAGTCCTCGGCTGCAGAGGCCCCAAAAAAACAGGCAGGTCCAACCATGGAGAGAAAATATAATAATGTTAAATGTGATCCTGTGGGCCTAACACACATAGTTGGATGATAGTTGGTCAGTAATGTAGCGACACCCGTGTGCAGTGTTTCAGTAAACATGTTTTGTTTTTCTTGAAAGCCTCACTCTCCATTCCTAACAGTTTTTTATTTTTTTCTGTAGAATGAAAACATCATTACACATTTAAGAACACTTAGTTTCTTCTCTAGAACTTGTGACAGTTTGGTCATTACTGTACTTGTAATGATAGTCATGGGATGTTGGACTGTAGTGTTGTACTGATATCTGACCATATGGTGGTGCCAAAAGCCCAAGCTGTCAATGTTTCCCTGGTAAAAGCTGTGTTAGTGCAGTCTTTGTTTGACTAGATCCATTGCTCGCTCTTATCCATACCTTTTACTATGTTTGCATATACTGCAACTCCGCTTTTAGCTGAAAATGTGTACAACATTACATAATCCAAACTAGATATGTGTGGAATATCTATATCATTGTGTGCATTATCTCAGAACCGATCAGGGAAAACGCAGCATCCGTCAAGGTTTCTACATTAAATTTAATTTTATCTTAGGACATTGACATTTGTCTTTTTTAAATTGGCTCAAATTTGGATTTGTCATAATGACATTTAATTATAATTACAATAAAATGTGGCCAGATCTTGCTAATCGGGTTAAGACTTTTGGGGAGTTCTGTTTTAAACTGAGGCATAATTGATCTTTTTAAATAGCTGTAGGACTGCTCAGAGTCATACAGACCTCCACAAACACAGCTGGACGTGTATAATTGTAATGGGACTCCATGCTGGCACCAAAATCTCCCAAATAATTACATTCCAGTAAGAAATTAAGAATCCCTAAATCGGAATGTTATCGTCATGGGACATTTGCTGCTAACGTGGTGGAGAGTTCGTTGACAAGCTCCGTATATCTCTGACTGGTTCTGGTCCATTATTTTAGCAACAGGAGTCATTTCCGATATTTAACTCTGAATATCTCTTTATTTCGCAGATGAAGAAGAGGGGACAAATAGAGGTTTTGGCCCCGGCTGCTAAGCGGCCATGTCGGGAAAACAACGCACCAGCAACCAAAGGACCTCAAAGAAGTATCTTCTGTTACCTGGAGAACTGAGGTGCCTGACAATTGTGCCTGATGTGCCAATCACACTCACACACACAACATCCGGAGTGTGTACTACCTTATAAAATCTGATGTCAACAACATTCACACTTTCTCCCAGGACCACATTGGCTCTTTTGGACAACACTTGATTGTGTCCTACTTAATTTGTGTCCTGAAAAATGTTTTTATCATGTAAATAGAATGGGTAGGATTTGTCTTTATTTTATTTTTGCGATTTAAATGTATTTGTTTTAAGTTTTGTAAATTAAAGCGTATTTTAACACATACTCTAATATCTGTGTTACCCTGGTGTTTTCTCTTCTACTTACAGGCAGGGTTCTTGTAGGTAAATAGAGGTACAGTGCCTTCAAAGTATTCCTACCCCTTGACTTATTCCACATTTTGTTGTTACAGCCTGAATTCAAAATGGATTAAATTTTTTTTTTTTCTCACCAATTTACACACAATACCCCATAATGACAAAGTGAAAACATGTTTTCAGAAATGTTTGCAAATGTATTGAAAATGAATTACAGAAATCTAATTTACAGAAGTATTCACACCCCTGAGTCAATGCATGTTAATCACATTTGGCAGCGATTACAGTAGAGTATTTTGGGGTAAGTCTCTTAAGATTTGCACACCTGAATTGTACAATATTTGCCCGTTTTTATTTTCAAAATTCTTCAAGCTCTGTCAAATTGGTTGTTGATCATTGCTAGTCAACCCTTTTCGAGTCTTGCCATAGATTTTCAAGCAGATTTAAGTAAAAACTATGTTGGCCACTCGGGAATATTCACTGTCTTCTTGGTAAGCAACTCCAGTGTAGATTTGGCCTTGTGTTTTAGGTTATTGTCCTGCTTACAGGTGAATAAATATCATAGTGTCTGTTGAAAAGCAGACTGAACCAGGTTTTCATCTAGGATTTTCCCTGTGCTTAGCTCCATTCTGTTTCTTTTTTATCCTTAAAAACTCCCCAGTCCTTAACGATTACAAGCATACCCATAACATGAAACCACCACTACTATGCTCCATAATATGTTTGGGGCAAATCCAATAAAACACAACACTTTATTAATTGCTTTGCCACATTTTTTGCAGGATTACTTTAGTGCCTTGTTGCAAACAAGATACACATTTTGGAATATTTATATTATGTACAGGCTTCCTTCTTTTCACTCTGTCAATTCGGTTAGTATTGTGGAGTAACTACAATGTTGATCCATCCTCAGTTTTCTCCTTTCACAGCCATTAAACTCTAGCTGTTTTAAAGTCACCATTGCCTCATGGTGAAATCCCTGAGCGGTTTTCTTCCTCTCCGGAAACTGAGGAAGGACGCCTGTATCTTTGTAGTGACTGGGTGTATTGATACACCATCCAAAGTGTTATTAATAACTTCACCATGCTCAAAGGGGTATTCAATGTCAGCTTTTATTTTTTTTACCAATACCCATGCCGAGGCTTTGGAAAAGTTCCCTTGTCTTTGTGGTTTAATTGTTGTTTGAAATTCATTGCTCAACTAAGGGACCTTACAGATAATTGTATGTGTGGGGTAAAGAGATGAAGTAGCCATTCAAAGATCATGTTAAACACTATTGCACACAGAGTGAGTCCATGCAACTTATGTGACTTGTTATGCAAAAAAAAATGTCCTGAATTTATTTAGGCTTGCCACAACAAAGGGGTTTAATACTTATTGACTCAAGACATTTAGCTTTTCATATTAATTAATATGTAAAACTTTGGAAAAACATTCCACTTTGACATTATGTGGTAAAGTGGTGGAAAAAGTTCCCAATTGTCATACTTGAGTAAAAGTAAAGATACTGTACCTTAATAGAAAATGACTCAAATAAAAGTAAAAGTCACCCAGTAAAATACTACTTGAGTAAGAGTCCAAAAGTCTTTGGTTTTAAATATACTTAAGTATTAAAAGTATAAATAATTTTACATTCTTCATATTAAGCAAACCAGACGGCACACCAACACTAGAACGTCATTTACAAACGAAGCAAGCATGTGTGTTTAGTGAGTCAGCCAGATCAGAGGCAGTAGGGATGACCAGGGATGTTCTCTTGATAAGCATGTGAATTTGACCATTTTCCTGTCTTGTTATGCATTCATAATGTAACGCACTTTTGGCTGTCAGGGAAAATGTATGGAGTAAAAAGTACATTATTTTCTTTAGGAATGTAGTGAAGTAAAAGTAGTCAAAAATATATAAATAGTAAATACAGATACCCAAAAAAAACGACTGAAGTTATATTTGAAAGTATTTTTTACTTAAGTACTTTACACCACTGATGGGGTATTGTGTGTAGGCCAGTGACAAAAAATCTCAATTTAATCTATTTTTAATTTAGGCTCTAACACAACAAAATGTGGAAAAAGTCAAGCAGTGTGAATACTTTCTGAAGGCACTGGATCTAACTTTGCTAAGGGTGGAATCCTAGTTGGGGAAATGCACATTTTGCATCGATGTCAGAATTGTGTGAAAGTTTAAGTAACATACTTATCGCATACTTAAATGTGTCCCTAATGTCACTCTCGCTCTCTGCACCTTAATTTTGCTCAGTCTTACCTTCGCTTCAGAATTCAAACAATAGAATATTAGTTGACTGACTGAATCAAGACTGTTGCCTATAGACCTCAGTCCCTTCCACTCATTCTCTGTTGACCTCTAGGCTCAGAGAGGACCACTCTTGGTCCAGAGTTAAGATAATTGCAGTTTATAATCTAATGATTATGATAAGTGGCTAATAATAGGGTCTCGTTAGGAGTACTTTTAATGACCGCTTTTATCGCTCCATCTCATTAGTCCATGGTGATTTAGCAGCAAGTCTCGGGGTTAGGGGCTGCAGGAAGGCTCATTACACAACATTAGGAGCAGGCACAGGGGCTGGAATGAACCCCATGGATACCCTCTTAGCTTTAGGCTGAGATTTAATCCTGGTTTTGTTTATTCAATCATAACATTCTCCCAACTCCCAAACCAAGTACCCCTAGTTTGAAAGATGGGGGAAGATTATGTGAATTTAAAAAAAATTGGGCCCTGACCAACCACAAAATCTAAAGGACAAGCTTTTATTTTACTGCCAACTAAGAAGAGGCTAGAATAATTGACCAGAAACATGAAACCTTTCACACTCCGTGATGCCTCCCAAGGGGTGGAAAATCTAAATGTGAGGGGGTTTGTTTTATTTAGTTTGTCTTGGCTAATTGAACTATCTCTGTTCGAGGAGAGAGAGCTGTAGGTCCACTCTACTCTGGTTTTCTGTACAGTATCTGCCGCTATGCATTGTGGTGTTGTGAGCTGACAGTATAGCCATGGGTCTTTCCCCTCGGCCGCTGTCACAGTAAGTACTGGTGTTGCTGGAGATGAAGCCAAACTGAGGGAAGTGGGTCATTACCCGGGGCTGTGTGAAAAAATAACAAGGTCTTATTCACTAGGTAAGTCATGCTCTTTTTATTCAATGCCTGTGTTGTGAGATGGGTGCTTATGAGTGCCTCAGTTGCTCAGTAACCGACGCACAATATTTATTTACCGACCCAAGGGACCTCGCGGATGACCCTTTGTCTGAACATTTGGTCCACATACACCGCAGCGCATGCTCTGTTTCTTTCTCTCTGTCTCTCAATGTTTCTATTATCTGGGCCTGTTGCTATCTGTTTCTCTATATCGGTGTCCTGCTCCACGGTTCTGTGTTCGGTTTTGAAAGATGGAGATGATTTTGCATGTGAAGAGGCCGCGGGCGGCCGCTGTGTTTGATGTATTTTTCATGTGCTTAGGCTACTATTGAACGATGGGGAGGAGGGGACAGCCTGGAGGTGCGGCACTTGAATGGGGATGTTGTTGAAGTGGAAAGGGGTTTGTGGGGCGAGGGGGACATGCGCTCTTCTGCCGCAAGCGACTGCATGTCAGGAGATGGGGAGGGAGTATACTTGCAAAGTCTGTCTGATGTACCACACCTCCCACACGAAAACACACTCACACTCAACACAGGCGTAATCTAATACCGACAGATACACAGTCACCAGTTTAAAGCAACACAATGCAACAAATGGCAGTCTGTCTCCCTTGTCAAAATTGTGAGAATTTATTATAGGTTACATTTGAGTAGCCTAAACAAATGTTAGTTTGTGGCATATACTTTTCTGGTCGTACTTTCCCTTTAAAAATAAACAAGGATATGATGAGACATTCCAATGTAATTTCTGCAGCACTCCACTTTCTGCTCACCTCTCTGCATTTTCCCGTTCTTCCGTCCCTGCCCAGTTTAGGAAGTGAGTCATTTTGTAGGCTAGCAGTCGGTTCTATCAGAGTGCTAGAAAGAGTGGATGAGAGAGGGGAGGGGAGGGGAGAGGTAGTCGCTGATCAACATCACATAGGAGGGTCGACCGGAGGAGGGGGAAATAGGGAGGGCTCCCAATCTACTTCCTCTACGAAGCACTTTACTACCATACGGTAAGACAAGGCCCTCTTATGAATTGATTCACACATTTGTCAATCCGAATGATTATGTAATCAGCGAATGAAATAAGGAATGGTAAAGGTTGTTTTGTATAAGTGGAAGAGAGGCTATAGCTGCGGACGAGAGAGGAGAACAAGGATATGGGGTGAGCTGATAGCGCTGCTGCTGAACTAGGGCTAGGCTATTACGTAACGAACGAATGGAGATTAATTCATCTTTTATATTAATTTAATAAAACCGTGTTTCTATAATGTCATCTGTTTTTCTCAAACAACATTGTGTAGGTAGGCTATTCTAATGCTATATGTTATAATAAGCTATAAACATATGCTTTCATCGGGCGTCGTCGTTCGTTCCTGTCAAATCACACATCTTCATTTTTTATCTGCGAAATTAATTAATTGAAAGGAATTTTATGGTATTTAACTACTGACTGTCAAAAATCTGAGAAGACGTAATGGTGCATTGATAACATCCTGTAGTTGACAGCTTTTATAGCCTAGCCTAAACATAGGCTACAAAAAGGATGGAAATGCGTTTTATTGTTGGGCTATTGCACGAACCTCAAACGAATATAAAACAAAATATTGATATGTTATATCACATCACCCAATGTCGATTTTACTTGATAACTTGATCCTCACCAATCGAGCGCCAATATTTACGTCAGTGCCAGTGGCGCGCGCAACCCTGGAACGTTAGTCGCTGTCCTTCAGCACCACGTGAGTGCGCATCATGCAACAGAGCGGAGAATGAGTGACAGTACCCCGAAGTAAGGATTAGCGAAATTTCCATTCTGAGTAGACATGTAAATATTTGATGGTAATATAGGCATAAGTGGAGTGCAATTGGACGCACGGAGCAGCTCCGATTTAATATATAGAAAAAGAAGAAATGGCAGTGATGGCTAGAAGATTAACTGGTAGTAGGCTAATATCAAACTTGTGAGTTATGCAGCAGCATACAGGACTGTATCAGAGAAATGAGGCGGGAGTTATCAAAATATTTGCATGCAGATGTATCTGATTTGTAGGACAAGGATTAACCTTGAAACAATTGCATTAACAACCTCCATATCTCCATATCCCTTTACTCTCTATCATTTTCTAAACAGTGAATCTCAGTCAAGATCAAGAAGTGAATCTTCAACAAGAATTGAGTCTCGGTCAAGAAGCCTTGAATCTCAGTCACGAAGAATTGAATCTCTGTCAAGAAGAAGTGAGTTTCAGCCAAGGAAAATGCTCCACCAGGACCGACCAGTAAACCCCCAGTACGGAGGCCAGGGAGGCAGCTTCTCCCCACTGCGGATCCTCAGCAACAACAGCCAGCAGCAGGGGGGGAAAAGGAAGCAAGGCGAGAAGGATGGCAACTTCAACTTCCTGGGTCAAGACGATGACGTCATGACGGGAGGGGACGAGAATCGCAACCAGGTGCGTCCTCGTAACCTGGGCCCGTTGGGCCGCGACCAGCCCCACCTTCCCTCCTCCTCCAACCACTACGGTCCGGGGCCCCTGTCCCCGCTCTCCCGCCTGCCCTGCTGGAGCCCCCTGGAGCCCCTACCTGAGATCGAGAGTGGGGACGATGGGTACGGAAGAGTGCCCCCGGATGGCGCCGAGGAGGGCAAGATGGAGGAGGAGATGGGGAGGATGAGTGATGACGAGAAGGAGAAACAAGAGCTGGGGGGAGGCGTCATGAAACAGGGAGTGGTGGTGGAGGAGGAGGAGGTGGAAGTGGAGGACCCAGAGGAATGGGGGCGACTCAGACTTTGAGTTCAGCTACAGGTCCAGCGGCAGCCTGTCCTCTCTCAACGTGGAGAGCGGAGGAGAGGGGGCCGGCATGGGGGGGATGGGGGGGTGGGACCGCATCGGTGTGGGGGAGCCCAAGCCTGACCACCACCAGGGGGGCAACCAGGAGACCCCTGCCATCCCAGCAGACCCCCTTACCCCCTCTTCGACCAGGAAGTGGGACGACAAAATGGAGAGGAAAAGGAGCAGCAAGCCTCTGAGAACGGGGAACTGTCTGCTTGACGGAGGAGCGTTGTCGGACTCGGACACAGACTGCGGCGAGCTGCCTGAGCTGGAGGACGCTGTGTGGACCCTGAGGGACCGCGAGCGCTTCAAGGCCCAGGAGATGGAGAAGCACCAGGTCCAGCTGACTATGTACCGCAGGTTGGCTCTGATCCGCTGGGTCCGCACCCTGCAGGGCCGCGTCCAGGAGCAGCAGAACCGCCTCCAGTCCAGCTTTGATGTCATCCTCGACCACAGGAAGGAGCTGCTGCGCATGGGCGCAGCCACCACTGCAACTGCCACAGCCAGCCAATCGTAGAGCAGGAAGGAAGTGCAGAGGCACCAACAGGAAGTGGTCACCAGCAGAGACCGGCCAATCGCTGAAGGGGAATACAAAGGCATTGTTGCCTTGGCCATGGTTATTGTGTTTGTTGTGTCCAAGACAATCTCCAAGCATCCACTGAGATTTTACTCTGATGTGGTGTTTTAATAAGTTGGTAATGCAGTTTGTTTCTGATTTATTGGCTTCCTACCCTGTGTTGATATCCAAATATATCCAAGTCACCTTTCTTCTTGAGACCCAGGAGGACTTTTTTCACCCTAACCCTGCCAAACTATCGAGATATATAACATATTATTATAAGTTTATTAAGAGTATAATATATGCCTGTATCTTTAAATGTTCTATATATGTGTAGACTGTACTATTTTATTTGTCTCTATTACTGTGATATAATCCAAAAATATTCCAAATACAACATATGAGGTGAAATGTTTTTTTAAACTATATGTATATCATGTTTGTCTTCTCCAGTGACATAATAAATTGTTTTAGAGCTATTCGTGTTTCGTGAGTTGATAATTTATAAGGTTATGAAGATGTTGCGATTTTACTAGTCTATTTGCACTCTTCGCACAGTATTAAACCCGACATCAACGTTAGGTCGGTGTACACAGAAAGGTGTGGATTAGCAGAATGTGAGAACAAGTAGGCAATGCCAGATAGTTTATATCGAACACATGCTAAACCTAAGCTATAGGCCTTCGTTTGAGATAATTATTTGCGCATTATGTTGATCTTCAATTTGAGATGAAGGAATTTATCCTTTTCATAAAGCACTAATAGAACAGTTAAAGCCTCTTTGTATTCGTTGTTTAAATATATAAATTGCAGCCTCCGGTCCATGATCTTTCAGTACAATCGTCTCTTTATCAACAGCACAAAGTTCGTTTGTATCGCCTCATCATGAGTGTGTTCTGTTGGGGGTGTGATAACCGTGTGAGGAGCAAGCATCAATCTTTATAGGCATGGTTACTGCGTCTCTAGTCGCCGCGGGCAGCGAACGTCTAGCCGTGCTGTGTGTGTGTGTGTGTGTGTGTGTGTGTGTGTGTGTGTGCTCCCAGAGATACCAGCCTTTGCCACCTAATCTGCAGTCTGAGTTGAGCTGGTCCTGCAGGGTCCAGTCCCCCAGGGAATCTGTTAGTTTGCGCCCCAGGGCCCGGCGGTCCTATCCGGCCCGGTGAGCAGCCGTCGGTCCAGTCCCGCAATATGAGCCAAACCCCGGGGCAAGTTTGTGATAATCCTCGGTTATGCCTCCGAACTCCGGGCGCTCAGGCTTATGTTCTAAAGCTTATCGTCTCTCCTGGACGCAGGCATGACAGTGAAAGTGTGAGAGAATTAACATATTTATCTGTTGTTTATTGGCTTTTAAGCTGGATGTATGTAGGGCATCAAACCGGGAAGCGTCTGGGATAACCAGCCAATACGTTTGTTTGTTCTGTTATTGTCCTGTGTACAAACACCGTTTCCAAAAAGCGCAGAGAAACAGTACACCGGTAGAACAAAACCTTATTTTGAGGATATACAATCACCATGATGGAATTAGGCTATGTATTTACAGTGAAGTTAAAATGCAAAGGGAAACGTTACCTATAGGCCTATAGGCCTATAAAATGAGATGTGATGGTCATTTTCTTCGGGCTTGTTACCTATTCTGCCCTACTAAGCAAAAGAGCAGTAACTGCACATTAATTGGCCTCAACACCACAAAGGGCCAATTCAAGCAAATGTTTATTTTGTGTCTCTCTGTAAGGAACAAAGTTTTCTTGGATGCACATTCTAACTAAAATCGGTATTCCGCAGTGTCTAACGTTAAACACCGTGCCCTCACCCTGAACACATTTCTTCGTCTCAGCGACACTGTATAATAGGTTCGCCGCACGGCGGGACACGAGGCATGTGTGACGGGGGCCCTGCTGGGCGCGAACTGCGGCACCGGTGAAAGAGCACCCTGCCCGGGGAGAAGCACACGCATGGGAGGGCTGCGGGACACGCCACTGTCTCTCTCCTCGAGCAGAACTGCTAATTTTGTCGGTTAAAACGAGTGAAGATAACGTTAGCAACGCAGTTTGAGGCGTTTTCTTCCAAATTATCGCGGGCGAGATAGAGGTGCACACAGCTGTGGCTCGTGTCACCCAAATCGGTGTCAAGTGTTTCCAAGTCTGTGTGACCCTGCGATATTCGCGAAACAACAATTCACCTGCTCATTAAACTCCAATAATTGACTGTATGGAATTTACATTTCAGACTTTTGGGGCCATTGTGTAGACATACTATCTGGCAACTTTGCCCCTCCGTGCGCGCATTCGTGCGTAACGTGTATTTCAATAGCAGTGGCGTTCTGCCTAAAACGCTAACCATTGTCAGAATTATATTTTATCTCAATGATATTGCCTTGATTTAGCCTACCCCCTGTAATTGTGAAAATCATGCATTGATCGATCATAGTCCAGGTCAGGCTAGTCCATCCCATGCGCATGATGGTGATTTTCAATTATTGTTTAAGTGTTTTTTTTCCCCATCACTCCATCATGTCTTTTTCACATGACAATGACAATGACAACAAGCTTAACCCAACATGACACAGTATCCACACAGATAGAACAATGAGGGTTAGTTATACAAATCTTTCGAATCCTCGAGTAGGCCTATAAAACGGAGTGAAATATGAAAAATATATTATAGTCCAGCAGAGGGCGCCTATTCATCACATAGCCCCGTTGGTCACTTTTTAAATGAAATTCAATTGCGTCTTAAGAACACAAGGGGGCACTCTTCTGTATGATCAAATGAAGTACAGTAGCTTCAGTTCAGCCCCTGTGTTTTGTGTGTTGGACATAGAGGCCCCTACTACCCAGCGCTTTCTGATGAGTCCATAGAGCAGACTCTCTCTCCCCTCTCTTCTTTCTCTCCCTTTCTTCCCTCTGCCTGATGTAGTGTGACAGTGTGCTAGCCCCCAGCACTCTGTTGGTGTGGAAACAATCAGCTTTGACAGAAAGGGGGTGGTGGGGGATTGGGGGAGGGAGGGCAGGGGGCTGCGGCCTGCGGCCTGTGTATGATGAACTGGATAGAAAGACCTGTGGCCAAAAGAGAAAGAACAAACATACAGCGATAGATAGATAGATAGATAGGTAGTTAGGTAGGTAGGTAGGTAGGTAGGTAGGTAGGTAGGTAGGTAGGTAGGTAGGTAGGTAGGTAGGTAGATAGATAGATAGATAGATAGATAGATAGATAGATAGATAGATAGATAGATAGATAGATAGATAGATAGATAGATAGATAGATAGATAGATAGATAGATAGATAGATAGATAGATAGATAGATAGATAGATAGATAGATAGATAGATATGTTTACTGGTAATTAAGTATCTCATCACTTTTACCAAGGATCCACATACCAAATTGAAAATGAACTAATATTTCCCATGAGCCATTCAAACAGTATATATATATCCTTGAGTATGAAATTGTATGGGTGGTTTGGGTACTGTGCTTTTTCTTTGTTTCCCATTGAAAAACATATATTTTCTTGCTTTTATTGGTTAATTTCCAGCCAGGCTTTGAATAATTTTCTTTTATATATCAGTATCCACAGCAGTGAATTATTATTAAATTAATGAATGGAAAAGATCCTCATGGAAATACTAGGCACATTTTAATTCATGAACTGAATTTCAAACCACTTCCTGAATTGCCTAAATTGGATATGGTTAGCAAATTCTCAAACTACCTTCAGTACAACTGGAGGGCTGTAGCTTACAACAGAAAGCACAAGTAGGCTATATCATTATAACCTTTACAGTACTGTGAGGATAGAAATTGTGCACAGAGCCTTAACAAAAGTGTTCATAGAGTGCTTTATAAATGCCAAGGAGAGTCAGGGATGGACAAGATACATATGTCCTTATATAGAGAATGGGAAGTGCGCTTTGCATCACATGAAAATGAATTCATCCACACATTTTAAATTTGATTTTAATAAGATGTTGAAAATATTCACGGTCAAATGTGTCAGAGGTCAAAAGACATACATGTTGTAAAGTTGCTATTGAAATGTAGGCTATGCCTAATAATAATACTATTCTCCATAAAGTAAACCACAATCTAGACTAGAGGCCTTATTGACAGATATCCTCATAGATTCATAATTCATAGAGGTCTGTTGAACATAAAATGGCCTAATTCAATTAAGTCATCATTCATCCTGACTAATGCATCATCATCTTAATGCATGTCATTGTAGGCCTACGTTGGCTGACATAAAATGATGACCCTGAATATGACCACACCAAGTTAGCCTATGCCGATACAGTGAGCCTATAGCTTTCAATTTGCTGACATGCCTGTGGAAATATTAGGCCTTCTGAAGTCCTGTATTACTGATCATTTGCCTGCCTGCTTGTCCAAGTCTGAGGGTTCTCTGGGGGTTCGCCAGGACTTTCTGAATGTGGGGGTCTGAGACTGAGAGCCTGTTGGTGGGGCCTGGGGTATAAGGTTCAGCTGCCTCGGCTGCTTTAACCAGCTAATAAATATGAAAACAGCGTGTTAAAACTTTTATTCGTTTTCTGATTGAAATGATTATCCCTTCTATAGAGTCCCATGTAAATCCCGAAACCTCATAAGGCCCAATGTTGTCCCATAAAACTGTGTCGGACAATAGAGGGAGAAAGGGGGCTTTTTCACGCATAAGGGGTTTTCACAAGAGCACATTGAGAGCAGCCCCTCCGTGACACGCCCATGGATTATGTGGCTGTCGGTGAAAGCGCTTCTAGGAGCGGCAGGTGTGTGTGCCAGGCACGGGGGTCGTGCGGCCGGCGACCGTAGGGGAGCTGGCTATGTCGAATGCGCGCAGCTGCCTGCAGGATTTTTTTCAGAGCTTGTCACTTCCATTTAACTTGCTCTTTTTCACCCCCTTGAGATGAAGTGGTCTCTCGTGCCCAGGTTCCCTCGACGTCCTCTCCCGGTTTAGATACGAAAGGGACCACTAAACGGTGACACCCCGACAACAAAAGCGAGCGGGGGCCACTACCCATCCCGCCTCAGCACCGTGAAATTGTGTATTAAACCGATAAGCTCTGCCACTGATACCGACCTCGCATTTCTTCAGGACCTATAATTGAATGCCAAAATCTAAGAAGGCAAGGTTAAACAAAGTCTTAACACAATAACTCTGTCTATTCCCTCGACACTTCTATTCAAGCCCCAGATTTCTAAATCATGATCCACCACATCATAGGCCAGTCTGTTGGTTAGTGTGAAATTGCTCTTGCAATATTGCAGTAACTTATCAAATAAAACAGGTTACAGTCTAGCCTACTCAGTCAATTAGGCTAGCTCACATATCCATGCGGATGTTGTCTAAATTCCCAAAGAAAAGTCTGTGTGTGAAGATCAAGAATCTTATCTCTGTAAATTGAACCATGTCAAAATGCTTGAGCCTCACAGCCACAAGCTCATCTTCCAGGCTGTTTTTATCTTTCAGTGTTTACAAAAAGACACGCATATTTATTGTTTTTTGTATGGTGAAACAGGGGCTTTAACCCATGTAGGCTATTCTCTCAAATGGTTTGCTCCATGCACCTTGATCCCTAATCTCTGTCGTTCAAACCATGTCCCATTCCAGCAGCTCTCCCCTTAGGGCAAGTTGGGTCCATACATAATCCTCCCAAACTCAGTCACGTATCCCACTGGGGTTTGGCTAAAGTGCTATGTCTGTCAAAGCACAACATTGTCTGCTTTTCACACCATTTCTGGCAAAAAGGATTAATTCCCCCTATAAATACAAACAATAAGACTAAATAACAGCAACCATACAGTGTGTGTGTGTGTGTGTGTGTGTGTGTGTGTGTGTGTGTGTGTTAGAAGTATTGACTTAGTGTTTTGTGAAAATACATAGAAAAAACTACATCTGCTCAGTTCACTAATGTAATTCATCATTTTCTACTTGCTGTCTCGTGCGGCTTCAACCCATGAGCCTCTCTGCTGTATCCATGGCTGCCAAAATGGACAGTGCTGCAGCAGCAGCCAGTGAATAAAATGAAATATGAAATAGTGTGATAAACTGGTAGATAATAATCTTTCCATTAAACTTTCATCCCGGGCTAACTTAAATATTCAAGAGCCCAATTACATAGCTTGTATCTTTTTTCTTTAACAAGAGCAGTCAGGGTGAGTGTATCTCGCTTAAGGGTTCAGTGAGAGCATCATTACTGAGTGGTCACGGGGGAGTTGACCCATCTCTCATGTGCTGGGCAGAAACCAGACTGAGAGATGGAACAGGCTGGCTGATAGCTGTCTAAATAAAGGATAGACAGACAGAGAGGTGTATAGATTTTCCGGGCGGATAGTGGAAATATGTGTGCATTGTGATGTGTGCCACAAACAGTGTGCGTGTGCACGCCATTCTGATCTAGTCTCTCTCTCTCTCTCTCTCTCTCTCTCTCTCTCTCTCTCTCTCTCTCTCCTCTCTCTCTCTCTCTCTCTCTCTCTCTCTCTCTACTCGCTCTCTGCTCTCTCGCTTTCTGTGTGTGTGTCAGTGTATTAGCAGTCAGAGCGCTGAAGCCCAGGGGCGATTCCTGTGTGTGCTTGCGATAAAGGGGAAAGGGAGGAAGTATATGGGGGGGGGGAGGGGGGGATAGTGTGTGTGTGTGGGGGGGGGGGGGGGGGGGGGGGGTGATTGTGGAGGGGAGAGAAAGAGAGGATGAAGTTGGGGGGTTGTGCAGAGAGAAGGGGGGGTGTAGAGATATAAAGAAAGAGAGTATGAAGAAGGGGGTGAACAACTAGAAGAGCTGAGAGAGCTTCCTCTGTGCTGTCAGTGCTCCTGGATCATGTCCCCATTGGGCTCTCTCTCTCTTTCCCTCTCTCTCTCTTTCCCTCTCTCTCTTTCCATCTCTCTCTCTCTTTCCTTCTCTCCCTCCCTCCCTCCCTCCCTCTCTATTTCACAAAAAGAGGAGAAGAGTGTCTTGGCAGGGTAATTAAGAATGGCCTCTAAACACAGGAGTATGGCAGGAATGCTCCAGATGAAAGTAAATGATTAAAATAATTACAGGCTCAAAGCTGACGAGCCGGAGTGTGGGGTGGCCGCCGGACATTTGTCGGTAATTAGATAATTAATCTGAATGCAAATGATGAGCCCTAACGAAGCAGTCAAGCTGAACCAGCGACAACTGCCGAGAGTGAAATAAGTGGAGAGAGAGAGAAATATGAAAATGAGTATTAAATTATTATTAAATATCCAGCTTCCAAAGTCAGCCTGCCAACACACAAAGCTAACACACATCAGAATTGTAAATCAATAACTCTAGCACCCAGTTTCAGTGTAGCTTGTGCATAAAAAACTCCTCACATCTCTACATCTATAACTTTCACTCATTGTGACAAGTAGGCATGAATAACTTGTTAAAAATACACAAGCCTACAAAGGGTGCCTGACAGTCAGAGCTCAAGCAACTGCATAGCAATTTCTAATGTTATAAGGTGCATTTCAGAGAGCTCAAACTGGAGGCTTACAGAGCCCAGAGACACATAAAAAGACAGAAAACTAATGATGAGTAATGTTAAGATTTTCTGCAAGCAATTTAAAAGCATCTGCAAATTGTGTGTTTATGGCTTTCTAACCTGACTGTTTATCATTTTCTAACCTGCCATTCAGCAGGCTACAGAGTTGGGAGGTTGGGAGGGTTGGACAGAACAAACTGAACGAGCAATCCCACTTGAAAAACAAAGCAAACAGATATCATATTCAATAAAAAGACAAATGCATTATTCAATCTAAGATGTATTATAAAAAAAGAATTTTGCTTTTATGCAGAATGTGTGTCTGTGTCTCTTTTTCTGTCTCTTTCTGTCTGTGTGTTTTTTAAAATGTTTATTTGTTCTTTGATCTTGCTTTAGGCTATTAAACACCCCACTTTAATTTAATACAATTAAGTAGTCTGTATATTCCAGAGATACAGTAGATTGTGGTAAAATCATTTGCAGACCTGGGTCGTCATTAGTTACCACAGCCACAAAGTCATAAACCCCGCCCATTTCTACAATTTATCTTCTTAAAATCAGATTTTAAACCTACCCCTAACCACACTTTGTGGCTGTGGTAACTAGTGGAAACCCCAGACCCTGGTCACATGAGAAGGAGAAAAGCCTCATATTTCATGACGTCAACATTATGCGCCACTCATTCAAGTTTTGCTGTGTAATCTGAGTAAACGAACGAGGTTGCGTTGTTGCTCAGGCAAAACTTTACTTTAAAATTGTTACAGTATGGAATATTTGATCGGAATTCAGGGACAAGACTTTGTCCTAGTTGCTGCTGATAATGTTGCAGCCAACAGCATCGTTAAGATGAAACAGGGTATGACATTGCTCGTTTGCAGTTAGTTAGCCAGCTAGCTAACGTTATTTAGAACTCATTTGTAAAATGTTTAAAATCAGCAAAATGTCGTAAATATTTGTTTCATACATTTTTTGTTTTGAGTCATATGCTAAAAAATGTATTAGGATTGTTGTTACCTAGCTAGCTAAGCATACTAGTTTACATGTTATGAGTTAACAGTAGTTTAGCAAGCTAGTTAGCTAGTAAGCCTCCTCCCTGGCCAATGAGTCGAGATCAGAAAAGCGGACACTAGCTACCTAACTGATGTGGCTTCCAGTTATCACCAAAGTTTGTTTGATAACAATTGTGTTGGACTAGTTAGTAAGCTTGCTAACTTGCATGTCCACAAACACCAAACAGTGATTTGCAGATTCGCGCTAGCTACCTAAAAAGGCTAGCCAGTGTGCCTGCCAGCCATCTAGCTAACTCGCTTCATTCAATTGTGAAAGTGAAAGTCAGCGAGGAGTGCACGCACAACAGCAGGCCCAGATTACTATCAAAATGACTTTCAATATTTTCCGCTAAGTAAAAAAATCTGAAAGAGTAGAACTATTTGTAATCAAACTAACTTCAAGAATGTATTATTTTGCTTTAGTATTTCCATACATCATGTTGAACATGTCACTGGAGTGTATGTGATTAAATAACGAACACCTTGTCTGTCGACCTCAGACCAAGACAAGATGTTCAAGCTGAGCGATAAGATTCTGTTGCTATGTGTGGGAGAGGCAGGAGACACAGTACAGTTTGCGGAGTATATTCAGAAGAATATTCAGCTGTACAAAATGAGGAATGGTAAGTGCCACCCATTTCTTGTTTCTCTGGTGTCAAAATAAAGATGGCCTAGTACTACTTGTGCCACCACCACTGACATGTGGATTCAATACTCGTTACGAATATTGAATGAACATTTAATTTATTAATGTTTTCCCCCCGGTTATGTGCTACCCAATGGTGACTTCTGATAGGGCATTCCTTTCATTTTGACTCTGTCTTTCAGGTTATGAACTCAGTCCAACAGCTGCAGCCAACTTCACACGCAAGAACCTTGCAGACTACCTTCGAAGCAGGGTAATTATTTAATGTGGACCAATGCTTTTTTTATTTCCAATGTAGCCCAGCCTACCATACTACGATACTCCTAAATTGCTCTGTGCTATTGCCACTTAGCCTATGTCTAGGCAGGGCAAACACGTTTTGGTGATTTCTGGTATGTCATCAAAATAAATAAATCACAGCACATTTTTGAACTCATTCAGCAGTTTTTCCTGAATAAGTACAATACCGTTGGAAGTTAATGTTGAAAGTTCAATTTATACTTATCAAAAATATAAACGCAACATGCAATCATTTCAACGATTTAATTGAGTTGAGGTTCATATAATGAAATCAGTCAATTTAAGTAAATACATTTAATCAAATCAAATTTTATTTGTCACATGCGCCGAATACAACAGGTGAAACTTACAGTGAAATGCTTACTTACAAGCCCTTAACCAACAATGCAGTTTTAAGAAAGAATACCAAAAAAAACACACACAAAAATACAATATAAAATAATACGAAATGAAAGTAACAAATAATTAAAGAGCAGCAGTAAAAATAACAATAGCGAGGCTATATACTGGGGGTACCAGTACCGAGTCAATGTGCGGGGGCAACGGTTAGTCGAGGTAATTGAGGTGTAGCCCAGCCTACAGGTCCTAATCTATGGATTTCACATAACTGGGCAGGGGCGCAGCCATGGGTGGGCCTGGGAGGGCATAATCCCACCCCTTCGGAGCCAGGCCCAACCACTGGGGGCAGGTGTACGTACTGCCAAATAATCTAAAACGACGTTGGATGCAGTTTATGGTAGATAAATGAACATCTCTGGCAACAGCTCTGGGGGACATTCGTGCAGTCAGCATGCCAATTGCATGCTCCCTCAACTTGTGACATCTGTGGCATTGTGTTGTGTGACAAAACTGCACATTTGAATGGCCTTTTATTGTCCCCAGCACAAGGTGCACCTGGGTAATGATCATGCTGTTTAATCAGCTCCTTGATATGCCACACCTGTCAGGTGGATGGATTATCTTGGCAAAGGAGAAATGCTCACTAACAGGGATGTAAACAAATTGTGCTCAAAATTTGAGAGAAATAAGCTTTTTGTGCATATGGAACATTTCTGGGACCTTTTATTTTAGCTAATGGAACATGGGACCAACACTTAACATGTTGCCTTCAGTATATATTCCTAAAATTTAAATTGAAAATGATGATACTTCCTGTTGACATGAGATATTGATAAATAGCCCAATGTCAAAACACAGTTTTAAAGTGTCCAAGTCAATATCCAATATACAGAAACAGTTTGTGATATATTGAAAACATAATCATAAAATGTACTATCTACACATACATGTGCAACAATAGTGATCATATTACTTGTCTTTTTTTTAATGAACACCTTATAAACTGCACACGCACCAAAAACCATGTTATTTTGTCAAGTGGCAATAAATCACTGATCAATTGGGGGGGGAAACCACATGGAAACTGGATATAGTTTTACATAACTGGTTAGAGGAAAACCTGCATAGCACAGTCGGCTACATTTTGGAATGTTGCATTTTAATAAGGGGGTCACCAAAACAGAAAGAAAAACACAACACTGTGTTGTCAATCATGCCTATCGATTATCACGTTGAAATCAATTGCGCAAGAGGGGGAAGAAGAGGTTGCACGTCCTGTTAAAACTAACACCGCTCAAAAACCACACAGAATCTGGGAATAATGTGTATATCGCTGGTTAGAGGGCCATTTGTAGATGACAGCTAGCTACATTTTGAAGTGTTGCATTTTGATTCAAGTAGGTCGCCAATGCGGAAAGTGAAAGGCAACACTTTTTTTGTTAATTACTTCCATCGATATCACGCTGAAATCAGGGGGCAAACATTTGCGGTGTAGCGCTCTTTAAACTAACACTATTCAAAGGCTACAGAAACAGAACCAAAAAAGTAATAATTTTGTTTCAAATTAAAGTTCTGACCACCCAAAAAAAGTACTGGTTTGTATCGTTCCTTTTTTAACCTGGGAAATCAAGTTTTTTTTTACATTTAGCTCATTAAATTACAATCAGTGCGGATAGTTAAGGCAAGCTAGTTGTTTACATGGGTGATAGACATACAAGTGTAGCAAATGGCTCAAGATGCAACTGAACTTTTGTGGGTGGGGAGGGAGCGAGAGTGGGTAGAGGAGGCGGCTTGAAGCGCTGGGCATCTTGTTATGACATGTATTATATGAATTAGGTCCACAGAATTATACCTAGGAGGAGCGGCTTCTATGGAGGAACTTTGAATGTCCTTTGAGCTAGCTAGCTAACAAGCTTGTGTGTGCAGAGAGGCACCAGAATTAAAAACACGTCTTCTTTTTATATGTCGTTAATGAATCCAACGTGATAAGTAGGCCTATAGTATCCTTAATTAGCATTGAAAAGTTAATCCACTCTTCTCTAGCTATAGTGTCAAAAAAGTAGGCCATTGCCACTTTAAGAATAATGCATTTTTAGGCCTTGCTAATGCATTGATAGTCAAATTATTACTACATTCTAAAATATGTGATCTATATACAAAAAAAACAGTCCGACAGCTAGATCCAGGATTCTTACAGGGTTCAAGTTCAATGTCTAATTTAACTGATTAATACTTAATATATGATATATATGATATAACTACAACTTACACTGCCATAAATGTAAGGACAGAAAAGTAATGTTTTATGTCACACGATTTTGGACAAATCTTTTAAGACACCAACCATGAGAAAGGGTTAAACAGGTGAATTTTATTAAATATACCTATGTTCCCCCCTTATAGCTTAATGTAATGACATGAAAAAAATTGGCAGATAATATCAATGACTTATCAACATCTATAACAAGTTGTCCAGCGTAAGAAATCCTCACTGGTACCCTAGTTTATAGAAAGACCTATAGACACTTTGTTGTGGCACTATAAAAAAATGCCTGGAACATAAAATAACGTTATTAACTGGCTCCCATGCTTTTAAAATAACGGTTCTGTTCCGGAACAGTATGGATCACTTTCGTTCCGTTTCTGTTCCTTGAAGAATGTTGTTATTTTCCTGTTTTCGGTTCTGATCCCTGAACCGCTTCCAGCCCCTGGTTTTAAGCGCTTGATCATGTGTCATCGTGTTGACTATAAACGTTTATACTAACATCACCAATCTCAGGTTTTAAAAAAAAAGGATGTGTAATTACCCCCAATTCGATGTGGTCAAAACGTCAGCTTGTGTAATGTAGTAACACATACTGTCCACATGAAAAGTAGCGTAATATACAATAATTAGATATGACAAAATAATCTTAATTTAGGATAGTGAATGAAGCAAACGCACAGATTTGTTCAATAATCACATAGCTATATTTCTCACTAGTTTAACCATTTTAAAGATTTAAAAAATGCTCGTAAGCACAATTTAACCAGGAACTCTAGACTAGAGCGTCCATAGGGTCTGTGCAGCAGGCTGAATGTTTGACGTCCCTACTATGTCACATATTCAGGTAGGAATTCAGTCTAACGGACCTGCGACACTTAACTTTTGCAGCGCGTGAAACATTCCCATTGTTTTCGAAGAAAACTGGGCACAAGCATGCTTGCCTCTTCCAGTGAAGCAGCTATAAAACCTACTGCTGTCATGACGCGCTAGTGAACCACATGTTACACTCATTTTGTCTCTGTTGTGTACCTCTACTATATCAGTTTGAGATGTGGGCAGCGAGTTTATTTTGACTGATCCAGAGACATTTGTCTAGGTTGTGAATTGGCCTAAGTGTCACTCCAGTCTCAAGGGCACACAACACCTGCGGCAGAAATGTAATAATGCAACCCACCGGGTCCCTGTCCTACCACTCCCTGGAGTGAAGCATTGAACGTGTGTGTTTGTGTGTGTGCGAGAAGGAAAGTGTGGGAAGAACACGGGTGTCAAGTCTCCTCGTATCCATCCCTCTAAATCTCATCTGGTTGCGGCGAGGTTAATATGTTAGGAAGAGTGCAGCCGCTGCCTGTCACAATAGCAGAAGGATGAAAATAATTACAAAAAACAATTAGTGGGGCTGAGGAGGGAATGTGGGACACAAGGAGGGGGGAGCCGAGGGAGTGGGAGGCTAGAAAGGGGGCAGTCCCAAGGGCTTTGAACTAGACCCAGAAGTCAACATGGCACAGAAGGGCGTGTGCAAGCGGGAGTCGGTGTTACAGTTTGGCTGATGCTGGTTCAATATGTGCTTTAGATATTGGATAACATTACAACATATTTCGAAATTCATGCCTGCCCAAAGGCAGTAATATCATTATTTTGTACCCTGTGGTACAAATATATCCTTGTTTATGTATATTGAATTTCCATACGCGGTTCTCGCAGGGCTTCCAAAAGTATTGAGAATTTTGTATTTAAAGCAGTTTCTTCTCGACATCCCACACCTTCCTTTAGCTGTGCTCTCCAATTCACACCCACCCCAGAGTATATGGACGTGCACATATGTTATATAAACATGTTTTCCACTCCTTCCGGAGCATTTATGAATGTTGTTTCTCTCTCGTCCACCTGAGTGGAGGGTCGCTAAGCTGTTAAGTGAAGAGGATGTCTCTTGTGGTTTGAAACCTCAGGGGATGAGTGGTGGTGATAGAGCTTGGCATTGGGGGGGGGATCATGCACTGTGTACCTACCAGGAATCCAGAATAACAACTGGGCCTCTCGATAACCCCAGGTGTGAGCACCAAGCTTCAGAGATGGTATGAGAGAAGGGAAGTCAGAAGTCAACTGCATTATGTATTTCAAAAACTCTATTCTTAAAATAGACAGCACAGCCACTGTTCTCGTTTAAAATGGTGATGGACTTTACAGGCTTTCTCAGTCATATGTAGCCTGTTGGGTTGTATCCAAAAGAACAACTAAGCCCTCTTCATTATTTAAAGATTTAGCAAAAAGACCACGGCAACAGTTTGTCTGGTGCTAGTGTTGCATATGGGGTTTTCTTTTTTAGTACAGCACGGTCACAAATAATTACTAGTGCCATATTGCACATGACTCCCCTGTTCCAGCACAGATGAACAATTAATACAGCAGATTGAGGGGAAATGCCAATAAAGAGAACATGTCCTGGGGCACGGTGCAAAGAGGAGGAGGGAAGGAAAGAGGGAGCGAGCGCTGGCACGTGGAAGAGGAGATGGAGAATGAGCGGGGCTGATTTACTACGGTTCACTTCTTTCATCACCAGACCCAACCATACATCCTTCCTTTTTAGTTGAATGCCTAATACAGTTGGACACCCCATCTCTGGTGTGTGTGTGTGATGAGGTTCTTTTGAAGACGTATGTGTTTGTGACTTGGCGTGAGTTCAGGTGCTGGATTTAACAAGCCTGCTGGCTGGAGGCTGGTGCCCTCTGAGGTGACATGTGGAGGAAGGGTTATTTTGATGCCAGCTCCAGCACTGTATTGTTACGTTGTAACCTGTGAGACAGGTGTCGCTCGGGTGAGTGGGGGTGACGCCACTGGGGTGTTCCGGGGCACACCAATGGGTTCAGGCATGGCCTGGCAAGACACACACAGGGAGCATGGTAAGTCAGCCCTTCTTTCCACTCTTGCAAGGGTCTCACACACACACATACACAAATTGATACTAGGGGCAGGTGTTCAGATTACAGTAGGTTACTGCAGCTCAGGTGGTGTCACATTAGACATCCACTGTGTCTCTCTCCCTCTCTCTAGGACTGGGTTCATATGCAAAGCTTAGCTGCTGAATTGTAGCATTCGTTTCGTAGCATCAGTGTGTTTAACTCATTTTAACTGGAAACTCTACAATTGTCAAACGTCAATCCAGGGCGCGACGCCATGACTGCTTTCTGAAACTTCAATTTGTCCTGATAGAGGGATTATAACAAGGAGGGAGGCTAGTGAAAGGGGAGTATTGCGAACGCGGAGAAGAGATTGAAACGGAGTGGCTAGAAGGGTAAAAAGTAATTTAAGGGAAAGGGAAGGAGAGAGGGAGACAACTTCAGAAGTTTTTAATGAGCCCTGGCGTTACTCCAGGGCATAGGGTGAAGGCGGGAGTAGGGGGGGAGAGGAGGGAGGCGATGGAGGGAGCAGCGGGGGTCCGTTTCCCAGCAGATGTCACACTGCCAGTGACACCACCACCCCCCCTCCTCAGTCCTCTCCGACACCCCTCCCACCTAACCCAGGTCGCGGCAGTTTCACACCCCTTCCCGTACTCTTGTACGGCTGCTGCTGTTGTTTTATCTCCCAAAATCAAAGCTATTAATAGCAGCGATGTTTGAACAAGCTGAAGTGCCGCTTCAGTGTCTGTGGCACCCAGCTTGTGCATTGATAGTTTAGTGTGCTGACCATAGAGAGAAATCATTAGAGAAAGTGTATTATGAAATAATTTAGTCTCTATGGTACTGACTATTGGTCGCTGTCGTAGCACCAACCTTGGAGGGTAATAACAGAGGAAGAGAAAACGGCACATTGTTGTTCGGATGTGGACAAATAATTGTATTGTGTGTATTATAATTTTGTGTTTATCGTCCATCACATCCCCATCGTGAGAAAATTGTCATAACACGATAATATCAAGATATCGCGATAATATGGTTATAGTATCGCAATAATAATCACAATTGTTTTCCATATCTTCACTGACCCATGCCTCTTCTCTTCTCTCACCAGACTCCCTACCATGTGAACCTGTTGCTGGCTGGGTTTGATGAGACAGACGGCCCAGGGCTCTACTACATGGACCACCTGTCTGCTCTTGCCAAAGCCCCCTTCGCTGCCCATGGCTACGGAGCCTACCTCACCCTGTCCATCCTCGACCGCTACTACAGACCAGGTGGGATCTCTATCTCTTTCTCCATCCACATCTTTTACTGTTCCTCTATTTTATTGCCCTCTTTATATCTCCTTTTTGTCCTCTTTCTGCCTCCGTCTCTCACTATCTTCTGTTCTAATCCTCTTGTCTGTTTCCCCTATTTTCTCTCTCTGTATTCTTCACTCTCTCAACACTGTAACTTAATATTAAATGATTGAAGAGTTATTGTATTTAAGTTAAACTTCATCCGAACGTGAAGCTAACCATATTTCTCTCTCTTCCTGTCTCCCTCTATCTCTCTAATCACTTTCATGCTTCAGATCTGACTCGTGATGAAGCTATGGACCTGCTGAAGAAGTGCATTGAGGAGGTGAGCTCGGTTCTTTTATCTGAATAATAATGGCAGTGTGCTTCATCACCACCTTCTCATTAGTTTGTTTCAAGTCATCACATTTGGAAATGTTGCTGTGATGCTCATTGTAGTTGGATAATCACACTCAGCAGTCGGGTGCATGTTACTTTAATTTGTCAAATTGAGATGTCTTTATATTAGAAAAATGACATTTTGTGTAATTTTGAGAGAACTGTTCAATGAACAGAAAATATCAGCCATAACATGCAAATAGCTTTTTCTCCTATATTCCAGTGCCGCCACTTGCATTGGTGTGATATGACTCATGACCTAACTAACTCCCCTCCCTCTCTCTCTTTCTCCTCCAGCTGAACAAGCGCTTCATCCTCAACCTGCCCTCCTTTAGCGTCCGTTTGATTGACAAGGACGGCATCCATGACCTGGAGAAGCTTACCCCTGTGGGCGCCAAGTGACCGCTCACTGCTTACCCCTAATGCCCACATTTTTGTACCGTAGACCTTGCTCTTTATGTTCCAATAAAACGTGACGCGCTGTTGAGATATCTTTGTCCTCGTGGTGCTTTCCTCAGTGTCCCCTATAAAGAGAACAGCCTTCTGGCTGTGTACACTGTAATCTGTGTGCGCGCCTCTGTGTTTTATGTGTCCTGTACGTGCATAGTCGACCATGAGAAAGTGAAAAGCCATATGATCAGAAATGAATAATGATTATAACATGGAATTTAAATAATATATTTATAATAATGATGGACCTTTCATCTAATAAATGTATCTAAATTAAATGTGGGTATTTTCATGAGACTTTAATTCTACTGTAGTTAAGTACCAAATCAATTATACTTAAAGTACAGATGTGTATTCCGTACACAGTATATTTAAGTATGATGTTTATATGACGAATACATAGCCTATTGACTCTTATCTACAGTGGTGTAAAGTACTTAAGTAAAAATACTTTGAAGTACTACTTAAGGAGTTTTTTGGGGGTATCTGTACTTTACTATTTATATTTTTGACAACTTTTAATTTTACTTCAATAAATTCCTGAAGAAAATAATGTACTTTGTACTCCATACACAGAATAGTGAACATCAAGCCAGTGTGTCTCCAACTCCTCTCCTCTCCTATACCACAGACAGGTGATTAATAAACATTAAACAATCCCTCCTCTCCCAAACACACCGGAATCTGACGGGAAGAGCAGCATATGTTTGCCTGGAGGCACAGAGAGATGGAGAACAACCCTGCTGAGTGTCAGATATAGGAAAGGAGGGGGAGAGAGATGGAGGGAGGGAGGGGCAGGTCACAGGGAGATAGAGGGATGGGGGAAATGACACTTGGGGTAATGTGGAGGGAGGGGGCAGGTAAGGAGGTGTAGAGACCGGAGAGAACCAGAGAGAACGAGCAGATGATGAGAGGTAGTGTAACAACAGATGAGGGAGGAGGACGGGAGGGGGGGGGTGCAGTGTTTGTTGTGCACTGGGGTCGCGGTGTTCTCCCAGGTACCGGTGGGGCTGGCTGCTGCCTGGCGCGGTGACACAGTTGCCACTGATGGTTAGGGATCGCTTTCACCTCATCGCTTTGGCGTAAATGGGCTCTCTGAATTTTGAGTGGCCCCTGGGGTGCACGTTCGCATCAGTAATTATTATTTTGTGTGTGAAAGAAAGCGAGGTGGGTAGTGTCTATGGTTAATCATAAGTGGTGAATTGCTACTTTAATTTTTATTAGCAACAAATATTTTCTCAAAAACTGTTTTGTAAATATTTTAAATATATATCTTAAGAAATTATTCTTATTGTTTTATGTTCTTTTTTAATCACTAGACATTTTTAACCATTCATATTTTGAAGATGGATCTATTTGATGGCCAGTGGCTTGTAGGTATTAAAATCTTGAATAAATAAACGTAATAGAATAAACCTTGAATTGACATAAAAATGTTGCCGTAGGAAAAGCATCCTTCCACCATTTATCGACAGTGAATGATAAAACATGATACCCAGACAGTCCGCATCAGTTATTCTTTAATAATATATTACATTTATGCCGTAATACAATAATTATAACAGTAATAACATTAATAATAAACATACACAGTAAGTACAAAATGATTAGTTTTTTTTTCATAATTTACCCACTCCTACCCTCCCCTTAAAAAAAAAAAAATAACATAGCTGCCTCTGACACCACGCCCCCATGCCCACCCCCAAAAACTAAATTACCCAGCAGCACCCACATAGAATTGTAGTACACAAACTGCCCATCCTATGGGGTGGAGTATTGGACGGTATCCAATGTCCAGATGAGGAACAAGCAAAACTGAGAAAGTTGGTTGTCCTGGATATGGCTCATCTCTTATGACGAGAGGTTTTCAAACTGGGTCCAAGTAGCATAGAGATAAATAGTTGTACCTCTATGGGAAGTAGACGGGGATCCTATGAATGCAGGTTGGGGTATCATCTTGACAGTCAGACAGGGACATAAAGCCAGAACTCATCCAGAAAATGTCATTGGCAGTTAGAAATTGTCACTGCCTAGAAAACCAGCAGCCCAGAAGAAAAAGTCCATGCGTCTTTGAGTGAGGAGGCCGACACATATACAGTACAAACATCACCATGCCTTTCCCTGTGAGGGATCGGGCCATAGCAGGAATTTCAGAAATAAATCTAAGTCTTTGTCTTCTTAAAGGAGGCTAAGAAAAGATGGAATTGGGAAATCTGTCAGTCCGTCAACCTCCAATCTCCATTCTCCTCCAAAAACGTTGTTTAACTATTTGCGGTGCTTCATCTCCTTCTCATGGTGGCCCTTCCCACCCCCCTGGTCCTTGTCCAGCATTTTGATGGCTTCCACCAGGTAGCTCTGGAAGGCGGAGAGGGCGGCGCAGATAGCAGGGGTACCGAAGCCGTGGGTGAGCAGGCTGAAGTGGGTGAGGTTGCTCTGGACCCCGTGCTCCAGACAGGGGTTGGGACGACTCGCCCCCAAAGGAGAGCGGTCCTGGGACATCAGGTCCACAAACTCCTTGCAGATATCCCTGAGGAGAAAAAGTAGGAGCAGGGTTAGAATTCTTCAATGCTAACGTTAGCTTTAATGACATTTTCTTCATTATACCCGTTAACATTTTCAGGTCATCATTTAACAATGTAATGGGACGATAATCACTCTCATTAAAACTGTACACATTTCCTAAATAGCTTTGTCTGCTTCAGTTGAGCTGAAAATCTTTTTTAGTTGGTGTCTACCTTCACGCAATGCACACTATCTATATCTGTAGGTATATGTGATACTGGAGATTGTTCAGCATTAGTGAGACTGTATCTACTGTAAGAGTGTATTAGGCCCAGACAGGGATCATGAGACACTCACTTGGTGGCCAGCAGCATACTGCGCCGTGTAGGAAGCTGCTCAGGGTCGCTCTGCCTACACAGATACTCTGCTGTCGCTCTGGCAGGGAACTCCGTCTCACACACATACCCAAAGTCACGGGCCAGGTGGACCGCCTCACCTGGGAAGCGAAGGGATAAAATAGATTAGTGAATGACCAGATGTCAATTTGAAAGGTTGGCAGGAAATAAGGCAAAGCTCAGTTCTTTATGAGATGCTCTTGTTTGGATTTACCATTGGTTTAAGGTACTGAAGGGTCTTTTATGTTATCATCCATTTATTACCAATTTACATTCAATTTAATTGTGCAAATACATTTTTGTTGAAAGTGAATTACTCACAGTGGCAGGAGATTTTACTAGAGATTTTACTAAGCGATAACTGGGAAATATGTACTCTACCTAGAGTTGTTCTTTAAATCAATGTGTGTGTGTGTGTGTGTGTGTGTGTGTGTGTGTGTACAAGTCACTGTGGGCCTCTTACCCTCCACTAGAGCCGTGAGGAGGGTGACGTTGGCGGCCTTGCGTCGCCCGGCGGGGAGATTAAGCCCAATCTTCTCCAGACGCTCTCTCAGACAGCGCCCACCATTCTTTGACTTTGCCCTGAGGGAGGAGAGAGGAGACAGAGAGAACAGCTTAAGACCTGTCTGTGTGGCCACATGACAAACCACTGAGGCTAGTCCCTGGCTGTGGCTGCTCACTGAGTGTCCCCATGGCCATAGTCTAGTACTGCTGACACTTGAGGGTTTCATTTCATACCCAGCTATCACCATGTCTTAAGACATGTCAATGAAGACGTCCTGAGATGTGTTAAAAAGTGAAGACGTCTGTAAGACGTGTCTATAGACGCGTCTTAAAGACACTTCAAGACATCTTAAATATAGAAGACGTCTTAGAAATAAGACGTTTTATAACACTATAAAGAGTATTTCTGTGATTCCTTTGCTTTTGCTTTTGACCCCTTTTTCTACAGTTAGATATGGTGCTGAAGAATTTCATAGAAGGACAATGATTTGAAATATGCACTACTGTAATCTAACGTATGAACACTGAACAGGAAAAGTGGTTAATTAAAAAAAGCTGCATTAAAAATTAATAGAGGAATTTAAAATGTTTTATATAATATATGCATTATTACATTCTCTGTGGAGGAGCTGGACTTTTCTCACTGGATACATTAAGCAATCAAGGGGTGACAAATAATGTATTCCATGGTTCAGAATACATGAATACATCTGATGTTCAGACTTTTTTTATTTGATTTATTATCATGTGTGAAGCTTCTCCACTGTTTCGCTCTCCCCACCCCTAACTCCAAACCCCACCCCTCTCACCTGCGCAGGACTCCGCCCAACAGGGAAGCGTTGAGGCACTCAGGCGGGGCCAGCCGTCGCTGCACCTCCCCCACGGTGACCTTGTACTTGGAGGTGGAGCTGAGGAGTGAGAGGCGGCCGGGGACGGAGCAGAACACCTCCCCTGGGTTGGACACGGAACCAATCCCTAGACCATCCTTACTGAGGTGGAGGGCCGACAGGGACGAGCCATTCAGCTTGGAGGGGATGGGAACTGTGGAGAGAGAGTTAGGGAGAGAAGGGACGGAGAGAGAGAGAGAGAGAGAGAGAGAGAGAGAGAGAGAGAGAGAGAGAGAGAGAGAGAGAGAGAGAGAGAGAGAGAGAGAGAGAGAGAGAGAGAGAGCGAGAGAGAGAGAGAGAGAGATGGGGAAATAGCAAGATAGGAAGAGAAGGAGAGATTATAGAGGGAGAAAAAAAGAGTAAAGGTGAATAAAAATCATATTTCCACAATCCATTCTAATATACATGAAAAATTTGTCATCCTTGATGTTCTAATGAAAGTAATGTGTTTATTACATGGATAATAAATTCAGTGGCACGTTTTCCCCTGTGTTGACAGCTCTAATTCTGGCACCACTATTGTTGTTGTTGTGGTCACAGCAGGTGGGTGCCATGTTTCTTTAAGTAACACATTACATTTTAGTCATTTAGCAGACGCTCTTATCCAGAGCGACTTACAGTTAGTGTATACATTTTCATACTGGCCCCTCGTGGGAATCGAACCCACAACCCTGGCGTTGCAAGCGCCATGCTCTACCAACTGAGCTACACGGGGCCATCTCATATAGATCTTATTCACGCCTCACTACTTTCCTCATATAGATCTTATTCACACCTCACTACTTTCACAGTCACTTTTCTCTGACTGCTAAGCTTAAAGACCTTCATTCTCAAGTATTGAGTGTTGCTAGAATTTAAATTGCCACTTTCCAGGTTTAAAAACTGGGAGAAACTGGGGACAAAGCAACACTATCATATGAATGCAAATTATAGAATTGTCGTGGCTAAGAAAGCACTTGAACCGTACAAGTCTAAGCATTGTGGTAATATTTCCTGTTACTTGAGAGGAGCATTCTAAAAATTATTACGATTTAAACTGCCATTCAGTTCCTAATAATGATTTGTGTTGACGTAAAAAAAAAAAAAGAGTCCCCTTGGCTTTTTAATTTGTGCTCAAACATCTTTGTTACATCATCTTTTAAACCGTTAATTTGTTTTCATGAGATTAGCTGGTGTAGCCCACTAATCACACATCTCATGCCAGGACTGTGGGCTTGGATCTAAAGGCTGAATTGAGAGGATTGAATGAACCCTTTCCCTTGGTGAGCATGTATCTGTATCTGTGTGTGTTATTATGTATGAGTGTGCATTACTGTGTTTCTATGGTTTAGAAACTATCCTAGTATCCTCTCTTGCCCCTGTGTGTGTGTGTGTGTGTGTGGGGGGGTCTCTCTCTCTCTCTCTCTCTCACACACACACACACACACACACACAATCTATACCCAGCTCCCTACTACCCCCCTCATCCCTTTGGCTCAGCGCATCCTCCCAGTGACTAGCTATACTGTTGCGGAGTTATTATCTCTGTGCCTACTGTCAGCTGTGCTAGTGCTGCCGCTATGATGCCGTTTCTCAACTCTCGCTCCGTGGGCGGCGTGCATCTCTTTGCGACGCCCCACTGTGCAGCACAGATTCCCGGACAGAAGGGAGCTCTCTCTATCCCCCATTCAGAGCCAGCCAGGACCAGCCGCGGAGCAGCGAAGAGGTCTCTAAGCCCTCTCTCTCTCTCTCTCTCTCTCTCTCTCTCTCTCTCTCACTCTCTCTTTCTGTTTCTCTCTCGCTCTGTTTATATATCTCTCTCTGTTTCTCTCTCTCCCTCTCTCTCCTCAGATCCCCAGAGCTGCTTATTCATGTGGGCTTTGAGCTTGTTCTACGCTCTTAAATCTGTGGCCAGGAGTATGCGCTGTAATTGATCCATTCTCAACCTCGACAAATCAGTGGAATGATAGTCATTTTTCTTGAATATGAGTGTTGGTTGCAACATTTTAAGCATTGCTCATGCATAGATGCCATGTCTCCCGTGTAGTCACTCAAGCTGATTTGGAATTCAACTTGAATTGGTTAATCATGCCCCTGTGTCTTGTGAAAAATCCTAGTTCTTAGTATTGGTAATATTAGAGTTATCATACGGCTGTGAATTTCCCCAGAACTCTTTTATCACTTCTTTCCCCTCCCTTTTCCTTGCCCCACTTCTCTCCTCCTTGCTCTAATCCCCCTCTCTCTCCCTCTCTCTCTCATATGACCATGAACAGTTCATTAAGAATGACTGCCTTCAGGGTGAAGTCTGCAGCCGAGTATTAGAGGACTTCAAATGAAATAGCAAAACAGAATTATTTATAGTGTGTGTGCGTGTGTGTGTGTGTGTGTGTGTGTGTGTGTGTGTGTGTGTGTGTGTGCTGGAGGGGTGGTTGGTGTTTATAGGGAAGGCTACCCACAAACACACACAGAGCTCTGCCATCACTTACCTTTCTTAATGACAGAGTGGTCCAGGATGCCCAAGGCTGATCCCTCCTCCATTCCCTGTGTTGGGTAGATACAGTGGGCAGTCAGGATCATTTATTCACTACCCTCACCAGCCAATCCAAAACCAGTCTGGGGCCAAATGCAATCTATAATTTAGCTCTTATCACAGTGTATGAAAATTATAACAGTTGATCGGCAGTTTTGCTACAGTCTCGCAGTTCGTTAGTGCAGTTTATTTGAGAAGCTTTATTTAAGGTTATTGTAGGGCTAATAATATAGCATATGCCACTTTATCCAAGGCCAAGTGAATACATTTACAGTGTATGTGATCTCTATGAACAGTGTGGAGTTGTGGTCCACACCCTATAGGTGTGGAAGAAAAAGCAGTAAACATAATTGCACTATTTGTTGAAACTGGCTGTGCAAATATACAATGTTGTGTGGTCAGAGAACAAAGAAGAAGACAAAAGTTGTCCCTGCTTAACATTGTCTTTACTCTATGAAAACCTAGACATAGAACTGACATATTTTGTGTTTGTGAGTTGAGGGGGGAATCTTAAGAGAGGGCTATTGGCATGAGAATCACTTTGTCAAGTCCATATGTCTTTTACACATTTTATGTTGTGTGTACTTTTGACATGTTAAGTTGTAAATAAAAAAACTATAGCCTAAGTATGTTGGGGCGGCAGGTAGCTTAGTGGTTAAGAGCGTTGTGCCAGTAACCGAAAGGTCGCTGGTTCTAATCCCCGAGCCAACTAGGTGAAAAATCTGTCGATGTGCCCTTGAGCAAGGCACTTAACCCTAATTGCTCCTGTAAGTCGCTCTGGATAAGAGCGTCTGCTAAATGACTAAAATGTAAATGTAAATGTATGTTTTTCACTTGAATTACAATGAGGATAATCGTGAGCTAAACCCTGCAATCGCAATCCTTTTCAATGTGAATTCAATACGCATCGGAAATTGTGAAAAATGTAATCTGAGCCCAATTATCAAGTCACTCTAAATCTTTATATAATGATCTATTTTAAGCCTAGTCCTACATATTTTTATATGGACGGATTAGGCCGCCTACTTGTCTATTCAGCAAAGAAACTAAAAACAAATAGTAGTTTGTTTATACTGATATTATACTTTTACTGATATTCTACATGTGTCATGAGAAGTATGATAAAATTCTTCTGCAGAGCGAAATGCTCTTTGTGTCGGTTTTATAAGGGGCTCAAACGTGCGAATTGAATCCATTAATCAAATGAAGGTTCTGTCAAGAGAGGGCGTTTAACACAAACATGCCCTGGATGACTCCATGCCTGCCGCTTGAGTAAGTGTTTCTTTGTATTAATGACCACGGGAATCAATTGGTTGCGCCGAATTTTCTGTGAGCGATGCAGGATGTTTTGAACAAATGCGTCTGAATCTGCACCTGCTTGTGTGTGGTTGACTACTCAATAAATCCATAGCAACGTTTAAACTATTGTTCTTGCTAAATTGAAAATGCATACCATAATATGTTCAACACTTCTCCCTATGACTTCAATGGATATCGGCTAAAGCCACCAACGAAACGTTGGCTTGCTTCATGTGTTAGTGGATAGCCTACAGGCTTAAATTAGCCTTGAATTCTGACACACAAATAACAATAAAACTATTCAGGAAGGAAAGAATTACAAAATTCCTAATATTATATTTAATATTATTACTATTATGTATTTCTAGGCTATTTCTGATGTATTTTTTCAGGAGATTAACATACATTTTGTAAATTTTTTCGCTACAATTAATACATTGTCAATAGGCTATTGAAATTAGAAACAAAGTAGTTATATATAAGATAATTGTATAAATCAGCCTATTATTTTGTTGATATTTCCGATATCCATGTCTATTTCAATTTACCTGAAAGAAATGGCTTATCCAAATCATCTATTTGATTACTGCGTCCACAAAGTAGGCTAATATAGTTAAACATATCACACTATATGTATTCAAGGTCTAATAATGTAATTGTTAGTTGCTATCAGATGTAATTGTTTGATCTCCGCCCGCTATATTTAACATAACAACGCTTTGGGGATTAGGTTGAACTAATATAATTTTTAAGCTAACGAGACAAGCGAGCCCCTGCAATTAGTGGACCAATTCCGTTTAACATGATTAGGTATACATGTATCCATCAACGCAATCATCACCACTTAGACAACTCTCTAGCCTATTTACACTGCTACAAGGAAAAGATGTCCATGGTCTCTAAATAAAGTTGTAAAACTGTGCGTATACTCTCGCAATAAGATCAAGGCGAAGAGCAAGGTCATTTGAATTTGACAGGTGGCCATTTCGAGACAATTATTAGTCCAACAGTTGGTAAATATGCAATATTTTACAAAATGCTATATGAATTGCATTTACAATTAGGAATTTTTGTAGGGTGGACCCTTCGGAAGAAAAAAACGATTGCGTAAAATACGCACCAAAAAAAAAGACTATCACAGTAACAAAATAAAAGTGACAGAAAGAATCCTTGCCATACACACAATTATTAAAATAGTTATAGATTCTTCCATAAAAAATAGTAAACTAATGCAGCAATTATCTACATAATGGGTGCATGGGTTAGGCTATGTGCTGGAAGGTGACTTTTACGCACGACCAATATAGTGTTTGTGAATGGGAGAAGGAATAATAAAAAGGTCCACGCACAAATAAACCCACCTGCATGTCCTCCAGTCCGTGATGTCCAATGTGCATTCCAAGAGGACCGTCCCCTAGCGCTGCAGCACCCTCACCGAGTCCGTGGAGAAGCCGGGGTACACCGGGGTACTCCCGACGGGGGTCGAGGCTTAAAGCCCGGTGTGACTGTGACAATAGCCCCCCCTCATCCGACCGCGATCTCTGCGAGTGCCATGCCGCTTGCTGATGCTGATGGATGGAGTTGATGGAAGTGTAGGGGTCCGATAAGTGAGAGTATGCAGAGTCCTGGCTCTGGGAGTATGAGAGCGAAGACTGTGGGTATGGAGGGGGGAAGTATGGAGGTTGGAAGTCAGAGGCTGGTGTATGGCAGAGCGGGGGAGCAGAGGAGTAAGCTGCCTGGTTGAGCGAGGAGAGTTGGGACAGTCGCCCACTCGGCGAGGAGCCGGTCAGTCCGTCCGCGCGGTCCTGTGCGTAAATAAAAAAAAGTTGGTTAGGCTTGTAAATAAAAAATGTTTAGATTACATGCAAATGCATCGATTAAATGCACCAAATGTCAGGCCTATAATTCAAAGATTTTTTTCGACTCAAATAATCTTTGCAAAACTATAAATCGTATCTTAAGCTTTATCATAAGCACATTACAATTCGTTATTATTGTGTCAGGTGATTAACTGAACTACAATGAAATTGGAATATCACACTAAAAGAAAAGGACCTTAGAAATACAATTTAAATCAGTTCGATAGCCTATATAAAACTGCACAAAACTTTGTCTGTCTTGCCTAATATTCAACTATTTAATTCTAAAATGTCAAAATAACTCAAACTGAGGGTTTGATTTGCATGCAGACAGGCAGCAGGTGCCTCTGGCATCGCTGCATGACAGTGTCAAAAAGGTAATGGCCACTGAGAACCCCAACAGAACAAAGGACAGGTATCTAATGCGCAATAGCATTATGTTGCTCCAGGAAATACAACACTCAATATGATAAAATATGTGCACACATTTATGACTACAGGAGCTTATGAAATATTTACAAAATATTGCAAATATTTTCATGGGAAATATAAAGCGATATAACCTAAACATAACTTCTATTGCCATTTTGTCTGAATGAATTTGGGAGTCATCAAGTAATATTGTAATAACATACCATCGTCCATGAAGTCATTTTGCAATATTCTCCAATTGTCCTGTAGCCTACATTCCTCTCCATATGCATGCACTTCCTGGTTAAAAATCGATTTTTCTAAAGCTGGGTCACTCGGATCAATTTTGTTGTTGGAACAATGTCCATTATTAGAAACGAGCAAATGGGGATTTAAAAGAAAAAGGTCATTTAAAATCTGTATAAAATAATAAATGTCAACATAAAACCGATAGCAACTAGATATAATATATATGCTACCATCTGTATGCCTTATACATTTCACACTTTTAGCAGTTTAAACTTTCATTATGCTCACCACAGCAAAACGCAATGGGACTTTTCAAAATGATTATTATCTACCATCTCAAAGTGTCATCATCGTTTAGTTGTCTCTCTTTAAATTAATATTTCTACGGACACTTTGATGCCGTCCGATTCTCCCTCGCTTTGACATTCCGCATACAGTCGATCTATCCAGACAGCTGACAATGACAATAGCGGCGCCGCTAGTGCGAAGTTAACGTCACATATCTGTGCCCACTCAAGTCAAGACAAAGTTGTAGACATAGAAGATGACAAGACCATATAGGACCTAATCTGGGCTGCAGACTAGCGCGGAGTTTTGAATGTACAGGGACTCACCATAGCGGAATATGTGTGGACTAACATCTCTTCTGGTTGCCCAAATTCACAGTCTAGGATATGGATGCCGTCAATGTCTTAGCTATGTCACCAAATAGTTATAATCCAAGCTACTTTCATCTGTCTACAAGATCCATGCAGGAAATAGCTCAATCTTATTTTTCTTCTTCTTGCGTTTAGAAATGTCTCAACGTGTCAACCCTCAAGCACGTGCGGTTAAGGATGCTTCTGCGACGCGCTGTCAGAAAGTGTCCTAAATTTTCCCCATGCGCGCGCTACTTATAGGTTTCTGAACGCGCTCAACAGAATGAGGGGAGGGGTGGGGGGGTCCAGTTCTCTTAAAGAGATATTCATGCAGACATTCATTCATTCTCCCACATTTCTGTTTGTTTGATCATTGACCTACCTACCTTTCCTTTCTTTTTAGATTAGACGGTTGTTAAACGTAGTTATTAAACTAACCAAACATCCCCCATATTATTTGCCTCCTGTTTTAAACGCCAAATGAGAGGTCTTGTCCCCAGACAACCTAAAATCATTTTGGCACGGAATATGCATCAAATTGCCTATTTGCTAGGCTATGAATCAATATCCAGCCTTCTTATTTTTAACTGCCTCGTATTCAAACCATTACACACGCTATCCATCTTGCTCAACTTTTTGTTAGATGATACAGATAACTCAAAACAACTTTTAAGGTGTTTTTGAAATATATTTACAGAATTTTGAATAATTTAAGAGTGCTGTCTATGACAATGAGTGAATGTTATTTATAGCATTTCAAGCATCCAAATTGGAAAACGTACCATTTGCTAAATCGATCCTCAAACCCATTTTAGCATCAAACAAGTTCTGTCACTAGTTCTTGCCACTATACATCCTATTTAAAACATGTATATTCATTACAAGAAGCCCTACCAGTAAAAGCATGAGAGAAAACTATTTTCCAAATTCGTTAACCATTTTGTAAACTTGTATCATTTCAAGCATAGCCAAATAATGTTACCTGAAGACAGTAGGGCTCAGTCTTCGTTCGCGATTTCCAAAGCATGACGACGTTGTTGTAAAGGGCGGCCGGGTCGCTAGATTGGAGTTAGGCTTGAGCAGGGGGTTATAGCGGGTAACAGGAGGATGGATAGAGACGAGTTGAAGGTAGACTGAAGAGTGAGTTAGTTGGAGTAGCGATGCACTAGTTTTGTATGAGTCACAGAGACAACGACGGAAGTTTGGGGAGGGGTGTAAGGGCGGGAGGTGAGGGGAGTCAAGAGGGCTGCTAAATTAGTGCAGAGAGAAGGTGCGAGTTTCATGCCAATAGGAAATGTGTATAGATTATAATAACACACTCAGATTTACCAAATCAAATCCATGAAGTTGTACTGTTATGTGCAATTATGTCATTACGCAAGACCATGACATTTTAAGCAAACTGTATAGAGACCAGATTTGAATTAATTACAGGCAAATAATTATTATATTTAAGCGTTTTCATAGATATTTCCATTCAAAAGGAATTATTAGAACTATACACTCAACTTCAGGCTACTGGTGTCTCTTCTTGCTACTGTATCATTTGAAAACTTTGTCCGGACTTGAGACCCTGCAGATTTTTTTGATCAATTACATTTCTCAGAAATTACACATCATCATGCTGTGACTTTTTCTTTTTGTAAGAAAAAAATGAATGAAGTTAAATGCCGCGTTAAAATCTAAAGGGCAAAGGTAACTTGACATTTCGGAGAAAATAAGTCAAAACTAAATTCTTTCAGTTTTATGGATTGTGAATCTCATCTGCCAAAAAAACAATTGTTACACTGATATATCAGTGTCAAAATAACTTCAATAAGTAACCATGCATAATTCTGGGATTTACCATGACCCAAAGTACCACACTGCTGTCAGAATGCCATCTAGTGGTAGAAAAAGCAATATGCATGGCCACATAAAAGATATTGGTTTACCTTAACTACAGTATCATATATACCGAACAAAAATATAAACGCAACATGTAAAGTCTTGGTCCTATATTTCATGAGCTGAAATAAAAGATCCCAGAAATGTTCCATAAGCATAAAAAAGCTTTTTCTCTCAAATTGTGTGCACAAATTTGTGTACATCCCTGTTAGTGAGCATTTCTCCTTTGCCAAGATAATCCATCCACCTGACATGTGTGGCATATCAAGAAGCTGATTAAACAGCATGATCATTACACAGGTGCACCTTGTGCTGGGGACAGTAAAAGGCCACTCTAAAATGTGCAGTTTTGCCACGCAACACCACAGATGTCTCAAGTTGAGGGAGCGTGCAATTGGCATGTTGACTGCAAGAATGTCCACCAGAGCTGTTGCCAGAGAATTGAATGTTAATTTCTCTACCATAATGTGGTTTTAGAGAATTTGGCAGTATGTCCAACTGGCCTCACATCCACAGACCACATGCTGAGGAATATTTCTGTCTGTAATAGACCTTTTGTGGGGAAAAACTCATTCAGATTGTCTGGCTCCCAAGTGGGTGGGCCTATGCTCTTCTAGGCCCACCCAAGGCCACGCCCCTGCAAAGTCATGTGAAATCCCTGGCCTAATTAATTTATTTGAATTGCCCGATTTTCTTATATGAACTGTAACTCAGTAAAATCTGACATTGTTGCATGTTGCCTTTATATTTTTGTTCAGTATAGTTACTATACCAATTATATTAGTATAGTAGTCTAAAGTTAGTTCATAAAGCGCATCACTCGTTTCAGAAAACAGGAAGAACATAGGTTATGCATACATTCAGTAAGTGTTTTTAATTTCAGTAGTAAGCGGGACAGCTTTGAATGTGCACATCAAATCAAATCAAATCAAATTTTATTGGTCACATGCGCCGAATACAACAGGTGCAGACATTACAGTGAAATTCTTACTTACAGCCCTTAACCAACAGTGCATTTATTTTTAACAAAAAAAGTAAAAAATAAAACAACATCAAAATAAGTGTTGAGAAAAAAAAGAGCAGAAGTAAAATAAAATAACAGTAGGGAGGCTATATATACAGGGGGGTACCGTTGCAGAGTCAATGTGCGGGGGCACCGGCTAGTTGAGGTAGTTGAGGTAATATGTACATGTGGGTAGAGTTAAAGTGACTATGCATAAATAATTAACAGAGTAGCAGCAGCGTAAAAAGGATGGGGTGGGGGGGCAGTGCAAATAGTCCGGGTAGCCATGATTAGCTGTTCAGGAGTCTTATGGCTTGGGGGTAGAAGCTGTTGAGAAGTCTTTTGGACCTAGACTTGGCACTCCGGTACCGCTTGCCGTGCGGTAGCAGAGAGAACGGTCTATGACTAGGGTGGCTGGAGTCTTTGACAATTTTGAGGGCCTTCCTCTGACACCGCCTGGTATAGAGGTCCTGGATGGCAGGAAGCTTGGCCCCAGTGATGTACTGGGCCGTACGCACTACCCTCTGTAGTGCCTTGCGGTCGGAGGCCAAGCAGTCGCAATACCAGGCGGTGATGCAACCAGTCAGGATGCTCTCGATGGTGCAGCTGTAGAATTTTTTGAGGATCTGAGGTCCCATGCCAAATCTTTTCAGTCTCCTGAGGGGGAATAGGCTTTGTCGTGCCCTCTTCACGACTGTCTTGGTGTGTTTTGACCATGATAGTTCGTTGGTGATGTGGACACCAAGGAACTTGAAGCTCTCAACCTGTTCCACTACAGCCCCGTCGATGAGAATGGGGGCGTGCTCAGTCCTCTTTTTTTTCCTGTAGTCCACAATCATCTCCTTTGTCTTGGTCATGTTGAGGGAGAGGTTGTTGTCCTGGCACCACACGGCCAGGTCTCTGACCTCCTCCCTATAGGCTGTCTCATCGTTGTCGGTGATCAGGCCTACCACTGTTGTGTCGTCGGCAAACGTAATGATGGTGTTGGAGTCGTGCTATCGCTTCTCTGTTGAAGGAACATTCTTCTTACAAATGAAATCAACATTTAAGATGAAATATTTTTCAAAATAATTCTTCATTTTATGCTTCACTTACTTTCATACATGTAACAGACTGCTTATATACAGTCTACTTTCATACATGTAACAGACTGCTTATATACAGTCTACTTTCATACATGTAACAGACTGCTTATATACAGTCGTACCATCTTACAAACAACTGAAATGTTTATCAGGAAGCACATGACAATGCAAATATAACCCATACTAAACATAATGATATATTCAGCCATTTTGTCTTTGTCTCTAGAGGCTGAAGAGCCTGGATTTTTTCCTGGTCAGGTTACGTGGTCTGCTCAGGAAAAACTCCTGGCCCTCATCTTCATGATCATTAATTACACAAGTGCTTCAGTTTGTTGTAGGGGATTTCCTCAGATTGCCCATGCTACCAAAGACTCCCTTGGTACCGCTCTTTACGAGGACGCTGATCTCTTGTCGACAGAACAGGCAATGGAGTGCCACTGCGCATAGGGTCTCCTCTAGTGCCCCCTGGGTGTGGGGGTCAGGCAGGGCACTACAGGAGCCCAGCATGGTGAGGGTGTGGTTGAGCCAACCCTCCTACCTGACCAGGGTGATGATCCAGGGCTGGGTCTTCACACAGCCTGCCAGGGCCTGCAGGCCCAGCCTCCACAGCTCCCCAGCCTCCTCCCACCACTCCTCCCAGGCAGGGCTCACCCGAACTGGGCCTGGGCCCGAGCTGGAGTCCAGGGCACCACGGAGGAACCGCAGGGCTGAGGAGGAGAACCGCCTCTGGCCTACTTCAACCAGAGCTGGAAAATGGTAGAAGAAATATGAAGACAGGCTTCATTTAATTTAGGGGGAATGTATTAGGCATACATTTATACAATTGTAAAAATAAACATTTCTATTAAGACATACATTTGCCCATTCATTCATCTAAAAACAAAGCCACGTATCTCACCTTTAGGAGCCGGTTTAAGCCTGCCAATCATGAGCCCCAGAGTACAAAGATTGGCCGCCAGGATCAAGAGGTTTGTGCAGGAGAACAGGAAGTGGTTCACTCAACAGTGACTCAAGGCTTTTGAAATAAGGGTCCTTCCTGAGAGATTGTGCATAAATAACACACATTACAGATTTTCTGTCACACAATTTAAATTGTAATCTTTTGCTACCTAATGTGAACTTGCAGTTAGTGAACTATTTACTACTGACAGAGGGGGAAATTCATCTTCATATCTTTCATAGTCAACAACACAAAATGACCCCAATTTTGGTGTATAAAAATCCATCCCACCTATTCACCAG